AATGACTGGCCTAGTTACAGTGGGGGAAAAAAGTATTTAGTCAGCCACCAATTGTGCAAGTTCTCCCACTTAAAAAGATGAGAGAGGCCTGTAATTTTCATCATAGGTACACGTCAACTATGACAGACAAATTGAGAATTTTTTGTCCAGAAAATCACATTGTAGGATTTTTAATGAATTTATTTGCAAATTATGGTGGAAAATAAGTATTTGGTCACCTACAAACAAGCAAGATTTCTGGCTCTCACATACCTGTAACAACTTCTTTAAGAGGCTCATCTGTCCTCCACTCATTACCTGTATTAATGGCACCTGTTTGAACTTGTTATCAGTATAAAAGACACCTGTCCACAACCTCAAACAGTCACACTCCAAACTCCACTATGGCCAAGACCAAAGAGCTGTCAAAGGACACCAGAAACAAAATTGTAGACCTGCACCAGGCTGGGAAGACTGAATCTGCAATAGGTAAGCAGCTTGGTTTGAAGAAATCAACTGTGGGAGAAATTATTAGGAAATGGAAGACATACAAGACCACTGATAATCTCCCTCGATCTGGGGCTCCACGCAAAATCTCACCCCGTGGGGTGAAAATGATCACAAGAACGGTGAGCAAAAATCCCAGAACCACGCGGGGGGACCTAGTGAATGACCTGCAGAGAGCTGGGACCAAAGTAACAAAGCCTACCATCAGTAACACACTACGCCGCCAGGGACTCAAATCCTGCAGTGCAAGACGTGTCCCCCTGCTTAAGCCAGTACCCGTCTGAAGTTTGCTAGAGTGCATTTGGATGATCCAGAAGAGGATTGGGAGAATGTCATATGGTCAGATGAAACCAAAATAGAACTTTTTGGTAAAAACTCAACTCGTCGTGTTTGGAGGACAAAGAATGCTGAGTTGCATCCAAAGAACACCATACCTACTGTGAAGCATGGGGGTGGAAACATCATGCTTTGGGGCTGTTTTTCTGCAAAGGGACCAGGACGACTGATCCGTGTAAAGGAAATAATTAATTGGGCCATGTATCGTGAGATTTTGAGTGAAAACCTCCTTCCATCAGCAAGGGCATTGAAGATGAAACGTGGTTGGGTCTTTCAGCATGACAATGATCCCAAACACACCGCCCGGGCAACGAAGGAGTGGCTTCGTAAGAAGCATTTCAAGGTCCTGGAGTGGCCTAGCCAGTCTCCAGATCTCAACCCCATAGAAAAACTTTGGAGGGAGTTGAAAGTCCTTGTTGCCCAGCGACAGCCCCAAAACATCACTGCTCTAGAGGAGATCTGCATGGAGGAATGGGCCAAAATACCAGCAACAGTGTGTGAAAACCTTGTGAAGACTTACAGAAAACGTTTGACCTGTGTCATTGCCAACAAAGGGTATATAACAAAGTATTGAGAAACTTTAGTTATTGACCAAATACTTATTTTCCACCATCATTTGCAAATAAATTCATAAAAAATCCTACAATGTGATTTTCTGGATTTTTTTCTTCTCATTTTGTCTGTCATAGTTGACGTGTACCTATGATGAAAATTACAGACCTCTCATCTTTTTAAGTGGGAGAACTTGCACAATTGGTGGCTGACTAAATACTTTTTCCCCCACTGTAAATAAAGGTACAAAAATAAAAAATGTGTGTATTGGGCCATATGTAGTGAGTGAGTATATTGAGATGTACAGTGCCTTGCAAAAGTAGTCATCCCCCTTGGCATTTTCCTATTTTGTTGCATTACAACCTGTAATTTAAATGGATTTTTATTTGGATTTCATGTAATGGACATACACAAAATAGTCCAAATTGGTGAAGTGAAATGAAAAAAATTACTTGTTTCAAAGAATTCTAAAAAATAAATAACGGAAATGTGGTGAGTGCATATATATTCACCCCCTTTGCTATGAAGCCCCTAAATAAGATCTAAAGGTAATGGGTTGCACCAGAAGTCACATAATTAGGTAAATAAAGTCCACATGTGTGCAATCTAAGTGTCACATGATCTAAGTATATACAGTGGGGAAAAAAAGTATTTAGTCAGCCACCAATTGTGCAAGTTCTCCCACTTAAAAAGATGAGAGAGGCCTGTAATTTTCATCATAGGTACACGTCAACTATGACAGACAAATTGAGGAAAAAATTCCAGAAAATCACATAGTAGGATTTTTAATGAATATATTTGCAAATTATGGTGGAAAATAAGTATTTGGTCACCTACAAACAAGCAAGATTTCTGGCTCTCACAGACCTGTAACTTCTTCTTTAAGAGGCTCCTCTGTCCTCCACTCGTTACCTGTATTAATGGCACCTGTTTGAACTTGTTATCAGTATAAAAGACACCTGCCCACAAGCTCAAACAGTCACACTCCAAACTCCACTATGGTCAAGACCAAAGAGCTGTCAAAGGACACCAGAAACAATATTGTAGACCTGCACCAGGCTGGGAAGACTGAATCTGCAATAGGTAAGCAGCTTGGTTTGAAGAAATCAACTGTGGGAGCAATTATTAGGAAATGGAAGGCATACAAGACCACTGATAATCTCCCTCGATCTGGGGCTCCACGAAAGATCTCACCCCGTGGGGTCAAAATGATCACAAGACCGGTGAGCAAAAATCCCAGAACCACACGGGGGGACCTAGTGAATGACCTGCAGAGAGCTGGGACCAAAGTAACAAAGCCTACCATCAGTAACACACTACGCCGCCAGGGACTTAAATCCTGCAGTGCCAGACGTGTCCCCCTGCTTAAGCCAGTACATGTCCAGGCCCGTGCTAGAGTGCATTTGGATGATCCAGAAGAGGATTGGGAGAATGTCATATGGTCAGATGAAACCAAAATATAACTTTTTGGTAAAAACTCAACTCGTCGTGTTTGGAGGACAAAGAATGCTGAGTTGCATCCAAAGAACACCATACCTACTGTGAAGCATGGGGGTGGAAACATCATGCTTTGGGGCTGTTTTTCTGCAAAGGGACCAGGACGACTGATCCGTGTAAAGGAAAGAATGAATGGGGCCATGTATCGTGAGATTTTGAGTGAAAACCTCCTTCCATCAGCAAGGGCATTGAAGATGAAACGTGGCTGGGTCTTTCAGTATGACAATGATCCCAAACACACCGCCCGGGCAACGAAGGAGTGGCTTCGTAAGAAGCATTTCAAGGTCCTGGAATGGCCTAGCCAGTCTCCAGATCTCAACCCCATAGAAAACCTTTGGAGGGAGTTGAAAGTCCGTGTTGGCCAGCGACAGCCCCAAAACATCACTGCTCTAGAGGAGATCTGCATGGAGGAATGGGCCAAAATACCAGCAACAGTGTGTGAAAACCTTGTGAAGACTTACAGAAAACGTTTGACCTGTGTCATTGCCAACAAAGGGTATATAACAAAGTATTGAGAAACTTTTGTTATTGACCAAATACTTATTTTCCACCATAATTTGCAAATAAATTCATTAAAAATCATACAATGTGATTTTCTGGATTTTTTTTCCTCATTTTGTCTGTCATAGTTGACGTGTACCTATGATGAAAATTACAGGCCTCTCTCATCTTTTTAAGTGGGAGAACTTGCACAATTGGTGGCTGACTAAATACTTTTTTCCCCCACTGTACACCTGTTCTGAAAGGCCCCAGAGTCTGCAACACCACTAAGCAAGGGGCACCACCAAGCAAGCAGCACCATGAAGACCAAGGAACTCTCCAAACAGGTCAGGGACAAAGTTGTGGAGAAGTACAGATCAGGGTTGGGTTATAAAAAAAATATCTGAAACTTTGAACATCCCACGGAGCACCATTACATCAATTATTAAAAAATTGAAAGAATATGGCACCACAACAAACCTGCCAAGAGAGGGCCGCCCACCAAAACTCATGGACCAGGCAAGGAGGGCATTAATCAGAGAGGCAACAAAGATAACCCTGAAGGAGCTGCAAAGCTCCACAGGGGAGATTGGAGTATCTGTCCATAGGACCACTTTAAGCCGTACACTCCACAGAGCTGGGCTTTACGGAAGAGTGGCCAGAAAAAAGCCATTGCTTAAAGAAAAAAATAAGCAAACACGTTTGGTGTTCGCCAAAAGACTCCCCAAACATATGGAAGAAGGTACTCTGGTCAGATGAGACTAAACTTGAGCTTTTCGGCCATCAAGGAAAACGCTATGTCTGGCGCAAACCCATCACCTCTCATCACCCCGAGAACACCATCCCCACGATGAAGCATGGTGGTGGCAGCATCATGCTATGGGGATGTCTTTCATCGGCAGGGACTGGGAAACTGGTCAAAATAGAAGGAATGATGGATGGCGCAAAATACAGGGAAATTCTTGAAGGAAACCTGTTTCAGTCTTCCAAAGATTTGAGACTGGGACCAGGGTTCACCTTCCAGCAGGACAATGACCCTAAGCATACTGCTAAAGCAACACTCGAGTGGTTTAAGGGGAAACATTTAAATGTCTTGGAATGGCCTAGTCAAAGCCCAGACCTCAATCCAATTGAGTTCTGTGGTATGACTTAAAGATTGATGTACACCAGCGGAACCCATCCAACTTGAAGGAGTTGGAGCAGTTTTGCCTTGAAGAATGGGCAAAAATCCCAGTGACTAGGTGTGCCAAGCTTATAGAGACATACCCCAAGAGACTTGAAGCTGTAATTGCTGCAAAAGGTGGCTCTTCAAAGTACTGACTTTGGGGGGGGGGGGGGGGGGGTGAATAGTTATGCATGCTCAAATTCAGTTTTTTTGTCTTATTTCTTGTTTGTTTCACACCCAAAAATATTTTGCATCTTCAAAGTGGTAGGCATGTTGTGTAAATCAAATGATACAAGCCCCCCAAAAAATAGGAAAAATGCCAAAGGGGGTGAATACTTTGGCAAGCCACTGTATTTGTACCTGTGGAGTTGTTGCTGAAGTAGATGAGGCGTGGTTGTTCGGCGCCCAGCAGGTTCAGACTGCCCTCCACATTCAGAGGCCTTATCTGAGGGGGCAGGGACATGGGTTACACCAAGCCACACTACAGGTGGACACATTCATACATGCAAGCAGGGGCATACACATGCGCATGACAAGTAAAAACACACACGTGCACAAAGACACTTACACTCTTCTCACTCATGCGCACACACACATACTTTGTAACATTCACCCCCTACACACAAACCGAGATTAGAACACGCATCCTCTCATACACTCACCAAGACACACCATTATGGGGCATTCGACTCCAGACTGTTGTACGGGCAGCGCTGCTCTTTTGCCTGACGACTTCCCCTGAATTTAATTTAGCTACTCTATCGATCGCTACATACATTCAGTCTGAAACTGCAATCCTAGAAGTCGTTTGTGTAACTTCAAAATGAGGGGTGTTGTACAAAACAAATGAATCCGCAATTGGATCATCTCTAACAAATCTAACCAATCAGAGTATCAAAGTTAATAACGTCATCATGAAAGCCGGTTCTGGCCCAACCTATCGGTTTCTGGGACCAATCAGAACGGTCAGAATGGGTTTACAATCTAGAAATCGATGGGGAGGGAGGCAAATCCAGACTCATCAGTTGGCAGGAGCGATGTGGATGGGTAGCCATGGAAAGCTGCTCTTACCTTCCTCAGTGAAATGGTCTGGACCCACTCGGTGGTGTGGATGTCAAATACATCCACTCCGTACTCGCTGTACACTGTCAGGTAAGACGAGTTGGAGCCTGGCGGACACACAGGAGAGACAGTGAGCAAAAACAGAGGCCTCCACAATTTGATCTATTTGTAGGATACAATATACCAGATAGTAAAAAAGAAAAAAAGAAAAAACATTTAACGTTTGAGCAATATAAAAATGTTGTCTTCAGTGCCCCTTTGGATAGCTTACAATTTCTGGGTGTCATGTATTGGGAATACATTCAGGCATTCTACATAGGCTGTTATAAGGTGTCTCCATCACTAGCAATAATAAATATTGTTTTATCTGGTGCCAACATTGCTGTATAGCCCTACTATTACATGTCATTCTGCATTTCTTAAAAAATATATACAGTGAGATCTAAAAGCATTGGGACAGTGACACATTGTTTGTTGTTTTGGCTCTGTACTCCAGCATTTTGTATTTGAAATTATACAATGACTATGAGGTTACAGAGCAGACAGTCAGCTTTAATTTGAGGGTATTTTCATCCATATTGGGAAAACCGTTGAGAAATTACAGCACTATTTGTACATAGTCCCCCCATTTTAAGGGACCAAAAGCATTGGTATTAAAGTAGTAAAAAGTTAAGTGTAATGGTTCCATATTAATTGCTCGCAATGACTACATCAACCTTCCGACTCTACACATTTGCTGGATGCATTTTCTGTTTGCTTTCAGATAATTTTGTGCCCAATAGAAATTAATGGTAAATAATGTAGTGTCATTTTGGAGACACTTTTATTGTAAATAAGAATATAATATATTTCTAAACACTTCTACATTAATGTGGATGCTACCATGATTATGGATAATCCTGAATGAAATTGTGAATAACGAGTGAGAAAGTGAGACGCACAAATATAATATACCCCCCCCCCCCAAAAAAAAAAAAATGCTAACCTTGCAAAAGTATTCATCCCCCTTGGCGTTTTTCCTATTTTTGTTGCATTACAACCTGTAATTTAAATGGATTTTTATTTGGATTTCATGTAATGGACAAAATAGTCCAAATTGGTGAAATGAAAAAAATAACTTGTTTCAAAAAATTCTAAAAAATAAATAACGGAAAAGTGGTCCGTGCATATGTATTCACCCTCTTTGCTATGAAGCCCCTGAATAAGATCTGGTGCAACCAATTACCTTCAGAAGTCACATAATTAGTTAAATAAAGTCCACCTGTGTGCAACCTAAGTGTCACATGATCTGTCACATGATCTCAGTATATATACACCTGTTCTGAAAGGCCCCAAAGTCTGCAACACCACTAAGCAAGGGGTACCACCAAGCAAGCGGCACCATGAAGACCAAGGAGCTCTCCAAACAGGTCAGGGACAAAGTTGTGGAGAAGTACAGATCAGGGTTGGGTTATAAAAAAATATCAGAAACTTTGAACATCCCACGGAACACCATTACATCAATTATTAAAAAATTTAAAGAATATGGCACCACAACAAACCTGCCAAGAGAGGGCCGCCCACCAAAACTCACGGACCAGGCAAGGAGGGCATTAATAAGAGAGGCAACAAAGAGACCAAAGATAACCGTGAAGGAGATGGAAAGCTCCACAGCGGAGATTGGAGTATCTGTCCATAGGACCACTTCAAGCCGTACACTCCACAGAGCTGGGCTTTACGGAAGAGTGGCCAGAATTGAAGGAATGATGGATGGCGCTAAATACAGGGAAATTCTTGAGGGAAACCTGTTTCAGTCTTCCAGAGATTTGAAACGTATTTCTTGTTTGTGGAAGGCATGTTGTGTAAATCAAATTATACAAACCCCCACAAAATCCCTTTTAATTCCAGGTTGTAAGGCAACAAAATAGGAAAAATGCCAAGGAGGGTGAATACTTTCGCAAGCCACTGTAATGGTGAGAGGTTAGCATGTCTTGGGGATATGATATTTGTGCATTTGTAACTTTCTCACTCATCATTATTTACCATTCATTCAGGATTATCCGTAATCATGGTAGCATCCACATTAATGTATAATAATATAATAATATGCCATTTAGCAGACGCTTTTATCCAAAGCGACTTACAGTCATGCGTGCATAAATTTTTGTGTATGGGTGGTCCCGGGGATTGAACCCACTACCTTGGCATTACAAGCGCCGTGCTCTACCAGCTGAGCTACAGAGGACCACTTGTAGAATGTATATGGGACACATGTAGAAGTGTATATGGGACTAAATACTTTTTACTAATTTAATACACATAAGTGAATTTATCCCAATACCTTTGGTCCCTTAAAATGGGAGTATTATGTACAGAAAGTTCTGTAATTTCTAAATGTTTCACCCGGCATGGATGGAAATACCCTCAAATTAAAGCTGACCGTCTGCACTTTAACCTCAGTAATTGTATCATCAAAGTGTTGGAGTACAGAGCCAAAACAACCACAAAATTGACACTGTCCCAATACTTTTGGAGCTCGCTGTATATTTTAAGATAGTTTCTGATTTTATTGAACAGATAGAGGATGATAGTGGGGAAAGACAGGGAGAAGTTGTGTCAAAGAGCAGTAGGCCGGATTCAAACTTATGCCGAAACCATGCCAGATGCTGCGGCATTACCGCTAGACCAGCCAGGCCACTGCATTTCTTCTCCAAACCTTGCCTAACCCAACTCAACCACTCAAAATAAAACAAAACCGTGACGTACTGCAGGCTAGCGGTGTGGCGGGCCACATCAGCTCCTGGGCCCTGCTCCTCCTTCCCGTGGGGTCTACATAGATGCCTAGCTGGCTGAAGCAGAGCAGCAGCTCGGCCGTGCCCACCTCCAGGGCATGCAGCGCGTCCAAGGGCTGCTGGGCCAGGAAGGCCAACGACGGGTCCCCAGGGCTCACCAGACTTACGGGCGATGACTCGCCCTGAAGGGCCAGCAGGGCGAAGCCCGAGGGGTAGCCCACGCACAGGCGTTCACGCACCATGCCCAGCCACTGGGCCACCCCCGGGGCCTGCACCTCCCACAGCTTGCGGTGGTGCGGCTTGGCCCGGGTGATCTCATAGCACAGCACCTGGTAGAGGCGGAGGGGGGAGAGGGGACATTTTACCATACATTCTGGCAAAGCAGCAGATGTAAAGGACCTTTCATGTCACCTTTGATGTAGCTAGTATGAGTTCGCTTATGAATGATTTGCGAAGCATCTATGCAGTGCTTATGAAGACTTTATTGATGCTACCTTTATATATGTTGTTGTTTGTTTTGAAGTGGGGCCGACATGAGATACATTTATGACTTTTCCCCCCTATTTCTTATATAAAAGTTACAACTTCACCTACACATGTAATTTTAACTGTATTGGAACTATTTTGTTTTGGAACTCTTTAATGAACTAACTTTTTTTTACTTTAGTCACTACATTTGTCTGCATGTGTAAATAAGTAAATAAATACTGACCTGGCGCTTGATGGCGGCCAGCAGGCAGGCGGGTCCCCCGGGGCGCAGCACACCGGTGGTCAGCGCCTGGCAGCCCTTGGTCTCCGTCAGCTTGATGTCAAAGGCCGACTCAGCCCCCTCCAGCACCCCCCAGGGGTGCAGGTGCACGTGGCGGTTGCGTCCGCACAGCAGGGCCACCATCTTCTCTTTTGGGATCAGCTCGATCTGGTGCACCTTCTTGCAGTCAGCCGCCCGCACGATCACTGGAGGGGGGAGAGAGGGGGGAGTCAACAGGGGAGTCTGTAGGGCAGGGTTCCCCAACTGGCGACGCACAAGCCAAATTTTCCCGCGGGTGATTTTATTTGTCCCCCGAAGTTTTCTGAGCAATTGTAGGATATAAGATTGTAAAAACATCAGCAAATCAGCTCCAAGTGATTTTAATTTTGGAAATCTGTTCCAAAGTATTCCGTATTCCCACACATAATAGACAGAAGGGTTTGAAATTATGTTTAAGTTAAATATTATATATCTGTTTCGGCTTCTTGCAGTCAATTTGCAGTCAACAAATTATTTGTAATTATGTTCCGGCCCCCTGACCATTCACTCATGTAAAAATCGTCCCAAGGCTGAATCTAGTTGATGATCCTTGCTGTAGGGGCTAATGACACACTGAAGTCGATGGAGAATTGTGTTAAAAGGAAGGAATCACAAATAAAAGGTAGAAGTTCATATCAAATTATAAACCATTAACAATTTATTTGGATAGTCCATCTGTAGATGCTCTACAGACTATCCATAACATTCCAACTATCTATCTACTGACCCTAACCCTAGCTCTAACCTTAACCTTATCCTAACCCTAAACTTAAACCTTACTCTAACCTTAACCCTTACCCTCATTCTAAACCTAACCGTAACCTTAGCAAGCAGTTGCTTATCAACAGATAGTTTGTTGATAGTATGGTCATCTGCAGAGCATCACATGATCACAAGACAAGCAAAATGTTGGAAATCTACAAATCCTTGGTCTGCATGTTGCTATGCACAAAACCAGTTATGTTCATATCGTATCATCTGAGCCTCTATGGGCGCTCTCACATACATATCCCTGTATGATATTGATCCTGGAGCATTCGGTACCCTGATGATCTGCACTATAGAGCATTTGTGAGATGCAAATTAAACCTGGCTGAAACAAATCCTGGACCCTGGCCAAGTGGTGGATCCAAGATCCAGGACTAGAGTACCAGGTATCGTGAAGTGTCAGTGCGAGTTGAGTGGAACTTTTTTGCCCGTTGTAAACAAGCTAGCTTGCTACTGTCATGTAGAATGTGCGTCTAGGCAAATCGCACCATGAAACAATTATTTTCAGTTCTTGTGAAAGCACAAAGTATATGGTAGAACTTTCACAACCGCTCCAGGAAACTCTACCATGGTTCCGAATGTCATAGGTGAAAACGCCCTATGAGTGAATATGACCAGATGTCAGATAAGTATGTTCTTACCATCTCTGGTGACCTCCACTACAAACAGACCTTCCTCTGTGCCCAGGGCGATACGCTCTCGATCTGCAGAGAGAAGAGCAGTCAACAGTCAATCACACTTCCTCTGACAGTAACACATTCTCTGCATACACCTCTCTCGCGCTCTCTTTCTCTCTCCATCTTTCACGCACACATTCTGGAACTCATTTATCAATACATACACCTTACATTTGTTATTAATGAAAATGCATAAATAAAACACACAAGATATTTAACTAATGTTTCTTACACCTTGAACATAGTTTTTATTTACCTGTTCGAGCTACTAAACTGTGTAAAAGCTGAAATCTTTGAGAAAAAAATATTTCCACACACATTTTTTGCTGGTCACGAATGATAAATGAGGCCCACTGTCCCTTACTGATCATGCAGAGTGTGGTCTTGATGACAGACAGAGAGGAGTCGTATGCCTCTCACACACTATCCCATTGCCATCCTCACACACACAAAAACACACAGCGCAGGTGTGTTTGCAAGAGGTAAATGTCACACACAGTCTCCCCATTCCCTCCAACTCACCGATGATGGCGGCGGAGATCGTAGTCTTGATGGCGGGCAGTGACGAGTCATAGGCTTCGTGCAGCGCGTGCACCACACGGTTCTTGAGGCGGTTCTTGGCCAGGATGCTCTGCAGGCCCTCCAGGATGCCAACCCACTTCCTCTTCTCCGCCTCGCTCTCCGCCAGCACCAGTAGGGAGACGGCGCACACTGGCGAGCTCAGCAGGGACGACGTCACCTGGGACAGAGAGAGAGAGAGCGAGGGTTAATAATAATAATAACTGGAACTTTATTAAGTGTCTTTGGGTCCTTTAATGGCGCATTTCCATACAGGATTTACCCAAAAGGCTCAGACTTTTCTGTTTCCATCTACGCGGGCCGGCACCCGTTGTTTCACTGGGCCATGGCTCTGGCGAACCTGCTTTCACCTGGGGCGAAAGCCAGGGCACTGGTATGTTTCAGCGGGCATTTACATAACAATGGCCAACTTTGAACTTTAACACCTCACAAATCGACGGTCTTGATGCAGAGGTTGTTGATTCTGCTCTCCCAAAGTTCTTAAGTGTCACACTCCTAATGGAAACACAATTACACTACAGTTCACATTAACATAAACACTGGTAACACACTGGTGTGGGGGTAAAACTCCATGGAAATGCGGCAGAAAAGTGCTATATAAAACCCATGTTTAATTATTACTATTTCAAGTTTGTTTATTGCGTTTACTTTTCTCACATAGGAAACATCCCATATTAACAGTAGATTAGAATACAATTATACAGTAATCAATATATTAACATTATTTACATAAAGGGTAATGTGTTAATTTTTTACATTTTACATTTACATTACATTTACATTTTAGTCATTTAGCAGACGCTCTTATCCAGAGCGACTTACAGTTAGTGAATACATATTTTTTTTATACTGGCCCCCCGTGGGAATCGAACCCACAACCCTGGCGTTGCAAACGCCATGCTCTATCAACTGAGCTACATCCCTGCCGGCCATTCCCTCCCCTACCCTGGACGACGCTGGGCCAATTGTGCGCCGCCCATGAGTCTCCCGGTCGCGGCCGGCTGCGACAGAGCCTGGATTCGAACCAGGATCTCTAGTGGCACAGTTTGCACTGCGATGCAGTGCCTTAGACCACTGCGCCACTCAGGAATACACTTATTCAATATAACATTCCTTAGTAACTCCTAAATAGTTATAACATCCTTTAGAATGTGTTACAATAATGACTTTACTTAGAGATTGTTTATTGGGTTTTCTCTGATAGGAAACATCATCCCATAGTAGGAATAGATTACAATAAAACTATAAAGGGGTCAATATAATAACTTTACACATACAGTGGGGGAAAAAAGTATTTAGTCAGCCACCAATTGTGCAAGTTCTCCCACTTAAAAAGATGAGAGAGGCCTGTAATTTTCATCATAGGTACACGTCAACTATGACAGACAAAATGAGATTTTTTTTCTCCAGGAAATCACATTGTAGGATTTTTTATGAATTTATTTGCAAATTATGGTGGAAAATAAGTATTTGGTCAATAACAAAAGTTTCTCAATACTTTGATATATACCCTTTGTTGGCAATGACACAGGTCAAACGTTTTCTGTAAGTCTTCACAAGGTTTTCACACACTGTTGCTGGTATTTTGGCCCATTCCTCCATGCAGATCTCCTCTAGAGCAGTGATGTTTTGGGGCTGTCGCTGGGCAACACAGACTTTCAACTCCCTCCAAAGATTTTCTATGGGGTTGAGATCTGGAGACTGGCTAGGCCACTCCAGGACCTTGAAATGCTTCTTACGAAGCCACTCCTTCGTTGCCCGGCGGTGTGTTTGGGATCATTGTCATGCTGAAAGACCCAGCCACGTTTCATCTTCAATGCCCTTGCTGATGGAAGGAGGTTTTCACTCAAAATCTCACGATACATGGCCCCATTCATTCTTTCCTTTACATGGATCAGTCGTCCTGGTCCCTTTGCAGAAAAACAGCCCCAAAGCATGATGTTTCCACCCCCATGCTTCACAGTATGTATGGTGTTCTTTGTATGCAACTCAGCATTCTTTGTCCTCCAAACACGACGAGTTGAGTTTTTACCAAAAAGTTATATTTTGGTTTCATCTGACCATATGACATTCTCCCAATCCTCTTCTGGATCATCCAAAATGCACTCTAGCAAACTTCAGACGGGCCTGGACACGTCTGGCACTGCAGGATTTGAGTCCCTGGCGGCGTAGTGTGTTACTGATGGTAGGCTTTGTTACTTTGGTCCCAGCTCTCTGCAGGTCATTCACTAGGTCCCCCCGTGTGGTTCTGGGATTTTTGATCTTGTGATCATTTTGACCCCACGGGGTGAGATCTTGCGTGGAGCCCCAGATCGAGGGAGATTATCAGTGGTCTTGTACGTCTTCCATTTCCTAATAATTGCTCCCACAGTTGATTTCTTCAAACCAAGCTGCTTACCTATTGCAGATTCAGTCTTCCCAGCCTGGTGCAGGTCTACAATTTTGTTTCTGGTGTCCTTTGACAGCTCTTTGGTCTTGGCCATAGTGGAGTTTGGAGTGTGACTGTTTGAGGTTGTGGACAGGTGTCTTTTATACTGATAACAAGTTCAAACAGGTGCCATTAATACAGGTAACGAGTGGAGGACAGAGGAGCCTCTTAAAGAAGAAGTTACAGGTCTGTGAGAGCCAGAAATCTTGCTTGTTTGTATGTGACCAAATACTTATTTTCCACCATAATTTGCAAATAAATTCATTAAAAATCCTACAATGTGATTTTCTGGATTTTTTTTCTCAATTTGTCTGTCATAGTTGACATGTACCTATGATGAAAATTACAGGCCTCTCTCATCTTTTTAAGTGGGAGAACTTGCACAATTGGTGGCTGACTAAATACTTTTTTTCCCACAATGCATATCATTTTTCATGCTGCAGCTCGAAGCTTACCCTGAATATGCAGGGGACGTCTTTGCGGGTGGCGTGGATGACGTCTGAGGCCAGGACGGAGCTGACGGAAAACTCCTCATCTCTGTGGACATACACATAACATAGTGTTACAAACACATACATCTACACTGCCCCCACCCCACCCGCCCACAGATCCCCTACCTGAGGTCCAGGACCTGACTGGCCACCACGCCCGGCTGGGTGGACTTGCCCTCAGGCACCTCGTACAGGAAGAGCTTACAGTCACACACCACAGAGTACGCCCGTTGCCAGCCCTTCTTCACCCCGGTGGGCTTGGGGATCTGACAGAGAGAGGAGCAGCAACCTTTCAATTGAGGTCTGTTTTTGTTGTTCAATTCCAATATACGTTACAGTTTCCTATCTTGTTAAGCTGAACAGAATTGAGATGTTTTGATTGTTAACTCCAAATGACACAACAACTAGGTTCCAGATTAACAACGTTTACTTCGCCGTATCTCCACGGTACATAGATGCCATTACACTCAGGCCTGGTCCAACAACAAGGGAAACTTCTGCGCAGGCGCACTAATAACAGAGTGAGAGTACCGTAATAACAGAAATATAGGGATACTTAAAACATGAACTTAACATTAATTACATCCGATACAACATTGAAAAATTGTATTAGTGAATTATCTTGAAACTGAATTACGCACGACGCTCTGAAGCTTCAGGGCCAAGACCATGACTTAACCATAGAATTATAATGACTCGAATGGGAAAAGCCCCTTTGACTGTACACTTATGGGTACACAACATGGCGGCCAGAATGCATATTCTAGTCATTCTATTTCTATGGTCATAACCTGTCACTAGGTGCTCACCCTGACGAAGCCCTTGTAGGCGGTGCCGATGCCCCTCTGTACGTCGATGCCCAGCGGCCTCTTGGCCTGCTCGGGGGGGATGGGGCACACCAGGGGGGCGTTGTCCTTACAGGACACGTGGCAGATGAAGGAGCACACTGAAGAGAGGGAGGGGGAGAGAGAGAGAGTATTAGTTTACAAGGACACATGCAGTACAATGGCGAGCTGCAGTATCAGATCTCTCGTATATTTAAAATGTTACAGTCCGTTTACTCATAAGTGAGTGTGTTAGCCGGAGAAAAATGCCGCCCATAGTTTCCTCAGTCCCCCAACTCACCGACAATGGCGGCTGAGAGTGTGGTTGTTTGTGTGTATGAAACTTACCTTCGCAGGCGTAGCCCTGGCGGATGAGGCCCACCATCAGGGAGGTGCAGTGGGTGCACTGGGTGGGGCTGGAGAAGGTCTTGATGCTCAGCTGGTGAGCTTTGGGCTGCGGGCGCACGCGCACACACACACACACACAGAAAGAGATAAGAACACAGAACACATAGCCAAGCATTACAAACTACCTGACAGCGTGTGTGTGTGGCCAGGCGGTACCTTTGGTGCGGTCAGCAGCGACGTCTGATATACAGGGGAGGGGGCGGCAGGGGCAGCAATAGGGGGCTTGTGGACTGGCTTCTGTGGGAGAGAGAGAGGTCAAAGTTCACAGGTCAGCAGGTCAGACTGGAGAAAGGACAAAGCTGGGTCGTGTTCATAAGGCACCAAATGTAAGATAATTTACTGAAACAGGGACGGACTATATTGAGTTGCCCAATAAGAAACCCTATTTTAGTTTTTTTTATTGCAAAACACTTTAAATTGCATGCCCTAATAAACAGGACTCCGGTTCTGTACTGTGAAACTGAACTATGCTTTACTGGGATAAGATAGTCATTCAATGACCAACAATCAGGATTAAGGTCAAATGTTACTTCTAGAGAACAATTTAATTCATTGATTGGACATTGAGTTAAAACGCACCTAAACCCTGTTAAAATGATCAATAGGCATTGTGAATAATAGCACACAGTAAAAGCTTAAATTGTACAATGGTGACTGGTGAACTCGGATGACACACAGGGAATGTCTGGAGAAAGGATCTCTGGGAGGGATGTGCGACGGGACGGAAGTGTGTGCGTGTGTGTGTGTGTGAGAGAGACAGGACACTCACATCCTGCTCGGATGCCACAGAGATTGATGAGGATGGGACGTCTGACTTCTGGGGTGTGGCGTCTATTTCGCTGACAGAGCTGCTCTGGAGGAGGAATGACAGGACAAGTGAGTGTGTGTGTCTGTGTACTGGGCGGGTGGTACAAAATGCCAGTGTCTCAATGCCTGTGTTGTGTCAAGATGTGTTCCCCTCCTCAAATGCTTGCGTTTCCCATGTACCAACTAGTGTTTTGATAAATGAGTGTCAGTTTCCGAGGTAGGAAACACATCTCAACAACACCTGCACCAACTCACACACAAATAACTGCCAATGCTAATAGTATTTCACCATCACGAAGGCATATTAGGGACATGTACTGAGCTGATGAGGTTTTGTAAATAAAACAAAAATACATAAGCCCACTTGTAACATGTACAATGCCTTCCGGAAGTATATATACCCCTTGACTTTTTCCACATTATGTTGTGTTACAGCCTGAATTAAAAATGGATCAAATTGCTTTTTTTCTCACCCATCTATACACACACAATACCCCATAATGACAAAGTGAAAACATGTTTTTAATGTTTGCTAATTTATTGAAAATGAAATACAGAAATATCTCATTTACATAAGTATTTTTACACCCCTGAGTCAATACATGTTACAATCACCTGGCAGTGATTTCAGCGGTGAGTCTTTCTGGGTAAGTCTCTAAGAGCTTTGCACACCTGGATGGTACAATATTTGCACATTATTATTTACAAATTTCTTCAAGCTCTGTGAAGTTGGTTGTTAATCATTGATAGACAGACCTATTCAAGTCTTGCCATAGATTTTCCAGCCGATTTAAGTCAAAACTTTAACTAGGCCACTCAGGAAAATTCAATGTCGTCTTGGTAAGCAACTGAATTTGTCTCCCAGTGTCTTTTGCAAAGCAGACTGAACCAGGCTTTCCTCTAGGATTGTGCCTGTGCTTAGCTCTATTCTGTTACTTTTTCTCCCAAAACACTCCCTAGTCCTTGCCGATGACAAGAATACCCATAACATGATGCAGCCACCACCATGTTTGAAAATATAAAGAGTGGTACAGTGATGGGTTGTGTTGGATTTGCCCCAAACATAATGCTTTGTATTCAGGACACAAAGTTAATTTCTTTGCCACATTTTTTTTGCAGTTTTACTTTAGTGGCTTATTGCAAACAGGATGCATGTTTTGGAATATTTTTTATTCTGTACAGGCTTCCTTTTCCCTCTGTCATTTATGTTGGTATTATGGAGTAACTACAATGTTGTTGTGGATCCATCTTCAGTTTTCTCCCATCACAGCCATTAAACTCAATAACTGTTTTAAAGTCACCATTGGCCATCGGGTGAAATCACTGAGCGGTTTCCTTCCTCTCCGGCAACTGAGTTAGGAAGGACGCCTGTATCTTTGTAGTCACTTGGTCTATTGATACACCACACAAAACGTAATTAATAACTTCACCATGCTCAAAGGGATATTCAATGTCTGCTTTTTAATTTTTACCCAACTACCAATAGGTGCCCTCTTTTGCAAGGCTTTGGAAAACCTCCCTGGTCTTCGTGGTTGAATCTGTGTTTGAAATTCACTGCTCGACTGAGGGACCTTACATATCATTGTATTTAGTGGTGTACAGAGATGAGGTAGTCATTCAACAATCATGTTAAACACCATTATTGCTCACAGAGTGAGTCCATGCAACGTATTATGTGACTTATTAAGCAACATTTTACTCCTGAACGTATTTACAAAGGGGTTGAAAATGGAACGCCATTTGGGTCTTTGCGTGTCAAAAAAGATACACGTCAAATAACACTATTTGACGTGTCAAATAAGCTTGTTGACCAATCAGGATCTGAATATGACTGCACGTCACATAACAATTTAACACGTTCATACATTTTCTACGTAGTTATTACACATTGATTACACTATCACTCGTATGTCATATGTCACAATGACTCATCGATACATATGCTATGATGCAGGTAAAGTTGTCTCGCGCACCTGCCCTTCCCCAAGCGCTGGACAGTGCTGGTCATAAAAAAGGCTAGCTAACGTTAGCTGATGGATGCAAACAATGTTCTTCCCCCAAAACATAGCAAAACGACATAATCTGTTTCAGTAGCTATAGTTAGCTAGCTAACTATCTAGCTAGCTAACTATCTAGCTAGGTGTCATCATCTAAAATACCCCTCATTTATAAAACTGTTCTTATTTGATTAATGGTTGTCGGACCCACCTACGACAGTGATGCAAATGAATACAAATAGTGGAATTATGCCATGGATCATGCTAAACAAGGTTGGATTGTTGTTCTATAAATTCAACAAAATAAAATAGTTAATTTGACAAAAATTTGTTGAAATCACACTGGATGTATTAGACTTTAGAATTGCATTGGGGGCATATTTATTTAACTCTACAGCCTTACCTATGGATCAATGACATGGGGTATCAGTCTACTCAGCGACACCCAGAGAACATTAGCGTCGTAGCTCTTTTTGTAGGACTCTGAAACCACTGTGAATTCAGTCACATTTTTGTACCAGTTACCCTACTTTGTGTACATTGTACACTATTCCAGAGGGAAAACAATACAACCTAGACGTTTTGGAATCTGATAACTCTGAGGAGGACGTTGGGGAAAAAGCTATTGGTACAAGAGTAGACTGACACCGCATTTAATTGATCCCCAATCCTTAGGTAAGGCTGTACAGTGCAATATGAATGTCAATATGCACAATAGGCTGACTGGATAGGTTATTTAATTTTACTGCTGCTCTTTAATTATTTGCAATTTTTTATTAATCTATTTTTTACTTAACACTTTTTATTTTCTTAAAACTGCGTTGTTGGTTATGGTAAGTAAGCATTTCACTGTAAGGTCTACACCAGTTGTATTTGGCGCATGTGGCAAATAAAATGTGATTTGATTTCACAGTCACAGTCCCGCGATAAGAGCTACAACGCTAATATTTGCATAAACTCTTCACAGTAGTGTTCTGTGGGTGTCACCGAGTAGACTGATACCCCATTTCATTGCTCCACATTCCAACCTTGTTTAACATTATCTAGTCTAAATATTGCATGATTTCACCAATTGTAACCTTCCGCGTCACTTTCAAAGAGGTACTTTTATTTTGAAGGTAAACCACAAATTCCACTATTGTGGCTAATCCTTATTGTGGCTATTTTCACAACACATAACCCTGTCCGGTCAAGCCTCACCAGCCAAATGAAGTTTACTGGCTGCTTATAACGTTAGCTTTGGGCAACAGGGTTAAGTAGCTGGCTAGCTAGTTATTTTCATGAACTGAAGTTAAATTTCAAGTTCAGGTGGCTACCTAGCTAATACTTACTCACATGGATTCCTAAATCATTGCTAAGAATATTGAAAATGACTGCAGTTTCTATTGGTCATTGTTTTTAGGCTAACGTTAGTTGCATTGGTGCTAGCTAGGTAACGTTACCAAGCTAAAGCTAGCTAGCTACCCCAGAAGTTGCAAATAACATCTGTATCAAAGATATTTGGAAACATTTTTGATCCTGCTTGTTTGATCCTGATCTTATTTCAAATGCTCACACAGACGTTTTCCCATTCGGTCGAACAAATAATGCATTATTACCAACGCGCTATTGTTAACACATCGTTGGTGGTCGGTGTGTTTTTTGTACAGCTTTGACAGTGCTACTGATCGTAGTGGTAGCGCTTGGCTTGCACATGCAAATTCAGCACACACAACATTCTATAATATAAATGTATTATTTGACGTGTCAAATTAAAAGCTTATTTGACACGCAAAGACCCAAACGGCGTTCCATAGTTGAATACTTATTGACTCGAGTCATTTCGGCTTTCTATTTTTTATTAATGTGTGAAAATGTCTAAAAACATAATTCCACTTTGACATGGGGTATTGTGTGTAGGCCAGTGACTCAAAATCTCAATTTAATCCATTTTTAATTCAGGCTGTAACACAACAACATTTTGAAAAAAAATCGAGAGGTGTGAATACTTTCTGAAGGCACTGTATTGTCTAAAACCTAATAACAACAGTATACTGTATTATACAGAAATCATGTCATCATACCCTACTTTGATGTTGATGGTCTACTATACTGTGACAAACCTTCAGTACACAAAATTCGATATTAAACTGTCATGTAAACGCCTTACTCTGCTTATCTTAATTGCCATAAAGTCATAATCGAAGTAAGCATACACCGATTAAAACACCTGGTTTTCTGAGCAATCTTTCAAATTATTAGGACATGTAAACAGCTTATATCGGTGTTCCAGTTGTGTATTTGATCTGTGCATGAGCCAGCAACGGATAACGCAAGCCTCCCTCTTATGCGCGAGTGAAGTGAGTCTGGAAAAACTGAAAGTATGCATCTTACAAATAGTTTACACATACAAACATTATATGTCCCAACTCAGAGTCAAATAGTATTCGCAAAAATAACATGGTCAATGTGGTAGAACGTTTATTTTGATTGGCATTTCTCCATTTATCAAAAGTCCCATCAGTAGCCTGATTTCAGATGTGTCCATGTAAACAGGATTATTAGGGAAATCGTTCTTCTTGCAAAGCAAGTAAACATTTTAAAAGGAACTATTATATTGGCCTGACAATACACAATAATCACATTATAACCGTGGTCAATGAGTTAACAGATGACACATTTAAATGACACACAGTACTTGCCATATACAGTGCATTCGGAAAGTATTCAGACCCGTCAACCTTTTCCACAATTTGTTACCTTACAGCCTTATTCTAAAATTGATGAAATACTATTTTTTTCTCATCAATCTACACACAATACCCCATAATGACAAAGCAAAAACAGGTTTTTAGAAATGTTTGCTAATTTATTCAAAATATAAAACGGAAATATCACATTTGCATAAGTATTCAGGCCCTTTACTCAGTACTTTGTTGAAGCACCTTTGGCAGCGATTACAGCCTTGAGTCTTCTTGGGTATGATGCTACAAGCTTGGCACACCTGTATTTGGGGAGTTATTATACCCATTATGGGGTATTGTGTGTAGATTGATGATGGAAAAAAACAATTTAATCAATTTTAGAATAAGGTCTGAATACTTTCCAAATGCACTGTATACATATTTTTTCTTTTAAATGTTTCTTTACATTAATTTAACCATGGATTGTATCAACTCAAACGTTATGTAGTCTACATCAAACACTTATAGCCTAACAATGTCACAGATAAGGTTTTTACTTTTGAAAAAAAGTTTGGCAAGATTAGGAGAAATCATGGAGGTATCCGACGCTAATCACTTTTTAATTAAAGTAAAATTAAGGGCAGGTTATATATCCTCCCACTCATTCATTGACTAAAGACACTGAAAAGGTCCTGCTCATTAATATTCTCAGTGCGCTGCTGTAGGGTTAATTCGTTTTGACTCGCCGTTAGTTGTAGAGGCAGCTAACAATTATGCTAATGGCTAACAGGTTTTGTGAGGTGACTGGCTATACAACTAAGGAGTTATGACTGACGTTAGCGGTAATAGCGGTTAGTGGGCCGGTTAATGCTAATGGTGGGGATGCTAATGTGGAAGCACATTCTAGAGGAGCAGCTCGCTAACATTTTAGCGCCCAACATATGCTATGCAGGTTTAGGGGGAGGTTTACTAGGGGAGGAGAGTGCCACCAGCTATGAAAAGGTCAATTTTAGCATAACTATCATCCTTCTAACTAAATTAGCATTAGCCAAAAACTGCGCTAACCAAAGTCATTTTATTCCACTAAACGTGTAGCAGCTAGCCTGTTCACAATATTAACAATAGAAATACTAGGAAAAGTTCAAACTATAAGTGTATCATGCACACCGCTTTTTGAGACAAGACGCTAAAGAAGCTTTCGTCCATATTAGTATGCTAATGGTTAACGGCTAATTGCTAAAAACAGGGCAACACACACCTGGAGAAAGCTCTATGCTTTCCTCCCAACCTTTTTGTATGCTGGCAGCACAATCCCTCGGGTTAGGGGTTAACTGTGAGAAAAAGGGGTAAGGAGCTCTGAGCAGCCAACTTACATCATCCCAAAACGCTAGCAGAGAGGACGCGGACGAGGAAGAGACCGAGTCCTTTTTTGGAAGGGTGACAAACGAGAGGGACAAAAAAATAAAAAGCAGAGGTTTTTCGGGGGGTTATTTTGCACCAAAAAAAATAACACAAAGGGGGCCAGAGTTGACAAGGTAATTTACCAGGGTTTACTGCGAGAACATAATTAGACCACCACTGCCGATGGTTTATCCTGTTTCAATTAATGGCCCTAAGAGACTTGAAGGAACAGAGACAAAATGGCCCCTTCACCACAAGAAGTTTCCTCTGAACAAACACTTAATCAGGTTTTCTGGGGCCTTTACGCTGACCTGTTGTGACTTCAATGCTGACTAATCCCTTTTTTTACAACCTCGGCGGTGAAAAAAACCTTAGTTCACGGCTGAGTTGAGCACTACGATCTTTTGACCGCAAAGCCACATGCATTTGTGGTGATGAAAGTGAGGGGAAGCAGTTAGAAGCTGACAGACCAAACTAGCTTCTCTCTCATTAAGTTCAGGTCACGGCCAGCTTTCTTGTACCTCTACTCTCTCCGTTGCAGTTCCTCCCTTTGTGGCCTTAAGCCCTTTTCATAACTTTGGCCCATTAGCTGCGGATCCGGTCCAAACTGTGGTGGCTGCATCGGGTTACCATATGCTGATGGGTAACATAACACAGATTTATTCCGTGGGGAGAGGGTCAGGAAGTATGATACTGCTCGCTTACCCCCTCCACGCCTTTGAAGTTCTTTGGGGTGATGAGGTGATTGAGCACATCAGAGGGCCTGGCGATATGAACTCCAGAGCTTGGCACTCTCACATTTGAACTGTGTGTGTGTGTCTCAATCTCTGCATCTAAGGATTTTAGTGTGTGTGCGTAAATGTGTGTGTGCGTGTTCATCACTGTTTGACAATGTGAGTGTGACAACAGCGCCAGCCAGTCTGTCTGTCTCTGTGCGTGTCTGTTTATGTTGGTGTGCCAAGTCCCCCACCCTTTGAAATATCTTTATCAACTCCCACCGGCCTGCCACCACTGATACACACAGAGGCGGTGAGACAGTGGCTGTTAAGGTTTGTTACTGATGTGACGGGGAGAGAGAGACATGCAGAGAGACACTCACTCTGAACGTCAGGTCGTGGGCCAGGGGAGAGGTATTGAAGTACTCGAAAATGGAGTCCTGGAAATCAGGCAGTTTCATCCCTGTGTTTAGAAGAGAAGGACAGTCAGCTTTTATGTTCATAGCCTGCATTTACACGATTCTAGAGAGGAATACTGTTCATATTTGCACAGTTGAAGAGAAACAAGTAACTGACATTACTAGAGAAAGAAATGTAATGTTCTGTTTCTATCTGAGAGGTAATCCTTAGAAGTTATGGATGCATGTGTATCCCCAATGAGCAAATAAAACCAAACAAACATTATTCTAAAACTTTAAGACCAACTACAATCATACATTTGTATGAGGTATAGTATACTAAATACTGGTTATATTAATCCAGATTAAGAGAATTTAACAACCTACAGTGCCTTCAGAATGTATTCACACCCCTTGACTTTTTCCACAATTTGCTGTTTTACAGCCTGAATTTAAAATCTATTAAATTTAGAAAAAAAAATTCACTGGCCTACACACAATAACCCTTTTGTTATGGCACGCCTAAATAAATTCATGAGCAGACATTTGCTTAAAACAGTTACAGAGATTAATGGCTGTGATAGGAAAAAAATGAGGATGGATCAACAACATTGTTGTTAATCCACAATACTAACCTAATTGACAGAGTGAAACGAAGGAAGCATGTACATAATACAATTATTCCAAAACATGCATTCCTAAAGTAATACTGCAAAAAATGTGGCAAAGTAATTCACTTTTTGTCCTGAATACCAAATGTATGTAGCAAATCCAATACAACACATTACTGAGTACCACTCTCCATATAGATCAAGCATAGTGGTGGCTGCATTATGTTATGGGTATGCTTGTAATCGTTAAGGACTGGGGAGTTTTTCAAGATAAAACAATTAATGGAATGGAGCTAAGCACAGGCAAAATCCTCAAGGAAAACCTGGTTCAGTTTGCTTTCCACCAGACACTGGGAGATTAATTCACCTTTCAGCAGGACAATAACATAAAACACAAGGACAACTCTACACTGGAGTTGCTTACCAAGAAGACTGTGAATGTTCCTGAGTAGCCAAGTTACAGTTTTGACTTAAATCTTCTTGAAAATCTATGTAAGACCTGAAAATGGTTGTCTAGCAATGATCAACAACCAATGTGACAGACCTTGAAGAATTTTGAAAAGTATAATGGTCAAATGTTGCACAATCCAGGTGTGGAAAGCTTTGAGAGACTTACCCAGAAAGACTCACAGCTGTAATTGCTGCCAAAGGCGCATCTACAAAGTATTGACTCAGGGGTGTGAATATTTATGTAAATTAGATATTTCTGCATTTCATTTTCAATACATTTGCAAAAAAAAATTCAAACATGTTTTCACTTTTTCATTATGGGGTATTGTGTGTAGATGGGTGAGAAAAAAATATATTTAATACATTTTGAATTCAGGCTGTAACACAACAAAATATGGAATAAGTCAAGGGGTATGAATACTTTTTGATGGCAATGAATTTTTGTAGACACACAGTGCCTTCGGAAAGATTTCAGACCCCTTGACTTTTTACACATTTTGTTAAGTTATAGCCTTACTCTAAAATGTATTAAATAAATAAACATCCTCAGCAATCTACATACAATACCCCATAATGACAAAGCGAAACTTTGTTGTTGTTGTTGCTGCTAATTTAAAAAAACTGGAAAAAAAAGAATTACCTTATTTACATAAGTATTCAGACCCTTTGCTATGGGACTCTAAATTGAGCTCAGGTGCATCCTGTTTCCATTGATCATCCTTGAGATGTTTCTACAACTTGATTGGAGTCCACCTGTGGTCAATTCAATTGATTGGACATGGGCGGCAGGTAGCTTAGTGGGTAAGAGCGTTGTGCCAGTAACCGAAAGGTCGCTGGTTCTAATCCCCGAGCCGACTAGGTGAAAAATCTGTCGATGTGCCCTTGAGCAAGGCACTTAACCCTAATTGCTCCTGTAAGTCGCTCTGGATAAGAGCGTCTGCTAAATGACCAAAAATAAAATAAAATAAAAATAAAATTAGGAAAGGCAAACACCTGTCTATTTAAGGTCCCACAGTTGACAGTGCATGTCAGAGCAAAAACCAAGCCATGAGGTCGAAGGAATTGTCCGTAGAGTGCCGAGACAGGATTGTGTCGAGGCACAGATCTGGGGAAGGGTACCAAAACATTTCTGCAGCATTGAAGGTCCCCAAGAACACAGTGGCCTCCATCATTCTTAAATGGAATACGTTTGGAACCACCAAGACTCTTCCTAGAGCTGGCCGCCTGGCCAAACTGAGCAATCGGGGGAGAAGGGCCTTGGTCAGGAAGGTGACCAAGAACCCGATGGTCACTCTGACAGAGCTCTAGAGTTCCTCTGTGAAGATGGGAGAACCTTCCAGAAGGACAACCATCTCTGCAGCACTCAACCAATCAGGACTTTATGGTAGAGTGGCCAGACGGAAGCCACTCTTCAGTAAAAGGCACATGACAGCCCACTTGGAGTTTGCCAAAAGGCACCTAAAGACTCTCAGACCATGAGAAACAAGATTCTCTGGTCTGATGAAACCAATATTTAATTATTTGGCCTGAATGCCAAGCGTCACGTTTGGAGGAAACCTGGCACCATCTCTACGGTGAAGCATGGTGATGGCAGAATCATGCTGTGGGGATGTTTTTCAGCGGCACGGACTGGGAGACTAGTCAAGATCGAGGCAAAGATGAACGGAGCAAAGTAGAGAGATCCTTGATGAAAACCTGCTCCAGAGCTCTCAGGACCTAAGACTAGGGTGAATGTTCACCTTCCAACAGGACAACAATCCTAAGCACACAGCCAAGACACAGCAGGAGTGGCCCAGCCAGAGCCCGGACTTAAACCTGATCGAACATCTCTGGAGAGATCTGAAAATAGCTGTGCAGCAACGCTCCCCATCCAACCTGACAGCGCTTGAGAGGATCTGCAGAGAAGAATGGGAGAAACTTCCCAAATACAGGTGTGCCAAGCTTGTAGGTCATACCCAAGAAGAGTCGAGGCTGTAATCGCTGCCAAAGGTGCTTCAACAAAGTCCTGAGTAAAGGGTCTGAATACTTATGTAAATGTCATATTTCTAAAAACCAGTTTTTGCTTTGTCATTACGGGGCATTGTGTGTAGATTGATGAGTATTTTTTAAAAATATATATACATTTTAGAATAAGGCTGTAACCTAACAAAATGTGGAAAAAGTCAAGGGGTCTGAATACTTTCCGAAGGCACTGTATGCCAGGGACAGTTTAGGGTTAAGACATGGTTGGCCAGAGGTTTGGTTCAGGGTTAGAGCATGGTTGGCCAACCTTTGTCAGAGCGGGAGCGGCTCTCCTCCAAGTCCTTCTTCATGCTCTCCAGCTGCTCTGCCATCTCTCTGCTCCTGGACTCGGAATCTTTCAGTTTGCTGAGAGAGAGAGAGAGAGAGAGAGAGAGAGAGAGAGAGAGAGAGAGAGAGAGAGAGAGAGAGAGAGAGAGGTGGGTAACGCGTCATCCTCTTACATCTTTCACATTTGAAAGCCATATCAGTCATGCTTACGTAATTAAAATAAAACTACACCTTCACATAGATCAGCGTGTAGCTAGCTAGCTACCTTGCACTAGCTCTTTCACGTTTGACCCTTGAGAAGATACATGTGTCTCCAACTGTGTGGGGTGGTGAATGTGGATGCTTGTGTGTAGGTGTATGTATGTGGAGTTAGGATCAGGGTTAAGGTATGTTGAAATTCTTATTATTTTTCAAACAAAATATATAAGAACTTCATATTCTAAATAGAATGCTTTATATTGTGTATCTGAAAAAATTTAACTAATATTGTAACAAAACAAAGCTGCAACATTGTATGGGTGTGCCTTCCTTGCCATTCAGGGGCGTCACACACACATACCACACACGCACTGAGGATGGTGGAAGCCAAAACCTATGCCATTTCAGAAGAGGATTTAGAGTTGAGCACATTCTCTTATTGACGGTTGGGGTCGCCAGGGCGGGGCTGACCTTTCAAATGAGATGTTGGCGGCCTTGAACTTGCGGAGCTCCTCCTGGACTAGTTGCTTGGCCCGAATCTCGGCATCCAGGGCCGACTGCAGCTCCAGACGGGCCGACATGTCCAGCTTCTGGCTGCGACGCACCTTCCACAGGGGGTCCTGGGGACGAGAGCATGATTCATGTATTGTAATTCAGGGTGGGGAGCAGGGATTCATGTGATTACATTAATCAGTGGTCAATTATTGGGTGTGGTCGATTTTACTTGCTCTGAGTAGGGAGTGCGGTTAAGAGTACAGCGCTGGCAACACCAGGAATGTGGTTTGGATTCCCTGATGGGCCAAAATGGGTTAACTAAGTCACTCAACTGATTCCTGTCAGAGATGAGTGACTCAGCATCTGGCCAATAAGGTCACTTTCTCTTTGTGCAGAATCTGCTCCTGTATTCACATTATTCTCTACCATGGAAAGTCTGGTGACTGGTCTTCCAGGAATCACTGGATTCCTGTCTATAATCAAGCTGTGATGTAATAGTCCATATGTAATTCAATAGAGTGTGTAAGACGTAAGAATCCATCATATTATAAAAAAATGCCCTCAATGAAAACAGCTGTTCAATAATAAACCTCAAACACAACCATATCAGCCCAACTCAAACACAATTCAGCAGGTGCAAAAATCATATTTGAGATTTCATAACTTCCACCCCCCCCCACCATACATGATGGACGTCTTTTATTGAGTGAATGAGGGAGCGCCATTCAGCTGCTGCCGATGTCAAATTGACTTTTCAGGAAGCGGAGATGACATTCCTTGGATGCTGGCGGATCGCGTGACATCACGGCCCGATGGGACAGGAAATGATGAGGCATCACATCCTCTAACCCAGCCTGTCTCTGATTGAAATAGCTAGCCAGCCTCATGTTACAGGGGGGAGAGATGGGGGCAATATGTCTGGAATGGATGCTAATCTCAATATTACCTTCAGGATCCATACAGTGCTGTATACTGTATGTGAACCACTGACCGCAATGACTCACACACTACAAACGTCAATATGGAGCACAGTCCAGGACATTAAACTGTGTGTACATTTTGTACAGCACAATTTATTTATTGAAGGTATCTGTGACCAACAGATGCATATCTGTATTCCCAGTCATGTGAAATCCATAGATTAGGGCCTAATTTATTTATTTCAATTGACTGGTTTCCTTATATGAACTGTAACTCAGTAAAATCTTTGAAATTGTCGCGTTTATATTTTTGTTCAGTATAATTTGTAAAAAAAAAAAAAAACATAATTCCACTTTGACATTATGGGGTATTGTGTGTAGGCCAGTGACAAACATCTCAATTTAATCCATTTTAAATTCAGGCTGTAACACAACAAAATTTGGAAAAAGTCAAGGAGTATGAATAATTTCTGAAGGCACTGTATATTGTCCCATATTTATGCTGCTACACAAACAGGACCAGATTAACCCCTACCCCCAATCCTAAATTTACCCATTAGGGTGATGGAAGAATATGTGACCCTATATCAGATGTTAGGGGCAACTTCTACTTACACCCTCTACTAAAATGTGTTTCTGGGTTCTTAGAAGCAATGAGAAGCATCTTACAGTATCAGTCTCGTCTGAAACAGATATGGCCCCCTCAAACTCCTCAGATAAATTTCACTCTGAATTCAAATGTGGCTTTCTAGGTCTCCGAATGCTTGAAAGTAGTGGCAGTCTTTTTAAATACTCCTAGCTGGGAACGTCAACCCCCCTTCAAACGTGCCTGAAATATCATGTCAGAATTCAGATTACGCTGGCTATTCCAGGTCATTATTCACACAAAAATCAAATCACCAAATCGGAAGAAACTGGGCCATATGAGTGACAGACAAGTGACCCTATCGGCATGAGAGCAGCCCTCTGCCCCGCCTATGGTGGAGCGTCACATCCGCAGTGATTGGAGGCTGGGTTTGATTGACAGACGCACTCACCAGCATTTCCTCCCCAGCCGAGGGAAAGGGCTTCAGGGGAGGAGAGGCCACTCCTGAGCCTTGCTGGGGGCGGCAGGTTAAAACAGTAGAGCACTCAACGCAACGTACTCCACACAACGCACTCCACACACACTTCAACACTTCAGCAGAGTACACCAACACAAGTTTGCGAAAGAGAGGAGAGGGGACGGTTTTATGGTCCAATGATCAGTATGTAATAAAGAAGTGGGCTAAAGGGATAGTTGTCTGACTAAGGGCCAGGGACAATGTATGGTGATTTTTTCCAGATTCTAAATCAAATGTTTTAAAACCAAATGGTTTCTCTACCATTGAGGAGTTCAATGCTTTTTTACCATTTACCTTCTTTTTTGATTGCTTGAGCCATCTACTACAGTAAGTCAATGCTTGCATCCCAAATGGCACCCTATTCCCTACATAGTTCTGTACTTTTGACCAGAGCCCTTTGGGCCATCTACTACAGTAAGTCAAACTTACTCCATAAGCACCATATTCCATACATAGTGCACGACTTTTGACCAGAGCCCTATGGGGCCAACTCAGTGGCCTTGTGTTTAGAATGTTCACCCTGAGATTGGAAGGTTGGGAGTTCGATACCAAAGACTATAAAAATAGGACCCGATTTGTCTCTGCTTGGCACTCAGCATTAAGGAGATAGATTGGGGGTAAGGAAGGCCCTGCGATAGATTACCGTTCTGTCCAGGGGGTGTACTTGTACATTAAGCTGCCTCACGCTCCAGAAACAGGAGATAGGCTCCTCCTGCTCCTATGAGTCATTCCGGCCAAACTTTCACTGGGAAGCTACAATGGGGCATCGGAAAAACTGTAGGTTTTTACTTACTGGACGCTCAACTTTTTACTAGTGTGAGCAGATACTGCAGCACAGCAGTAATGACAGGGTAAAATGAGTAGATGGAGTGTAGCCTACACACTACACAGCTTGTCTAAGTTTCTCTCTGGTATCTATCGTACCAGGGGTCTGGAGCCCAGGCTGGAGCTGCGGAGTGACTCCAGCTCCTCTGTCATCTTGGAGGCCAAGGCCTGCAGGTAGCCGCGGGCGTCCTTCTCATCACTCACCCTATGGGGTCAAACAGACACATCAGCAGCTTAGGAAAGGTTTCTGAAGCATCTATACAGGCCTTACACAGGGTTTACTAAGTCTTATATTCATTAGGGCACACCATGGCAAAGCATTTTAAAACAGAAAAGGAACATTTGCTATCCTATTGGACAAGTTCACGGCCCTGTATAGCTGCCTGTCCACTCACCACTGGATGATCTCAGCTATTTGGGCCTCCCAGTGAGCCACACTCTCCTTTTTAGAGGCCAGGTCCTGCAGCTCGTCCTCCAGCTGACGGTTCTGATCGGTCAGCTTGTCCACAAACGTACACATCTGAGAGAGAGACAGAGGGGGTGAGAGAGAAAGGGGGTGAGAGAGAGAGCGGGAGATAGGGAGGGGTGAGAGAGAGAGCGGGAGATAGGGAGGGGGGAGAGAAAGCGGGAGATAGGGAGGGGGGAGAGAAAGCGGGAGATGGAGAGGGCGGAGAGAGCGAAAGAGAGTGACAGGAATGGAGAGAGGGGGAAAGAGGTAGAGAGAGGGGGGAGAAGAAGAGAGAGTTAGCGAGAGAGAGAGAGAGACAGAGTGTCAGGGTAATTGTCCATTCACAACACCTCTTTCCCACAATGTGTACCTCTGTACCTATGTGTGGTCCTTACCCGGTCGGTCTCTGCGGTCAGTTTGCAGTTGTCCTCGGTCAGCATGCTGCGCTCACGCTCGTACTTGTCCTTCAGAGCGCCCACTGCCTCGTCCATCTCGGTTTGCCTGCACACACACGCACAGAATGAGATCTCAAGTACACAAGTCTACAGGTCAAACAAATAACAAAGCAGTCACCTCTTGGGTAAACCGTTTTGGGATGGGGCAGGAGAAATTTAGCCACTCTCAAATTCATAGTGTTTGTTTACAATTACGTTGTTTACAAACAATGGAGTAAAACAAGTTTATATTTTGGGTTCTGATGGGGTACGACAGTTGAACTGAGCTCATAAGGCATTTATACATTATATTCTCCAAGAATCAAATGGGTGTATATAACTAATTTAGAAGTCCAAGAATGTATGTAGCAATCACAGATTGCCACTTTAATGTAGAAACATAAGTGTTTGGACAATTGTCAGAAGGTACGCACCCCCTAATCTGAAAATGTACTCATACCTGACATCATACCTCAAGTATTCCATTAAAAGGAAGCTATTCCATTTTTACTTCAGCCATATAGTGGATGCTAGCCTAGCCCACCTCTCACTCTTGACAAAGCCTATCCTATTAAAACCTGTACTAGCTAAACCTACCCTATCCTAAACCCACCTCTCTTTCTTGGCTTTCTCCAGCTTGTCCTTGAGCACGAGCAGCTGTTTGTGAAGGGAGAACTGCTGACCCTCCGAGTCGTGGAGCTCCTTCCGGAGGCCCTTGAGCTCGCTGGTGTGGGAGGCCTCGCGGCGCACCAGCTCCTCTTCGTAGAACAGCACCTTCTTGTCCAGCTCCGACTTCACCTTGGACAGCTCCTGAAGCAACTCTGGGCTGCTGCTTCCGCTGCCGCGCGCGCAGCCCAGCTGCTTCACCTGGGGGGAGGAAGCGAGAGAGTTTTGTTTCTATTGTGTTTGCATTGTGTTTTCGATCATGAGAGATGTAATGAGCATGGTTTTTAAAATCAGAAATAGCAAATAAACAAAAAACGTGAAAGAGAGAAAGTGAGAGAGAAATGTCTGGGAGTGGTCTGAGTAGGGAGGTGAAAACCGAAAACGAACTGTTATTGGCAGAGGTTTGGAACTCTCTTTCTTATTAGTCTATTAACTAATGAAATGCCTGGTGATGACACCAGGCAGGCCAAAACGCCATCCACTTTTCAAACAGCACTTAAACTAAAAGGGCATTATCATATCATTTTCACAATTTCACAGTATTCTTCCAATCACAGTGTGGAAATACATATAAAACATAGGAAAAACACATGTTTTATTGCACTGGACCTTTAAGAGGAGTACGTCACAGGGGAGAGGGGAGTTGGGGGGACCGAAGGGAGAGGGGAGGGTGGTGAAGAACGGAAGGTGAGGAGGTGTAATTAGGAATGTAAACAGAGCCAGGGCATAAAAAATTGAACCGCCACCCACCAAACGCAGGTAGATTTTGGTATTGGAGGTTAAGAATGTCTATTTCACCAGCCACGTTGGCAGGTGGTCAATTTGCAGGGCTCTACAATCGATTTTCAAAGATTTTCAGCTGTTTTGTTTCATAGCTGCTAATCGCACAAAGAAATATAAATCCTATATCCCACCTCGCGCAACAACACTGCCTGGCTGGGGAGCTGTGCACACTGTGTGCACACAAGCATTCCGCTACACCCACAATAACATCTGCTAAACACGTGTATGTGACAAATCAAACGAGATTTGATTAGAAGATATTTGTATTTATTTTTCACAAGCTCTGATGTTTTTCAATGTTCATTGGAGTTTGCTTTAACTGCTAGCGAAGAGATGAGTCTACTACCAGTCAGTAGTCAGATTCAAAATCTCACACACAGACACACTTGACAGGACTCAAGTGGCACGTTACCACTGTAAACTCCCACACATAAAGGGGCAGCTGAACATTTGTCTCATCTGATATTTTGGTTAAAAGACACAGGTTTAAAAAAAAAATGAAATTGAGCAATATACCACATATACTATATACAGTGCATTCTGAAAGTATTCAGACCCCTTCCCCTTTTCCACATTTTGTTACATTACAGCCTTATTCTAAAATTGACTAAATAAATAAAATGTCCTTAATCTACACACATTACCCCATGACGACAAAGTGAATACATGTTTGCCGCCCCCCCCCCACTTTGACCTATAAAACAAAAATGAATAAAACAATGTGCTGATTTTTTTTTATAAAAATAGGAAGTCAGGATTAATGGCTACAATGAGCACGTTTTGCAGTGCACAGCTTTTCGAAGTGGGGTTTGAAGCATGATACTGCAACTCTCAGCTCCTGCTCAATGTTTAGCTGGGACCTGTACTTGGTCTTCAGTGCAGCAACAGCAGAGAAGCCAGTCTCACAAATATAAGATGTTGCAAAAGGAAGAAGAATGCCCATGGCCCTCTGCCCTAAGAGTGGATAATGCCTCTCTACACTCAGCCAGAATTCACTCAGTGTCTGTGATGTGAACCTCAGTCTCAATGTGGAGTCAGATGTCATATCAATGAACTGGTCCTCCTCTGCAGAGCTGAAACCAGTTGGAGCTGGTGCATTGAATTGATCTCTCACCCAGTCATATTGGGAACTGTTTTCAGGGAAGTACTTTTTAAAGAATCCCATCAGTGATGAAATATGCTCCTTAATATATGGAATCACTGAGGTGGCATCATAGTCAGTAGTGTCAACAAATTCATGCAGGTTCTCGAATGAATCAGTATTTCCTTCATCAAGTCGCCTGCCCCACATTGCAAGCTTTCGAGTGAAAGAGCTGATCTTGTCTGTGACCTGAGGGAGGTGTTTATCTTTCCCTTGAAGCTGTAGATTTAGTTCATTTAGCTTTCCAAATATGTCACTCAGGTAGGCCAGTTTTGCCAGGAAGTTCTCATCACTACATTTTTCTGCGAGGTCATACTTGTGCTCCTGCTCCGAAAACATTCTTATCTGCTCTCTGAGCTCAAAAACTCGGGACAAGACTTTTCCTCGTGACAGCCACCTTGCTTCACTGTGAAACAGCACAGCTTGATAGTCAGCTCCCATCTCCTCACAGATAGCAGAGAAGACTCTTGTTTTTAGTGGTCTGGTCTTTATAAAATTGACTACACCTACAATGTCAGTCATAACCTCACTTAATTCAGAGGAAAGGTGCCTTGATGCCAGTGCTTCTCTGTGTATAACACAGTGTGTCCACTCAGCATTAGGTGAGGCCTTCTTGATGAGTGCCCAAAGTCCTTTTCTCATCCCTGCCATGGTCTGTGCATCATCACTGCAAACACCAATGCAGTTCTCCCACTTTAGCCCATTCTCAGTCAGAATGCAGTCCATCATTTTGAATAGCTCTTCAGCTGTGGCTCTGTCTCTGACATATTTACAAAAAAGTAGATCCTCACACAGGGAGTTTGTCATGTCAAAACGTACATAAGCGATAAACAAACAGTCTTTGTTGCTGTCAGTTGCTTCATCGAACTGTAAGGCAAAACGTTTCTCTTTGAGTTTATCTACCAGCTGTTCTTTAAGATCGTTAGCAATGTCATTTATACGTCTGGCGACAGTGTCATTGGACAGAGGGATAGTTTTTATTTTTGCAGCACTTGCGTCATCCAGCATGACAGAGACCTGTCTAATGCTGCAGGCAGTATCAGCTCCTCTGCTATGGTGTGTTTTTTTGTTGCACTGAGCAATTTGGTACGCCACCTTATATGATGCTAACAGTGCTCTCTGGTTTACTGAAGTAGCATTCACAAAGCGGGACGATTGTTGGCAATATTCGGCACGTTTTCGCTGAAAAAACTCAAGCGGCTTATCAGCGTGATTGGGGTGTAATGTCTTTAAGTAACGCCTTAATTTATTTGGCTTCATGCTGTCCGCTGCCAACATTTTTAGACACAGTAAACATAACGGTCTTTCCTCGTCTCCCACCGTAGTCACAGTGAAGCCAAGCGCTACATACGCTTCGTCATATTTCCTCGTCTTAGCTTTCGGGAGACTTACGTTTGTCTCATTATCTCCGTCTCTCTCCGCCTTTCTTTTCATCCCTGTTAGATATGTTTCCATGGTGTCTCTTAAAGGTTTGTTATCTGCACTTCATTTCTCCTGCTCTGTGCTGTGTGCTCTTGTTCGGTGCAAAAAAACACTACTCCCTGCGGCAAAAATAAGCATGTTCCCCGGGGTCACACGCGCCCCCCCGGCATCGCTCCGAGCCCCCCCAGGGGGGCGCGCCCCACTATTTGAGAAGGACTGGTCTAGACCCATTGACAACAGCAACAGACAACAACAAACACACTGTTATATATAGCCATGCCAGAGGGAAGACCCCTCAGCTAGCATGGGGGGGGAAGGGAGGAGAGGGGAGAAGTGGGATGGGAGAAGGAAAAGTATAGAGTAGGGGAGAGAGTACGAGGATAGTGGAGAGAGTATGAGGATAGGGGAAAGTGGGGAAAAGGGAGGGAAGCATAGCAGGGAGAGGCAGAGCAGTGAAAAAGGAGAAGGGGAGAGGTGCTAGTAGGGGTAGGGACAGGAGAGTGGAGAGAACGAGAAAGGGTACAGGAAGATCAGTGAAAAGAGAGAAAAGGAGTGTGTGATCTCTGACCTTCAGGGTCTCCAGCTCCATCTCCAGCTGTTTGGAGTAGACCTCGCTGTGCTCGCGCAGCTTATGCTGCTTAGACACTTCCGCCTTGGCATCCTCCAACTGGGCCTCCAACTAACACACAAACACATGGAGACAAAGCAGAGGTTTAACATCACCATCCACACACAGAGTTTTATATCCTTCTACCAGGAAATATTTATGCACACATATACAATTTCTCACTCTGAACCACACACAAACATTCATGGGCATGTATTGAGTAAATGTGTGTATTGGCATTATGCATCCCAGTAATGTGTATATGAATAAACAGTATTGGGGGGGATGGTGAGGAGATGAGAAATTGGCCTATCACCCTGCCACCATTGACCCCGTCCCTGGCCCCATGCAGTTTAGCTGGGGTCACCAAAATCCATCTGGACCCTGTTAGCGCTTATCTCTAGGGAAGGCCTGAGGGTGCATCTAAATAATCTAAAGTGCCATTCCTTGTCTCCTCTCCATCTGCACTGATCTAAAAACATGGGCAAGGCGAAAGCAATATCGAGGAAGCCTACTAGGAATTCGCTTTCACCTGCCTAGATCTTCAATGTCAGTGCAGGTGGAGGAAGCTATTTTAGGACTATTGAGATGCAGCCCTGGCTTGTTTTGGCAGTGTATGTATTATGTTTCCTAACCCCTAAAGGGCTCTACACACTCTATGCAAACTGAGCATCGTACAGTGGGGGAAAAAAGTATTTAGTCAGCCACCAATTGTGCAAGTTCTCCCACTTAAAAAGATGAGAGAGGCCTGTAATTTTCATCATAGGTACACGTCAACTATGACAGAGAAATTGAGGAAAAAAATCCAGAAAATCACATTGTAATATTTTTTATGAATTTATTTGCAAATTATGGTGGAAAATAAGTATTTGGTCACCTACAAACAAGCAAGATTTCTGGCTCTCACAGACCTGTAACTTCTTCTTTAAGAGGCTCCTCTGTCCTCCACTCGTTACCTGTATTAATGGCACCTGTTTGAACTTGTTATCAGTATAAAAGACACCTGTCCACAACCTCAAACAGTCACACTCCAAACTCCACTATGGCCAAGACCAAAGAGCTGTCAAAGGACACCAGAAACAAAATTGTAGACCTGCACCAGGCTGGGAAGACTGAATCTGCAATAGGTAAGCAGCTTGGTTTGAAGAAATCAACTGTGGGAGCAATTATTAGGAAATGGAAGACATACAAGACCACTGATAATCTCCATCGATCTGGGGCTCCACGCAAGATCTCACCCTGTGGGGTCAAAATGATCACAAGAACGGTGAGCAAAAATACCAAACCACACAGGGGGACCTAGTGAATGACCTGCAGAGAGCTGGGACCAAAGTAACAAAGCCTACCATCAGTAACACACTACGCCACCAGGGACTAAAATCCTGCAGTGCCAGACGTGTCCCCCTGCTTAAGCCAGTACATGTCTAGGCCCGTCTGAAGTTTGCTAGAGTGCATTTGGATGATCCAGAAGAGGATTGGGAGAATGTCATTTGAAACCAAAATAGAACTTTTTGGTAAAAACTCAACTCGTCGTGTTTGGAGGACAAAGAATGCTGAGTTGCATCCAAAGAACACCATACCTACTGTGAAGCATGGGGGTGGAAACATCATGCTTTGGGCTGTTTTTCTGCAAATGGACCAGGACGACTGATCCGTGTAAAGGAAAGAATGAATGGGACCATGTATCGTGAGATTTTGAGTGAAAACCTCCTTCCATCAGCAAGGGCATTGAAGATGAAACGTGGCTGGGTCTTTCAGCATGACAATGATCCCAAACACACCGCCCGGGCAACGAAGGAGTGGCTTCATAAGAAGCATTTCAAGGTCCTGGAGTGGCCTAGCCAGTCTCCAGATCTCAACCCCATAGAAAATCTTTAGAGGGAGTTAAAAGTCCGTGTTGCCCAGCGACAGCCCCAAAACATCACTGCTCTAGAGGAGATCTGCATGGAGGAATGGGCCAAAATACCAGCAACAGTGTGTGAAAACCTTGTGAAGACTTACAGAAAACGTTTGACCTGTGTCATTGCCAACAAAGGGTATATAACAAAGTATTGAGAAACTTTTGTTATTGACCAAATACTTATTTTCCATCATCATTTGCAAATAAATTCATAAAAAATCCTACAATGTGATTTTCTAGAATTTTTTTCTCTCATTTTGTCTGTCATAGTTGACGTGTACCTATGATGAAAATTACAGGCCTCTCTCATCTTTTTAAGTGGGAGAACTTGCACAATTGGTGGCTGACTAAATACTTTTTTTCCCCACTGTACAAGGTCCGTTCCAAATATTCAGCCGCACAAAAGTACGTAGAACTACGTAGAGAGCGGCGCAAACGGAGCTCCATCGTTCCGTTTGCATAGAGCCCTTAAGGGAAGCTGTAGGACACACCAAGTAGCGCATTCCTCTGTCGCCAATGCAGACAGCACTAGAAAGACGATGCCCTTAAGGGAATACTGACATTCAGATGGAGAAATAAACAAGTAGATAACAAGCTGATGATAAAAGATACAGCTGGAGAGAAGTTGGTTTGTGCTTTCTGAATGGCAGGAGGAGCTGTAGCACCAAAACTCAAATCGATTCAAATTTGATTTGCCACATGCGCCGAATACAACAGGTGTAGACCTTACAGTGAAATGCTTACTTATAAGCCCTTAACCAACAATGCAGTTTTAAGAAAAATAAGTGTTAAGTAAAAAATAAGAAATAAACATTATTAAAGAGCAGCAGTAAAATAAAATAACAGTAGGGAGGCTATATACAGGGGGTACCGGTACCCCCTGTATATGTGTGTGTTGAGGTTGAGAGTCTGGGATTCTTGTACATAGACACACTCACATAGGCACACACACACAGTTAATAATACACATATAACCCACAAGCAATGCACTCAATTATGCCCTCACCACAGAAAGCTAAACGTTGCTAATTAGCTTAACGTTGCTTACACATTGCCACTCCGCCTCCAGCTTTGACAGCCCATGTGGCCTGTGGTGTGCTAACTTTATCCACAATTGTTAGCATGCTAAGTGTTAGCAAACTTAATGTTAGTAAGCTAAGACTTAGCAAGACAAATGTTACCAGAGACAGTAGAGAAAGCGAAACATTCCACTCCCTCATTTTTTCAGGTCGGGGCAGGGCCGCTCTGGTCTGCTTATTGCCCCCGACCCCCAGAGACTGTAGAGAAAGGAGACATCTCACTGGCAAATTTCTTCTGGTCGGGCGAGCAAGGTGGGGACAGTAGGTAGACCAGAAGCAGCTGTTCCTTCTCTCGCGTAAGCATGCCAGAGATTATGAAGGAACCGTGAGCTTACACGGGAAAGCATGCTCACAAGAGAGAGGGCACGCCCACTTACACAGACAGGAACCGTGACTATTTTTTTCAATGGTAAAAGGCCTGAGTGAACTATCTTAATTTATCCACCAACTTTGATGTTACCAAGCTAAGAGTTAGCAAGCTAAATGTTTGCAAGCTAAGCATTAGCAAGCTAAGCATTAGCAAGCTAAATGTTAGAAAGCTAAGGGCGAACAAGCTAAACGTTAGCAATCTAAGTACTAGCAAGCTAAATGTTAGCAAACCAACTGTTAGCGAGCTAAGTGTTATAAAGCTAACTATAACCAAGTTAAGCTAAGTGTTAGCAAGCTAAATGCTAGCACTTTAAGTGTTAGCATTAGTGAGCTACGCGCTAGTCAACTTTTACATCTCACCTCCTTGCGAGCCTTCTCGGTCTTGCGGATGTCCTGGCGCATTGCATCCACCTTCTGCACAGCAGCGTCCATCTCCTCCTCCTTGTCGCGGAGCTGGCGCGAGAGGCGCTGCTTGGTGGAGCGCAGCTCTGCCATGCGCTCACTCAGCTCAGAGAACTCCTGCAGGGCCAGCTTCCGCTGGCTATGGGCCTCCTTCAGCTCCTTGGTCTGGGACTTGAGGCGCTCCAGGGACTCCACCAGTTGCTGTTGGTGGAGATGGAGAGGGGAGGCGGGGGGGTGAGAAAGAGGTGGGGAGAGTGGATAAGTGAGGGAGAGAGAGAGGAGGAAGGAAGGAAGGCAGGAAGGTGAGAGAGATGTGGGGGAGGTAGGTTGTAGAGGGGGAAGGGGGAAGAGAGGGAAGGGAGAGGGAAGGGAGAGAAAGGGTGAGTGGGTAGGTGAGAGGGGGGGGGTGGAGAGAAAGAAAGAGTCAAGAGAGAAAAAGGAAGGGTGGGAGGGAGAGGGCAGCAAAATAAATGAGAGAAAGAGCAGAGGAGAGGCACGAGAGATGGGGAGAGGGAAAGAGCCAGACAGAATGACAGGTGTGTAGATTAAATGAGAGGGAGAGGAGGGGAATCGTGAGAAAGAAAAAAGAATCAGTGAACTACCAATTATAAGCTTGACTGACACTATAAACATACAGACAATTAGTACCGAACAAATTATTTTAAGAAAAATTCCACCCTTTTTCAACATTACATTCATAATCTCCAGCTCCACCCCAACATGTGAAAATGGCGGGTTTTTATGTCCATATTCAAGGAAAATCAAATCCTTTATGCATTGTTGGTAAATAAATGGTGACTGAATGATCTACAAATAATAATGAGTAGTTAATGATGCAAGGTGATTTGTAGATCAGTCAGTCGGCAGTCACCTGCAATGTCAAACAAGTCCTATGTTTTGTAGTTCAAAAGATAGAAGATAGGATATTTCTGATGACATCATCCAGAGACACTGATGACATCATCTGGTGTGCTTCATGTGAATGTAACCGCCTATGAGCAAGCAAAGGTTAGTTATGTAAACTAGACAATGTAAAGTAGAGTAGACAAACACATCCCCAGTGTAAGAGAAGAGGATGGGGTTAAATAGTTTAGCGAATGGAATTAGACAACAATTTGGTGTGTGTCGAGAATCCGGACTCCCGCTAACCCATGACATTGACGGAATTAATCGGACTAAAAAGCTCCCAGTGTTTACACACTGTGGTGATCTAATGACCTGAGGATATTAGGTTAGGCACTGTGTGTGTGTGTGTATCAGGTTGGAGAGGTGTGTGCGTTTGTGTTTCAGCATCAGCATCTTGCACATCAGATACAATGGGACTTCACACTGAGTGAAATGTCCTCTATGCACTATGCAATGAATAGGCAACGGTGAACAACATTGGTCCTGGAGAGCTACAGTGTGCCCAGTGAATCATGTCAGCTCTATTTATTGCATTCACCTCACTGAATACACCCCTAGGTCGTATTCACTTGACACCAAACGGAAGAAAACGGTCCGAAATGAGAAATGGCTGCCTGAACTTGTCCAATAACAAACACTAGATTTTATTTTCCTTAGCAAAACATTTTGCTATGGTGTGCACTACTGAATATGACCCTGGAGGAGGGGGGTGAGTTTGAAGGTCAGGGGGGAGAGAAGAGTGATGTTACCTTGTGGATCTCCTCCTTCTCCTGTCTCAGGGCTTTGACCTGCTTGTCCAGGGTTTTCAGCTTGGAGGAGGAGCTCTCATAGTCCTGGCGCAGTGTCACCGCCTCCTCCAGCTGGTGCTCCAGCCTATCAGAGTCTGAAAGAAGGCGAAAAGGGGAGGGACTTCTTGGTTAGTGAGCTGGTGATAGGTTAGGGTCAATGTTTCCCAAAAGGTCACAATAGTAGTGGCTTCAGACTGGGATTTGGGGAGAAAACTTTGATTTATTTTGTTTTAAACATAATACTTTGTTTATGCGAAAGGTGACAAGAACTGAGCCCTACAGACGAAGAACCATAGATGATAGATGTGCCTTATATATTTTCAGATTAGTGATGTTTCAAATGTCATTATCTGCTGACTAACATCCCGAGTGGCGCAGCGGTCTAAGGCACTGCATCTCAGTGCTTGAGGCGTCACTACAGACCCCCTGGTTCGATTCCAGGCTGTATCACAACCGTACGTGATTGGGAGTCCCATAGGGCAGCGCACAATTGGCCCAGCGTCGTCCGGGTTTGGCCGGTGTAGGCCGTCATTGTAAATAAGAATTTGTTCTTAACTGACTTGCCTAGTTAAATAAAAGTAAAATAAAAAAATAGATAGTAGATAGTAGCGGCTGTGTCCTTTCAGGTGATGTGTAACATTCTAACTCCAAATTATTTTGAATATGTTTATACAAATGCAACTACATCAGCTTTTCAAAATAACTCAAAATGGAGATATGGTTCTTCATCTCTAAAGCTCTCTAAAGAGTTTAGGTGAGAGGTACTTGTGCTGCGCTGGAATAGCCCCAAAAGTAAACTGAGCGCACCTCAAACACTTTCAGGTATTTGACCTTTGGGTTCCACCCAGGCCTGATTTAAATGCTTAGACAGTGTTGGGTTGTCTGACGACTATGTTGGATTGCATTGAGAGAGACTGACCTTCAAGTTTCTTCTTGAGCCTCTCGATCTCCTCGTTGAGCTTCTTCATCTCCTTGTCTCGGCCCAGGGTGCCAGCCCCGCGGCCCGGCCCGTGGAGAGACTGCACAGCCTGAGTGGACTCTGGAGGGGGTCAGAGGCAGCAACAAACACAGGTCAAGGGTTAGAAGTCATGTCCACATTTAAACTGTGGGTCACTTAGGGTGTGTATCAAGGGTGTTTGTGTGTGCATGCTGTGTGAGTGTTTCTCCTGGCCTCACTGGTGTGTGTGTGTATGTGTGCGCATGCAGTCTGTGTGTTTCTTTTTGCCCACTCCCGCCCTCTCACCCTGCAGCTTGCGACTCAGCTCCAGCTTCTCCTGCTCCAGCCGGCGGATCCTCCTCTCGAAAGCCTCCACCTCCAGCTCCACCTCCTGGTCCCTGGGACCCCCCTTTCCTCCTCCCCCCTCCTGGAAACCCCCATCGAACAGGCCGGCTCTGTTGACGCTGCCGCTGTCCGAGAAGCAGCTGTCCGTGGTGTAGGTGAAGCCCACGAAGGGCAGGTGCTGGCCAGTGAAGCCGGTGTGCGTAACTGGAGGGGCAATGTCCTGTTGGGTAGGAGAGAGAAAGAAAGAGAAAGAGAGATCGGTTAGAGTCGAACAGCCAAACTGACCAAGGGAAGAGCCAATTAAACAACTGAGGTCGTGGATGACAAAAACACTTCTGGTTTTCATTCTTAATCAGGGACCTGGGACTTTAACTGAGCGTCTTTCGCTGGCCAATCAGTGACATTAATTTATACTTTCGTTTTCGTGGGCCAGTTGCTGAAATAGAGTTAACTTTAGCTTGGCTGGCTAGCTGGTTTCCAGTTAGCATTAACTAGCTAGCTCCTTTCCAGTTAGTGTTAACGAGCTAGCTTGTTTCCAGTTAGTGTTAACTAGCTAGCTTGAGTCTAGTTAGCATTTGCTAGTTAGCTAGTTTCCTGTTATCTTTAGCTAGATAGCTAATTTCCCCAAGTCCACCCACCGGGTTTTTAAGAATATCTTCATCCACGTCGAAGTTGGAGGTGTCAGATGGGGAGCTGACGTCGGGGATGTAGGGCGCCTCGGTGGAGCGGATGTGATCCCAGTCGATGCCAGCAAAGAAGGGGTGGTCCTTGAAGTCACCGATGCCGTTCTGGCCCAGGCGGTGCTCGCGGCCACAGATGAGGCGCGAGATCAGGTCCTTGGCATCCTCCGACACGTCGCTGATGTTTGAGGGGAACTGGAAACGCTCCTGTGAGAGAGTGGGTGAGAGAGGAAGGAGAGGAAGGAGAGGAAGAGGGAATCAGAATTTGACCTTTAAATCTCTTTTATTGGGTCAATATCATTCATTAGAAAAACACATCAAAAACATCAAAATTTCAGCCCTCACATATAAACATCTGCAAAAGAAGCAGGAGGGGGATGAAAGAGAGAGGGGGAAGGGGCGTGATGAAGGAGAGTTCAGAGAAAGGGGGGGTAAGATTAGGGAGCCTGACCAAAAGAGGCACAGGAACAGCAAAGGAAGTAGAGGGAGGACAACAGTGAGACCCACAGAGAGAAAGTCAGAAAGACAGCAGGAAAAGATAAAGAGAGAAAAAGGGGTAGAGAGAGAGCGGTGCAATGTGGTAGAGAGCAAAAAAGAGAAAAGGGGCAGAGAACGAGGGAAACGGTGAAAGAGAGAGGGAGAACAAGAATCAGAGACAGGAGGAGAGAGACAGTGTTAGATGATACATAACAAGCTCCATTTGAGATGTGACAGAGACTTTGATGAAAATAGCAGCAAGAAAGTAGGCAAGTGTTTCAGGAACTGGGCCTTCGAGAGGAGCACTTAACCTGGATAGCCTTCAGGAAATAAACAGACCGTGTAAGTGGCCAACTTCTTAATAAAACACACCAGTACCTACACTATAAATAATCACAAACCTTTGGAACAGGCAACACTGAAGGGCAACCAATCAACAGAATTACAGTGATATACAGTGCCTTCAGAAAGAATTCACTTATTCCACATTTTGTTGTGTTACAGCCTGAATGGATTAAAAAAACTAAAAACAGCCACCTCCACACAATACCCCATAATGAAAAAGTGAAAACCTGTTTTAAGAATAGTTTGCTAATTTATTGAGAATGAAATACAGAAATATCTAATTTACATAAATATTCACACCCGAGTCAATACTTTGTAGAAGCAACTTTGGCAGCGATTAAAGCTGTGAGTCTTTCTGGGTACGTCTCTAAGAGCTTTCCACTTGGATTGTGCAACATTTGCCCATTATTCTTTTCAAAATTCTTCAAGCTCTGTCAAATTGGTTGTTGATCATTGCTAGACAACAATTGTCCATCTGCCAGTGTAGATTTGGCCTTGTGTTTTAGGTTTTTGTCCTGCTGAAGGGTGAATTAATCTCCCAGTGTCTGGTGGAAAGCAGACTGAAACAGGTTTTCCTCTAGGATTTTGCCTGTGCTTAGCTCCATTACGTCCATCCTTAATACTAGAACTGCTAAAACGGTCAATCTGACCGTTTTTTATTTCTATAACTTAATTTCTATAAAAACCTTGAACCCACCTGTCCCTGACATTTCCTAAATATGTGTATTTTACACTCTAGCAGTACTTGTAGACAAATATCACAGAAGACAAAAACTTTGATTCTCAAAGCACCATGAAGGTCAAAATGACATGCATATTTAACAGTAGAATAGCAGGGCCTCGAGGAGTACCAATAGCCACCAGCCTAATAAATCAATTTAACTAGAAAATGTTTACACACAATACCCCATAATGATGAAGCGAAAACAGGTTCAGAAAATCTTGCAAATTGATAGAAAAACAGGAAAAACAACAATACAGTGGGGAAAAAAAGTATTTAGTCAGCCACCAATTGTGCAAGTTCTCCCACTTAAAAAGATGAGAGAGGCCTGTAATTTTCATCATAGGTACAAGTCAACTATGACAGACAAATTGAGAAAAAAAAAATCAGAAAATCACATTGTAGGATTTTTAATGAATTTATTTGCAAATTATGGTGGAAAATAAGTATTTGGTCACCTACAAACAAGCAAGATTTCTGGCTCTCACAGACCTGTAACTTCTTCTTTAAGAGGCTCCTCTGTCCTACACTCGTTACCTGTATTAATGGTACCTGTTTGAACTTGTTATCAGTATAAAAGACACATGTCCACAACCTCAAACAGTCACACTCCAAACTCCAGTATGGCCAAGACCAAAGAGCTGTCAAAGGACACCAGAAATAAAATTTTAGACCTGCACCAGGCTGGGAAGACTGAATCTGCAATAGGTAAGCAGCTTGGTTTGAAGAAGTCAACTGTGGGAGCAATTATTAGGAAATGGAAGACATACAAGACCACTGATAATCTCCCTCGATCTGGGGCTCCACGCAAGATCTCACCCCGTGGGGTCAAAATGATCACAAGAACGGTGAGTAAAAATCCCAGAACCACACGGGGGGACCTAGTGAATGACCTGCAGAGAGCTGGGACCAAAGTAACAAAGCCTACCATCAGTAACACACTACGCCGCCAGGGACTCAAATCCTGCAGTCCAAGACGTGTCCCCCTGCTTAAGCCAGTACATGTCCAGGCCCGTCTGAAGTTTGCTAGAGTGCATTTGGATGATCCAGAAGAGGATTGGGAGAATGTCATATGGTCAGATGAAACCAAAATATAACTTTTTGGTAAAAACTCAACTCGTCGTGTTTGGAGGACAAAGAATGCTGAGTTGCATCCAAAGAACACCATACCTACTGTGAAGCATGGGGGTGGAAACATCATGCTTTGGGGCTGTTTTTCTGCAAAGGGACCAGGACGACTGATCCGTGTAAAGGAAAGAATGAATGGGGCCATGTATCGTGAGATTTTGAGTGAAAACCTCCTTCCATCAGCAAGGGCATTGAAGATGAAACGTGGCTGGGTCTTTCAGCATGACAATGATCCCAAACACACCGCCCGGGCAACGAAGGAGTGGCTTCGTAAGAAGCATTTCAAGGTCCTGGAGTGGCCTAGCCAGTCTCCATATCTCAACCCCATAGAAAATCTTTGGAGGGAGTTGAAAGTTCGTGTTGCCCAGCGACAGCCCCAAAACATCACTGCTCTAGAGGAGATCTGCATGGAGGAATGGGCCAAAATACCAGCAACAGTGTGTGAAAACCTTGTGAAGACTTACAGAAAACGATTGACCTGTGTCATTGCCAACAAAGGGTATATGACAAAGTATTGAGAAACTTTTGTTATTGACCAAATACTTATTTTCCACCATAATTTGCTAATAAATTCATTAAAAATCCTACAATGTGATTTTCTGGATTTTTTTTCTCATTTTGTCTGTCATAGTTGACGTGTACCTATGATGAAAATTACAGGCCTCTCTCATCTTTTTAAGTGGGAGAACTTGCACAATTGGTGGCTGACTAAATATTTTTTTCCCCACTGTATATCCACATAAGTATTCAGACCCTTTGCAATGAGACTCGAAATTGAGCTCAGGTGCATCCAGCTTCCATTGATCATCCTTGAGATGTTTCTACAACTTGATTGGAGTCCACCTGTGGTCAATTCAATTGATTGGACATGATTTGGAAAGGCACACACCTGTCCATATAAGGTCCCACAGTTGACTGTGCATATCAGAGCAACAACCAAACCATGAGGTCGAAGGAATTGCCCGTCGAGCTCAGAGACAGGATTGTGTCGAGGCACAGATCTGGGGAAGGGTACCAAAACATTTCTGCAGCATTGAAGGTCCACAAAAACAGTGGCCTCCATCATTCTTAAATGGAATACGTTTGGAACCACCAAGACTCTTCCTAGAGCTGGCCGCCCGGCCAAACTGAGCAATCGGGGGAGAAGGGCCTTGGTCAGGGAGGTGACCAAGAACCCAATGGTCACTCTGAAAGAGATCCAGAGTTCCTCTGTGGAGATGGGAGAACCTTCCAGAAGGACAACCATCTCTGCAGCACTCCACCAATCAGGCCTTTATGATAGAGTGGCCAGACGGAAGCCATTCCTTAGTAAAAGGCACATGACAGCCCACTTGGAGTTTGCCAACAGTCACCTAAAGGACTCTGACCATGAGAAACAAGATTCTCTGGTCTGATGAAACCAAGATTGAACTCTTTGGCCTGAATGCCAAGCGTCACGTCTGGAAGAGACCTGGCAGCATCCCTACGGGGAAGCATGGTGGTGGCAGCATCATGCTGTGGGGATGTTTTACAGCGGCAGGGACTGGGAGACTAGTCAGGATCGAGGGAAAGATGAACAGAGCAAAGTACAGAGAGATCCTTGATGAAAACCTGCTCCAGAGCGCTCAGGACATCAAACTGGTTCAAAGGTTCACCTTCCAACAGGACAATGACCCTAAGTACACAGCCAAGACAACACAAGGGTGGCTTCAGGACAAGTCTCTGAATGTCCTTGAGTGGCCTAGCCAAAGCCCGGAATTGAACCCAATCTAACATCTCTGGAGAGACCTGAAAATAGCTGTGCAGCGACGCTCCCCATCCAACCTGACAGAGCTTGAGAGGATCTGCAGAGAAGAATGGGAGAAACTGCTCAAATACAGGTCTGCCAAGCTTGTAGCGTCATATCCAAGAAGACTCGAGGCTGTAATCGCTGCCAAAGGTGGTTCAACAAAGTACTGAGTAAAGGGTCTGAATACTTATGTAAATGTAATATTTCAGTTGTAAAAATTTTATGCATTGGCAAAAAAATTCTGAAAACCTATTTTTGCTTTGTCATTATGGGGTATTGTGTGTACATTTACATTTACATTTTAGTCATTTAGCAGACGCTCTTAACCAGAGCGACTTACAGGAGCAATTAGGGTTAAGTGCCTTGCTCAAGGGCACATTAACGTCATTTAGCAGACGCTCTTAGCCAGAGCGACTCACAAATTGGTGCGTTCACCCTATAGCCAGTGGGATAACCACTTTACACTTTACATCAATCTACAGCTATGTGTAGATTGATGAGGGGGGGAAAAAACAATTTAATCCATTTTACAATAAGGCTGTAATGTAACAAAATGTGGAAAAAGTAAAGGGGTCTGAATACTTTCCGAATGCACTGTAGGTAAAAACGAAAAACCATCAAAAGACAGTATTTCAAGTGCAAAATTGTTTTCATTCGTGGAGTGCCTTTGTTTCAACTATGAAACAAAAAGCATCCCCAAACCATCACACCACCACCACCATGCTTGACCTTTGGTATGATGTTCTTACTGTGGAACGCAGTGTTTGGTTTTCGCCAGGCATTACTGGAACCATGTCGTCCAAAAAGTTATACTTTTGAATAATCTGTCCATAGAACGTTATTCCAAGAGTCTTGATGATCATCCAGGTGCTTTTTGGCAAACTTGAGTCAACTTTTTGGACGAGATGGGTCCCATTATGCCTGGCGAAAACCAAACACTGCATTCCACAGTAAGAACATCATACCAACAGTCAAGCATGGTGGTGGTGGTGTGATGGTTTGCTGCCTCAGGACCTGGACGACTTGCCTTAATAGAAGGAACCATGAATTCTGCTCTGTATCAGAGAATTCTACAGGAGAATGTCAGACCATCCGTCTGTGAGCTGATGCTGAAGCGCAGCTGGGTCATGAAGCAAGAAAATGATCCAAAACACACAATGAAGTCTATGTGAAAATTGCTAAAAAGCAACAAATTGGAAGTTTTGGAATGGCCTAGTCAAAGTCCAGACCTAATCCCAATTGAGATGTTGTGGCAGGACTTGAAACGAGCAGTTCATGCTTGAAAACCCACACGTCACTGAGTTAAAGCAGTTCTGCATGGAAGAGTGGGCCAAAACTCCTCCACAGCAACGTGAGAGACTGATCAACAACTACAGGAAGCATTTGGTTGGAGTCATTGCAGCTAAAGGTGGCACAACCAGTAATTGAATGTAAGGGGGCAATTACTTTTTCACACAGGGGAATTGGGAACTTTGTTTATGAAATAAATATGTAATTGTTGTGTTATTTGTTCACTTATGTTCCCTTTATCTAATATTAGGTTTTGGTTGAAGATCTGATAACATTCTGTATCACAAATATGCAAAAGTAGAGAAAATTAGAGAGGGGGCAAATAATTTTTCATAGCACTGTAAGTGTCATTTGACAGTGGTCAACATTTTTATATTATTGTCAGTTATTGGACACATTATTTGTGGCCTCGCTCGTGCTTATAGTATGGTGTGCATCTTCGCGCAACAGTTGGATCTCATTTAGCTGTTATCCCTTGTCCTAATAGTCCCCACAAATCTTTGTCACTGAAACAGGTGTCTTGGGTTCCGTTCCGTGTGCATCTGCCCACCTTGCAGTTTCTCCTCCCCAGGAGCTGTGCGAAATTTGGCATGCGCAATGGCTCGTGTGGAATCTTTGCTGTTGCCTTGGCCCTTGTATGTCTCTCACGTAGCCCGTGTGCCAGACTCATGATGAAGTTTCTCCAGGTCATGGGTGTAGTTCATGCACTGCTTGAACAACACGTGTGCGTTGATAGCGGCCAAGCATGTTGTAGAACACAGCAACAGGCGAGTTCCTCCTTTCACCTAGTACAGCCGTGCCATATGATACGAAACATTATTCGACACTCGCTCACCTGCTGCCCGATATGGATATTTTCCCAGATATGGAAAGCCGTTAAGCATGAACCAGAATAATCATGATCAGAGATGTCATGATCCATTTCTTCCCAGCCATGTGAGTCGTTTTCGTTCAGATATTCTAGCAACGCTAGTGCAGCATGTGCATCCATTCATCTTGGTCTTGCCATTGTAAATTATGCATGCTCTCAATGTGTAGCCTTCTCCAAGTAGGCCTAGAGTAGACTAATAAGACTACTTGGATTCGGTGGACTGATATAGGGTAGACCTTTGAGATTATAATTAAAATAGATGAATAGAATGGCCCATCCTGTTCTTCATTCACAATTGGTGATTACATAATTATGCATTGTTTGCTTCCCCTCCCTCATCAACTCACCCATTCTCCTTTTTTCTCCCCCATCATACTATACTTCATTTATTTAATCTGTTGTTATATGTGTGAAATTAGTTTCGGTATAGTTTAGGTTCAGTTTCGAGGCAATTATCGGGGTGATTATCAACTGGGCATGGCACATTCAACTATTGAAAAAGGAGCGGAGCAGGTCGGGGAAAACCATAAAGAATATTACATGCCCTCCTAAAACTGGTTATAACGCCAGTTCTGTTAGTGATATTAAGATTCTAACAACGACAGTGTGTTATATAGACTTATTTAGGAAAAGTCAAGGACGACCGGGACATTACTTTAAAAATGTCATAGCAATTAAACATTTAAAATTAGTTTTGAGTCTCATTCAGATGTTCTCTGCCTTTCTAGTGTTAATATACACACTCACAAATAAAGCATTAATAGTTTGTTTAGGAAGGTCACAAAAAAACATGATACAAGGCAATTTAATTAAAAAGAAAAGAATAGCATGTTTTGAGTTGTATTTATCTGTGCTTAGTAGCCAAGGCTATGGCTGCACGATGCCAATGATATCTACTTTGTTTAGCAGACATCACAGACCCTACCACAGTCACAGATATTTTACAGTAAGAATATAATGGAATATCCCAAATGGCTATTGCTGATTATCACCTGTAGCCTACTCACATGAGGAAAGCATGGAGACAAGGTTATTCTAGGAAAAATTTGTATTTTGAAACAGAGACCATCCGCGCGATTTGTACAGTTGTTTGGCAAAAATAGGTTAATTAGAAACCTTGAAATCTGCTCTTTCTAATAGGGTATAGCAATCAAAACGTCTGGCCTGCAATGTATTATTTATTATGGAATATTTATACAATTGCCTTGTTGCAAACAGGATGCATGTTTTGGAACATTTCTATTCTGTACAGGCTTCCTTCTTTTCCCTCTGTCAATTAGGTTAGTATTGTGGAGTAACTATAATGCTGTTGATCCATCCTCAGTTTTCATCTATCACAGCCATTAAACTCTAACTGTTGTAAAGTCCCCATTGGCCTCATGGTGAAATCCCTGAGTGGTTTCCTTCCTCTCCGGCAACTGAGTTAGGAAGGACGCCTATATCTTTGTAGTGACTGGGTGTATTGATACACCATATAAAGTGTAATTAATAACTACACCATGCTCAAAGGGATATTCAAGGTCTTATTTTTATTTTTTTTACCCATCTACCAATAGGTGCCCTTCTTTCGAGGCATTGGAAAACCTCCCTGGTCTTTGTGGTTGAATATGTGTTTGAAAATCACTGCTCGACTGAGGGACCTTACAGATAATTGTATGTGTGGGGTAAAGAGATGGGGTAGTCATTCAACAATCATGTTAAACACTATTATTGCACACAGAGTGAGTTCTTGCAACTTATTATGTGACTTGTTAAGCACATTTTTACTCCTGAATTTATTTAGGCTTGCCATAATAAACGGTTTGAATACTTATTGACTCAAGACATTTCAGCTTTTCATTTGTAATTAATTTGTAAAAATATATATATATATATATATATATATATATATATATATATATATATATATATATATATATATATATATATATATATATATATATATATATGGGGTATTGTGTTTAGGCCAGTGACCCAAAAATCTCAATTAAATTTTCAATTCAGGCTCTAACAACAAAACGTGGAAAAAGTCCAGGGGTGTGAATACTTTCTGAAGGCAGTATTCTATAAACAATCTATAAACCATGACAGACTATTTCAACCCATTCATAATTCAGTGTACCGTTTAATTAACGGTGAAATACTGTACATTTGGAAGTAAACAATCAATAAATCATTCAAAAACATTCATTATTCAAATGTTTGGAATACGTAGCACTTTTTGCTGGCCAATAGGAGAGCAGCATTCTGTTCTTTTTTAGAAACAGAGGCGGGAAAAGCATATGTGAGTTGCTAGCTGTGTCACTAAGGCAGTTTGGATGCTGATGACACACACGCAAGCTAAATTCTCTAGATAGTTGCAAGCTAGTCACTAGGGCCCCCTCACTTTGTCCTGCCTCAGAGGTATGCTTGTCCCTAAACACAGACCTAGGACCAGATTTCCCAACCCATACCTGTGACCAGTGGCTCTGTCCCAATTCTCTTGCATGGCATCCTATCCTTGTTTCCTTTCCTTGTTTTCAGGAATGGACACAAATGTGTGAAAACACAGACTTTCAAGCCCCGCTTTCCGCTCACCTCACCAGGTTGCCGCTACAACCTACACTTTTCAAAAAAATATCTGCCAGTTTCCTCAGGTTTACCTCGTGGTTCATGATCTTGCCGTAGGTCTCCACCAATGACTCGGCATAGAAGGGCGTCTCCCCATAGAGCATTTCGTACATACAGACCCCCAGGGACCACCAGTCGCACTCTGGGCCATACTTCCCCATGCCGTCCTCCATGGCCTGCAGGATCTCAGGGGAAATGTAGTCCGGAGTGCCAACAGCCACAGACGACTGGACCTGGAATAAGAGAGGATTGAGGGGGGAGAGTGAGGTTGGGAACTAAAAATGAGGGGGTGGAAGTGAAGTGTTGTCAGAGAAGCACGATTTAACGTTGTACTTGTAAAGAGGTCCTGCTGTGACGACATCAGAGGGGTTTGTGTGTGTGTGTATAATGAGACCCTATTCAACCATTAAAAACACAGTTTGAGTTTGCTCTGATATGAGGGTTCAAATTCCATTTAAAAACCCCACTATGGCCTTCAAGCACCTCATCAAGTTCGAACATTTAAATATTAGTACGATTTTCACTAAACACTGCACCACCTTATATCGGACAAATCATCTTGAACCTCAGGTTCCTTTCGTTTTTCACAAACAGCTGAGTAATAGAAAGGGCTATTGTGGTAGAGTCGCTGAGCGATGAAAATCTGAGTGATAAAGACATTAGATTTAGCATAAGAGCAAAAAACGACTGGGGGCTGAAAAGTTGTTCAATAAAACCTCGGCCTGTTAGCGCTCAGCTAACATCATTAGCCCACCGTGTGACCCCTCTATTAATTCCCTTATGCCATGTCATAAAAAACATTAGGACCTATGTGCCCCTTCTGTGTCCCAAATGGCACCCTATTCCCTATATAGTGCACTACTTTTGACCAGAGCCCTATGGGTCCTTGCCAAAGGTAGAAAAGTAGTGGACTATGTAGGGAACAGGGTGCCATTTGGGATGCATCCGTCATTCCATTTTACACCCGGTGAACTCTGAGGGCAGTCGGGTATTTCACGTAATTTACTATTTATTTACAGTAGTACAATAAGGACTGGGTGGGGGACTTGTAGCTAGGTTTTTAAGAGGGAGACAAGTCTTATTGAAAAATTAAGAGCTGGATTCCAAGACAGATTAAGCCTACTCCTGAGCTATTTAGATTTTTAATCAAGATTAATTGTCATTTGGCCTGGACTGTCTTTGTGTAAAATGTTTAGAGACTAGAGGCATATAGTTGGACCTTCAAGGAAAGATTCACCCATTTTGAATGATATATATTTTTTGGCCATCTCTGAGCGATGTTCTATCGATTCTCCGGGTCATTTCATGTGTATCATGAGCTCTTGCCGTTCACGCAGGCAGAAATACAGCTGGCATGACGTAGCATTGTGATAAAGCTGCTCTCACTACGCCAGAAGTTAATAGGAAGATTACTTTTAGATCGCAAAAACCTCTATCGTACATGTCAGATTTCAACACTGGCCGATGTCAAAAGCGGGAGATTGTCTTCTCTTGATTGAGCCATTGATCATATTTTTGCGATATTCCTACCTTGAGAAATTTGTAATTTAACAGAGGGTCCATCACATTTCTCCTATTTTTCTGCCTCTTCAGTCCAGGGTGCATTGCATGGTGCTGCCCAGTGGCTCAGAGAGCAGAATGCTGAGAGGCTTTGTGGGAAATGTAGGAAACTGAAAAGTCAGAGGAAGCTTGGGGAGAGGATTGCGCAATCTTGGAGGATATTTTAACCATGCTGCGTGACGCTCCTCAGCTCGGCAACGATAACAATGTTGGTGGTGCAGCCAGTGGCGCCGTTTACCCCTAAGGCAGATTCTAACTTTAAACAATGCTGATTAAAAATCAAATGTTTACTTATTGGCTAAACCTAAATTGAGCATATATCAGGTTCTATGAAAAGGCCAATAAGTGAATGAAATCATTTTATCATCACTAGCCCCCTATGAGACCCAGGTCTAAAGACCCGGTCTAAAGACGCTGATCTTGCATCAGTTTTGCATTTCCCCACACAAATGGTTAAGGTTAAGATTGGGGGAAGGGAAGCTGATCCTAGATCTGTTCCTAGGGAAAACTTCACCCAGAGCGCCGCTGCTGTTGCACAGTTCCGCAAGGCAGTTGCATTTGAATGTGGCTTCTTCTTCTGGTACTAGTTCTCTATACCATTGTTCAGGTCTTTGTTGTATGTATAGAATTAGAATCTATTGTAATCTCTAGTCATTCCATTTCTATGGTTTATGTATTTACTGTAAGTCACTCCTCATTGACTTCTTCATTGACCTGACTAAAGTGTAGGAGAGCCTCTTATTGACCAATGACCACTCAGTCTGCGTACCAAATAGCACCCTATCCCCTATAGACCCATTTACCAGCCCGTCATGAAAAGTAGTGAGTGCAGTTCATCATCAGAAACCTCTTTGTTTACCTAGCAGTGGATACAATCACATGCAACTTCAACATCGCAGATGTCAGAGGATTGATTACCTAGCAAGTTAGAGAGGCAAGGTAAAATATCACAAATAGAGCTAGATAAAGCCAGAAGCAGTCAAGCTTGTTTTCATGGTAATCACCCACTCACTTAAGTTTGTCAAGGTCCCGACTTTAAATGTTAGCTATCATGCTACAGAGCTTTTTGGTGCCGGGATGCGCATGCATCACTCGACGTGACTTTCTTGTAAACAAAAAAAGGCTCTAGTCAAAAGTAGTGTACTATATAGGGAAAAGGGTGTCATTTAGAACGCAGTGTCAGTCAGCTAGAAAGAAGCCTGAACTTCTGTACATTCTCCTGCATTCTACGCTTGTGATATGTTTTGAAGATGTGGCATAGCCTGTGGGGTTATGTCATTGTCACACGTGTACACGTGACACACACACATACAGTAGTAGAAGCATAGTGATTTCCTGTCTATTGGAGCTAAGGGACTGGTACACCTGTAGAGAAAGAGAGGCTTCAAGTCCTATGTGCCTAGAGAGCTTTACATTGCTCCAGGAGCACTGCACTGTAGGTGACCTTGTGCTGCTTCCAACCTCTCTCAACTCTGTGTGTGTGTGTGTGTGTGTGTGTGTGTGTGTGTGTGTGTGTGTGTGTGTGTGTGTGCGTGTGTGTGTGTGCGTGCTGTACGCTTCCAACCTCTCTCAACCTGGAGCTGTACGCTTCCAATGTCTACCTGTCCATGACGTACTACTTTGATCGTGATGACCAGGCCCTGCACAACTTTGCCAAGTTTTTCAAAAACCAGTCCCACGAAGAGCGTGAGCACGCTGAGAAGCTGATGATCTGTATCGTTTCCTAGCGGTGGCTATCTCCCTCCGGAACCAGTTTGCAGTGCCAGGGCTGTTCAGTGTGATCTTTTTACCATTTTTACCATGCTGCACGTAGCTCCTCAGCTCGGCAACAAAAACAACGGTGGTGGGGCGGCCAGTGGAGCGGTTTCCCCCGAAGGCAGATTCTAACTTTAAACAATTTTACTTATTGGCTAAACCTGTGTGTGTTTGTCTGTCTGTCTGACTGACTGACCGTGCCATCCTGCATCATCTTCAGGCAGGAGCCAAAGTCGGCCAGCCGGATGTGGCCGTTCATGTCTAGCAGCACATTGTCTGGCTTGATATCTCTGGAGGAAGGAAGGAGATAGAGAGAGAGAGAGAAAGAGAGAGAGAGATGGAAGGAGAGAGAGAGAGAGAGAGAGAGAGAGAGAGAGGTAAGAGAGAGAGCGAATAGGAATAGCGAGAAGGAGAGAGATGAGAAGAGAAAGGAGAGTGAAATAGAGGAGTAAGAGAGGGATGAAGAGCGAGAGAAAGAGAAGATGACGAGAGTGAGAGAGAGATGATGCGATAAGTAGAGATGAGTCGAGAGCGAGATCGAGGAGAGAGAGAGCGAGAGTTCGAGAGAGAGGAGAGAGAGAAGCGAGAGGGAGAGAGGAAGAGAGAAGAGCGAAGAGAGGAGTAGAGATAGAAGAGCTGAAGGAGAGAGACAGGCGAGAGGCGAGAGCGAAGAGGAAGGAGAGAGCGCGAGGAAGGAGAGAGAGAGAGAGCGAGAGGGAAAGAAGAGAGGAGAGAGAGATAGAGGAAAGGAGAGAGAGAGAGAAGCGAGAAGAAGAGAGAGAGAGAGAAATGAGGAAGGAGTAGATATAATGCATTTTGTTCTCGTTCTCTCGGAGAAGCAGAGGGAGAGGATAGAGAGAGAAGCGAGAGGGAGGAGAGATAGAGCTGGAGAGGGAAGGAGATGATAGAGGAGCGAGAGGGAAGGAGAGAGAGAGAGCGAGAGGGTAAGGAGAGAGATCGGAGATCGAGAGAGAGAGCGAAATAGAGAGTGAGAGGCGATAGGAGAGAGCGAGAGGGAAGGAGAGAGAGAGAGCGCGAGAGGGAAGGAGAGAGAGAAGGAGAAAGAGAGAGAGACAGACAGGGAAAAATGGTTAGGATAACGGAACTGCGTAAAACCAACCTTTCAATACAGGGATAATTGATTGGCCGTGAGTATGTCTCCTCTCCACCAATATATAGTCCTGTATATCATTGTGACATTGTCTTAAAGAGCACCTTAAAGTGCATCAGATAAAATGTATGGTTCAATACACACACCCTCCCCTCAACATTTCTCTCCCGGGTGGCTCTCGGAGCTGAACAGCTTGGCATTGTTCATCCACCGTCCCTCTCTTCCCATCTCTCTCTCTCCCGTTCCCCCTCTACTCACGCTCCCTGGCTGGATGCAGGCCACACAAACTGTGCCCTCTGTTGTACTAATCTTGGCACCATGCTGGGCACAGTGGGCACAACGGGCACGGCGTAAACACCTAAACACAAACACAACCAGCCCAACACAAACTAACAGGCCAAGCACATACATTTCTCTTTACAGATACACTCATATTTTACATTACATTTTACATTTTAGTCATTTAGCAGACGCTCTTATCCAGAGCGACTTACAGGAGCAATTAGGGTTAAGTGCCTTGCTCAGGGGCACATCGACAGATTTTTCACCTAGTCGGCTCGGGGATTAGAACCAGCGACCTTTCGGTTACTGGCACAACGCTCTTACCCACTAAGCTACCTGCCGTCTCATATTCTCTCTCTCTCGCACAAACCGAAGCATCTACACACAACCATTAGAGTAGAGACCAAACAAACAGTGTAAGGTGTGTTTGTCAATCAGTTCACTAAAGCAATCTACCATGGCTCCTCTAATTTCAGACTAATGTGCACCACAGTTTTCATTTATCCTTTAAACTACTACTACTAGTTTGATGGTTGTAGCCATCAATTGTCCCATTAACCCTTTACACCTGACAAGACTGAATCCAAACATTACCACTGTTGATTTTGTGACATTTTACTGTACTTTTCGCCGCATTCGTTGATAACGAAATCTGAAAACACTCTGGATACATTCAGTAACATGATAAGACTATTGCTGGAAAATGTGGGACAGGTGCAACATAAGACCAAAACAATTACAAGGGCTTGAGTGAGGGGACTAACTGGTGTCTCCAAGTGGCCACACACTTCTCCAAAGTGTGCAACGTTCCTAAGCAATTTCAATGCACTTTTATGACTCAAAGAAAAGTCTTCAACTATAAGGTACTTTTTGAGCTCTCTTTGCTGTGCTGTTGAGGAACTAGAGCAAGCACACTTGTAGTCGTTTCGTTTGGAACACAACCCTGCATCCCCGCCATCACACAATTACTGTTGTTGTTTACGCAATCCAAAACCGCTCCATTATAAATCTGGTTCAGGTAGCCATGATTTGAAAGCTTATTCTATTGCCAACATGACTAGCTAAGTTATAAAATACAATCTTACAGTGTTAGGCTTTCACAAGGCAATTCAGAGAAACAGATCGTAATTTTGGTGCGCATAGAAAGGAGTCATGAGTGCATTCAGGTGCGTGTGCCGCGGCAAATCTTTTCACAATAATTCTGTTCAGAACAACCCAGGTTATGACGCCAGGTAATCTTGTAACTGTACATCAAACAGTGATCATAAACGTTTACACTGTATATGGCATGCGTTTTATGATTTGGAAATCTGCACATTTGGACTCACGGGTGTTTGGCTTGCTTTTATGACATCAAAGCGGTATTTATTACATTGAGTCACCTTAATTTGTGCATTTCCCTCACTCAGACAACAAAAAAGTTGCAAAAGTTGCCCAATTACCGGGAGGGATGGGGGCAACTTCCTGTCACACGCGGTGCTCAAATTCAGAACGTCTGTCAGTCAACACCAGAGCTCTGACAGTTACTGTACAGCCACTACGTTCCAATTTAAGCACTTATTAGTGCTCAAATCTGCCATTGTCAATCCGTATACGGGTACGAATGTCAAGGGTTAACAATCACCCATATTAGTGAATGTATTTCATTTTAAACTTCACATTTCTCTAGTGTAGGCTACTCATCATAATGAACGATATCAGCAAAATGCCTGCGATAACTAGTCTGTATAGTCGGTGACAATCATTTTCGGTTTATAGTCCCAGCTCTAGTGTGTGTGTGTGTGTGTGTGTGTGTGTGTGTGTGTTTTAGAGTCAGCAAGTGTGTCAGAGTGTGCGTCACAGCGAGAAAGTATGCTTCCCCCAACTCCTCCATTCTGTCGTTCGGTTGCTCCCTCTCTCTCTCACACATCATCTCCCTCTCTCTTCGTTCCCCTTCTATCCCACCCTCAATCTCTCTCCCTCCCTCCCTCTGTTGATTAATCTTGTCCCTCTCCCTCAGTTTCCCCCTCTATCTCGCTACAGTACATCACAGTCTAATACGGCCCGTTCCATTTTGGCCCCTAGCCCCTTCTGCTGGCTCCTCCACCCCTCGGGTGTTCCCAAATCTGAAAGGATGCCATAGGGGGAAATGCAATTTGCAGGAGGCTCCACTTAGCCCAATTGGAAAGCCAACTTTCGCCGCATAGTTGGCAATTACACCTATCCATCCCATTCAGATTGGGTTAGGGGATCTCTCATAGGCAGAGCTCTCTCATAGAGATAGCTCTGCCTACTCTATACCTGTCACAGATTCACATTCACACACACACCTCTCTTCACACACTCACAGAGCGAGATCTGCTTATTCTATATATCGGTCACAGATACACTGACAAACACACACATCCCTCTTACCTGTGGACGTAGTGTTGTTGGTGTATAGAGTGGATGGCCAGCACCATCTCGGCCACATAGAACTTGGACATGTCCTCTGGGAGACGGTCCTCAAACTTACTGAGCAGGGTCAAGAGGTCTCCTCCCACATAGTAGTCCATCACCAGGTACTGCAGAGGAGAGACGGGTATGGGTTATAATGAGGTATACACACGCACAGATACTACACACCCAGACAGAGTATACACAAGTGTGTGTGTGCGTGTGTGGGTTGGTTCTTCTATCCTTGTGGGGACCTACAATCCCCAAATGTCCCCACAAGGATAGTAAAACAAGGAAAATTATCCCTCATAGGGACATTTCCCACGTCCCCATGAGGACAAATGCTATTTTAAGCTTAGGGTTAGGGTTACAATTAGGGATAGGGTAAGGGGTTAGTGGTTAGGTTTAGGAGTTAGGTTAAGGGTTTGGGGTTAGGGAAAATAGGATTTTGAATGAAAATTAACTTTAGGTCCCCAAAAGGATAGAAGAACATAATGTGTGTGTGTGTAAAGCTGTTACCAGGAAGTTGTCATCCTGGAAGGCGTAGTGGAGGGTGGTGATCCACTGGCAGTCTCCGTTCACTAGAACGTTCCTCTCCTCGCGGAAACATGCCGTCTGTGTGGGAAACAATGGCATCGAGGGGTCAGCTATGACATATTCCCTACTTTCGTGCACATACAGGTACGCATACAAACACACACACACATACACATAGACCTATAACCTCAATTCTCACACACAGACACACACAGATGTGGATCAACAGAGAATTGGAAAACAGTAAAATACTCTTAGAAAAGGTCAATTTCATACAGGTCAGTCTGAACGGGGAATTCTTGAAAAATCACTAAAAACCACATCTTTGACCCGCCTCCTGTCACTAAATTTCCCGTACTCTTCCTCTCACTCGAGCAGTCTTTCTTTTGCACAATTTCCCTCGCACACAATCGGTCATTCATAGATCCCGCGCTTACTCGCTCTTACTCACTATAACATGACGAGACTGATGTCATGGGGGCAAACAGGACTACCGGTATGTTCAGTGCTGTTTGCTATTCCCACCTGATTCCAGGAATCCTCCAAACAGGATCTCTGGAAAAACATGGGAACTTTGGGAAAGCTTCCGGGAATTTTGCAACCCTACTTTTGTGTGCAAAATTTGAAACGTATGAATGTGTCTAAAAGACACTACGCATGTACACTGAGTGTTAAAAACATTAGGAACACCTCCATAATATTGTTTTGCACCCCCTTTTGCCCTCAGAACATCCTCAATTCGTCGGGGCAAGGTGTCGAAAGCATTCCACAGGGATTCTGGCCCATGTTGACTCCAATGCTTCCCACAGTTATGTCAAGTTGACTGGATGTCCTTTGGGTGGTGGACCATTCTTCATATACACTGGAAACTGTTGAGCGTGAAAAACCTAGCTGCGTTGCAATTCTTGACACACTCAAACGGGTGCACCTGGCACCTACTACCATACCCCGTTCAAAAGGCACTTAAATATTGTCTTGCCCATTCACCCTCTGAATGGAACACACACAATGCATGTCTCAAGGCTTAAAAAGATTTTTTTTTACCTGTCTCCTCCCCTTCAACTACACTGATTGAAGTGGATTTAACAAGTGACATCAATAAAGGATGATAGCTTTGACCTGGATTCACCTGGCCAGTCTACGTCATGTAAAGAGCAGGTGTTGCTAATGCTTTGTACACTCAGTGTATAATACCCTAACAGGTGAATTTTGTCCATATTATCAAAATATTTCACTAATTGGTCACGCTAAATGCGAACAAATTTGCCAACAAATGCCAACAATTTTTTTTACGGGAAGGTACTACATAAATGTACCAACTCTGTGGTTTTGTGGTTTGAGTGTCCGCCTGAGACTGGAAGGTTGGGAGTTCGATCCCCGACCGAGTCATACCAAAGACTAAAAATGGGACTGATGAGTCTCTTGCTTGACACTCAGCATTAAAGAGGTGGATTAGGGGCAAGGACGTGCAACAGACTAGCATCCTGTCCAGAAGGTGTACTTGTACGTCAGCTGCCTCACACTACAGACACAGGAGATTGACTCCTGCTCCTATGAGCCATTCCGGCTCGTGTAAAGCTACTTATTTTACTACCGGAGCTTGACCAATAGTTTTCCATTGCAAAACTTTTTGCTGGAGTCTGCAATACTTTTTATTTATTTTTTATTTTATTTATTTCACCTTTATTTAACCAGGTAAACCAGTTGAGAACAAGTTCTCATTTACAACTGCGACCTGGCCAAGATAAAGCAAAGCAGTGCGATAAAAAACAACAACACAGAGTTACATATGGGGTAAAACAAAACAAAGTCAAAAATACAGAAACAGAAATACATATATATACAGTGTGTGCAAATTTAGCAAGTTATGGAGGTAAGGCAATAAAATAGGCTATAGTGCAAAATAATTACAATTTAGTATTAACACTGGAATGATGTGCAAGAGATGATGTGCAAATAGAGATACTGGGGTACAAATGAGCAAAATAAATAACAATATAGGGATGAGGTAGTTGGGCGGGCTAATTTCAGATGGGCTGTGTACAGGTGCAGTGATCGGTAAGGTGCTCTGACAACTGATGCTTAAAGTTAGTGAGGGAGATAAGTGTCTCCAGCTTCAGAGATTTTTGCAATTTGTTCCAGTCATTGGCAGCAGAGAACTGGAAGGAATTGCGGCCAAAGGAGGTGTTGGCTTTGGGGATGACCAGTGAGATATACCCGCTGGAGCGCAGACTACGGGTGGGTGTTGCTATGGTGACCAATGAGCTAAGATAAGGCGGGGATTTGCCTAGCAGTGATTTATAGATGGCCTGGAGCCAGTGGGTTTGGCGACGAATATGTAGTGAAGGACCCTGATGTGTCTGCATGTTCCAGGGCAAAAAAAAAATTGTAGAACCTATTCCCCTTTGGAAAAATAACTTAACAGGTACAGATGCTTACAAAATCTATTCCTAGACTGAAAATAACAAACAAACACAGCAATAACCTATTGGGCAATGGGCATACTCAAACAACTGTGTGTAGCTACAGTATTTAACCAGACTGACATCACAATCCAGGGCCCAACAATGTATTGTGTTCTAACAGTGGATTTGTAACAATTTCAATTTGTCAGGTATTTTAGATTTAGTTTCAGTCTTAGTCTTTATGACTAAAATACCTTTTGGTCTTAGTCCCATTTTAGTCATTTCATCCTTCTTAGTTTTAGTTATCAGTCGACTAAAACTCACGGTCATTTTAGTCACATATTAGTCACTCCATTTTTTCCCCCATGACATAATTCAGATTGACCTTTAAGTTCCATCGTGCACATTAAGATAGCCATGTCCAACTAGGGCTACTATCCCCTCATATAGCTGGCGCATTGCTATTGTGGCAGATTGTAACCAATGCCAGCCATGATTTACCATATACAGTGCATTTGGAAAGTATTCAGACCCATTCCCTTTTTCCACATTTTGTGACATTACAGCCTTATTCTAGAATGGATAAAACATTTCACCAATCTACACACAATACCCCATAATGACAAAGCAAAAACTGGTTTTTATAAATATTTGCTACTTTATATTTAAAAAAACAAAACAGAAATACCTTATTTACATAAGTATTCAGACCCTTTGCTATGAGACTCGAAATTGAGCTCAGGTGCATCCTGTTTCCATTGATCATCCTTGATTGGACACAATTTGGAAAGGCACACACCTGTCTATATTAGGTCCCACAGTTGACAGAGCATGTCAGAGCAAAAACCAAGCCATGAGGTCCAAGTAATTGTCCGTAGAGCTCCGAGACAGGATTGTGTCGACGCACAAATCTGTGGAAGGGTACTAAAAAAATGTATGCAGCATTGAATGTCTCCAAGAAAACAGTGGCCTCCATCATTCTTAAATGGAAGAAGTTTGGAACCACCAAGACTCTTCCTAGAGCTGGCCGCCTGACCAAACTGAGAGAAGGGCATTGGTCAGGGAGGTGACCAAGAACCCAATGGTCACACTGACAGAGCTCCACAGTTCCTCTGTGGAGATGGGAGAACCTTCCAGAAGGACAACCATCTCTGCAGCACTCTGCAGCAAGATTCTCTGGTCTGATGAAAGCAAGATTGAACTCTTTGGCCTGACTGCCAAGTGTCACGTCTGGAGGAAACCTGGCACCATCCCTACAATGAAGCATGGTGGTGGCAGCATCATGCTGTGGGGATGTTTTTCAGCTGCAGGGACTGGGAGACTAGTCAGGATCAAGGGAAAGATGAACGGCGCAAAGTAGAGAGATCCTTGATGAAAACCTGCTCCAGAGCGCTCAGGACCTCAGACTGGGGGTGAAGGTTCACCTTCCAACAGGATAATGACCCTAAGCACACAGCCAAGACAAAGCAGGAGTGGCTTCAGGACAAGTCTCTGAATGTCCTTGAGTGGCCCAGCCCGAGACCGGACTTGAACACGATCGAACATCTCTGGAGAGACCTGAAAATAGCTGTGCAGCGACGCTCCCATCCAACCTGACAGAGCTTGAGAGGATCTGCACAGAAGAATGGGAGAAACTCCCCAAATACAGGTGTGCCAAACTTGTAGCTTCATACCCAATAAGACTAAAGGCTATAATCGCTGCCAAAGATGCTTCAACAAAGTACTGAGTAAAGGGTCTGAATACTTATGTAAATGTTATATTTCAGTTTTTTATTTTTTATAAAATTGAACAAAAATCTAAAAACCTGTTTTTGCTTTTTCACTATGGGTTACTGTGTGTAGATTGATGAGTTTTTAGAATAAGTCTGTAGCAAAACAAAATGTGGAAAAAGTCAAGGGGTCTGAATACTTTCCAAATGCACTGTAGTATAAAAACAATAAAAAACTATTAAAAAAATAAAACATGTATGCATTTACTAACTGTAAGTCGCTCTGGATAAGAGCATCTGCTAAATGACTAAAATGTAAAATGTAGCCTAAGCTACAAAGTCTTGGCTACAGGTTAAACAATTTAGGCATACAGCTCTTTTCTTCCCATCATAACCTTAGGATGGGGGTTAATAACAGTGATTCCCTTAAAATGGTAGAATCTGAGCATTCCAACGATGCCAGCAATATTACTGCTCCTAATTTCAGCAAATAGCATTAATATTATGCAAAACCATGCATGCTTATGATTGGACAAAACAGATGAAAAGGAGATTTGATGTCAAATTGAGTGTCCATTACATGCTGACCACACCGCTCGCGATGCGTGCGTTGCTAAATTAATGTACACATACATGTTATTCAATCATTTCATCCAAACTTCTCGTGCGCATCTGCATAGCCAGGCGCTAAAATAGAACTTGGTTCTATTTTTGACACTTGACACGCTACAAGTCCCACCTCTCCCATCTCCTCATTGGTTTTTAGGAGTATATACCCACGTGGGTGATTGACAGATGAACTAAGGTCCACACTCCAGATATTTCAACCTGAGTGTCCTGATTGCGTCAGGTGTGGATGGACAAAATCAACATGCGCGCGAGGGCGCACGCCCGATCTATTCAGCATGTTAGTCACACGTGGAATTCTCGTCTCGTCACATTTCCGTCAACTAAAATGAAAACTCATTTGTTACAGTTATCATTTTTTTTCATGGTATCTGGTCTCGTTATAGTCATCAGTTTTCGTCAGGGAAAATAGGTTGTTGACAAATATTTGTCGTCATAGTTATTGTTGACGAAATTAAACAGTGATGTGCAATGTGGTTTGTTTGCGAGTCCCATCTGTCTATCCATCCATCTGTCTATCAATCTATCTAGGGTCTACATACCCATTTATTTACCTATCCATCTATCTATTCATCTTTAAATACTAAAGATTCCTCCGCTGCTGGTTGGAATGCCATGCTGCAGGCAGTGTGTACAGTACAGTCGTAAACTCCACACCCGTCTTGCCTAGGCTTTACAGACACTGAGGGATTGTGGGATGGGGATTACTGACCATTACTGACAAAAGCTCCCATGACGCAGTGTGTCGGGGCCTCAGGCCACTGTCAGAGCCCATTGGGCTGAAACTAGGTGAAGATGTGGAGAGCGGCACAGTCAAAGAAAAATGGCCGTCCTGGCCCGGCCCTCCACACTCCAGCTTAGAATACTGGTGTAGGGTGAAATTCACCCTACACCAGAATAACTCCAGAGAGGCTGACTAGGTTCAGCTCAATGTCCTTTACCACAGGTCTAGGATCAGTTGATTTGGATCAATCCTAACCTTGAGCATTGCAGGGATTAATGAATATCTGACCCTGGATCAGTGACTAGGGGCAACCTGGCTAACTATACTCGTGGACAGTGGTATTACACTAAAGCCGAGCCTCCAAGGATAATAGTTAGCTGTGACAGTCATGAAATTTTGTCAGCCGGTGATTGTCAAGCAAATAACTGCCGGTCTCACAGAAATTGACCATACATTAACATAAACACATTTAGCATCTCCTGGCTTCCACGCATAGCCTACAAGCCACTGATGCAGACCTTTGGAACATCTACATTTTAAAAAGTCTAATAAATCCATGTAATATAGCCTACACCATCACAATAAATCCATTATTTATTTTAGACAGGTTTAAAGAAACATGATTTGAAGAAAATGTAGTCTATTTCAGAAGAACAGAATAGCATACTCTAGTTATCCTTATGTTAGTCCCTGATCTGGCTATGCCATATGGCTGTGGGCTACACTAGCTCATTTAGCAGACAAGATTTGCTTAGAATTCCGTGGCATTATTTCATATTATTTAATAATATGAAGAATGCAATTGAAAATAGCTGATTAAAATAGATAGGATATTTTTGCCAAACGATTTGAGGGAGTGCGGCACACATGCGGTTATTCTGTGTTGAGCGGTTAACAAAGAAACAGGTACTCCTATATGCTTAATTTAGAGTTATTTATGTAACTTTAGTTGTGATACAAATGTTGGGCTTTATGTTTTTTAATACATTCTAAGGCTGCATGATGGTGATTTGTAAAAAGTTGAAAGGCATGAGCCCTGCTTTGTTTCTTGCGCAGGCTGTACACACTTCATCGGTCTCTCATTCACAATTTGACAAGCACTTGATAATGCCTCGAATTTCCCGGCTGCATCCCCTTTGTGTGGCCGTAATGCCCTTGGGCTGAATATAATAATTATAATTCCCTTCTCCCGGCTGCGTGCCAAAGCACCACTCACTCACATGGCTCTCAGTCACGTGATCGGGTCTTTCTCACAGGCTACAAGTGAAGACAGACACATCGGGGACGCAACTGCGCGTGTCCTTATCCAATTCCATCCACATTTACTTTTCGTCAGCCAACAAGATGAGTAGGCCTAATGAACAGCAAAAGCACTAGCCTATGTCAATCTACTATCCCCCATAGTTGACAAAAGTTGACCTATTCTATTCTGTGCGAGAAAGAAATATTCCAAACATAGTCTGGGAGAGTTGTGGGATGCAATAGATCCTAACTTAATACAACCACTAGCATTAAAAAAAGCTGTTTTAAGCAATGAGCCTGACGCAACAGATGAAAACGATTAGCTAAAATGTTGATAAATTATTACGCTATTTCTTCACATTATAAGCGTAGCAATGCACACATGGCAGTAGACTATAAGCGCTAATGTTCCATTAGCAGGAAAACACTATTCTCAAAAGTGCCCACAAATGTGATTATGCATGTAATGCTTTTATTATAAAGGTGCATTTTTATGGTGAGAATTATCTTCCCCAAACTTGAAACTCATGCACAGCATATGTATGCCAGTTAGGCTCTACACAACTTGTAAAGTGGATTAATGTGCCTCATTTTAGGAAGTTATTTGGCCACTTTAGTTGTGATACAAGCCTTATGAAAACATATAGGCCTATGGGCTAGGCTACATGAGGTGTGCGACTACGATTTGAAAAAGTCACAAAAAACGTGCACTGTTTCTTGTCTTAAATTGATAGGCTAATATTGTCACCCATCACACTATTCTTGATTTAATATTGTCTTTACATATACTAAATAATATATATATATATATATATATATATATATATATATATATATATATATATATATATATATATATATATATATATATATATGTGTGAAATTTCTTTTGATTTAGAATGGACCATAATCATGCACCTGTTTCGAAACAGTGGCAGTGGAAAAAAAAGACATGTCGTCTATGCACTTAAATAGCGAATAGTGGACGCTTTTCCCGTTGTTCATTTTCATGCTAGCCAGGTAGGCTATACTCCTGTTGTAAAGAGAAGCAATGTGCTTAGTATTAGGAAAGTTGAGAAATAAATATAGTAAGCCTATTGAAAGCTGATGGGATCCTCCTCTTTTTAATAGAGGCCATTACTCTGTTTTCTCATGCAATTGCATAGCCTATAGAAATGTTGCGCAACATGAGCTCATAGGCTCTCATGAAGTGTTTGATTAGATTTTCAATTACATTTGTATTGACGTCAGAGTGATTAGAGGGACAATAGAGTGCTGAGTACCAGGCGGTTAGTACGTTTGGTAGGCTACTAATGACCATCAGAAGCATCAGAGCTTGGAGAAACCTAATTACTGTGACTAAACAGTCACGTGGAAATTGACTGCGGTCATGACTTGTGACCGCCGGTGTAGTAATAGTCTGTGTGTGATGCAACCCTTTGCCCTTCAAAGGGTGCAACAAAATTTTACTCATACTAAAAAGCCTCTTAACACACCTTTTATATGAATGTTGGCATATTTCTTAAAGATTTAGTCACTTACAAAGTTCCCAGGTTTAAAGAAATCCAGGTTGGAGGATTCCCAGAATCAGGAGCAGGGAATAACCAGAGGGAAACCTTCAACCAGGATTTCTGAAAACCTCTGGAACTTGGGGAATGTTTCTGGAATTATGCCTACCCAACACATTTAGCTGTTAGGTATGTAGGAAATCTTCTGAGTGGAGATATTCTTTCTGCTTTTGCAACACAAGTGTTTGTCTGGGTGACCGTGGCTAACATAATAATTGTCAACCATGAAAATTAAGCCTTGAGCACTTATTGGGAGCACATGTCAGTTTACACCCAGCACAGGACCTTGACTTGAGTGGGAATATCCGTTCTAGCAGTTCTATTTATAGCTTTCAATTGGAGATTTTGGACACTACAGTACAGTATGATCCTTACCTCGGCTCTCTTCAGCATCTCCCATTTGTTCAGGATCTTCATGGCGTACACGCGTTCTGTGTTCTTCATCTTCACCACCGCAACCTAGAGTGGGAGAAAGCGAGATGGAGGGATGGAGGGGGAGAGAGCGATATGGAGGGAGAAAGAGAGAGATGGAGGGGGGAGAGAGAAGTCAAGAATACACAATTAAAATGCAGCCTAATTAAGAGAGCTGAGAATTGCAGCTTCTTCCTTATTGATGTTTCCTGCCCCTTCCTACTGGCCTATTTACTGTAAACCCAGAGTCTCCCCCAGGACCCACTGCTTTCTAAGATAGTGGATGCATCCCAAATGGCACCCTATTCCCTATATTGGTATTGGGCCCTGGTCAAGAGTAGTGCACTATAGGGAATAGGGTGCCATTTGGGACACATCCATAGTGTTTTAATCCTTAACCCTCATGTACACACCAACATCCAGTATGCATTAAGGGGGAATACAGGCTCGTGTTCATTAGGCCATCTGTACAATGTTAAGGGAAACACTAGTACGCTGGCTTCTGGAGATTCTGGTCCGTAAAATAGTTCTGGCCCTAGACATGTGTAGGAGAGCTGTCACTGAGCTATGATTAAGAATACATTATAAACTAAGGTTTTTAAGATGCAAATTCAAAACCGTACACAAGTACTTACAGGCCAAAAACAGCTAAACCAACAGTTACGGTGCTTCAGATACACCTGGGGACAGGGGTTACATGCGTACATGAGCCCATGCCAATACTGCTTGTGTGTGTGTGTGTGTGTATGTGTCCTGAACCTAACCACAAATCACACGGTGTGTGTTTACCCAAGTGAACTGCCAGAGTGGAGGTGCGTAAGAGAGACTCACCTGACTGGAGGCCTGTGTGCTGCCTCAGCAGCGCAGGAGACCAGACACAACCACACAGGCAGACACACAAACGGGCAGCCCCCCCACACACACCCACACTCGGGCAGTAGTGATGGGGTAAAGTAAATTGACAGTTACAGCGCATTCGGAAAGCATTCAGACCCCTTGACTTTTTCCACATTTTGTTATGTTACAGCCTTATTCTAAAATTGATTCAATTGTTTTTTCCCCCCTCATCAATCTATCACAATACCCCATAATGACAAAGCAAAAACAGGTTTGTAGAAATGTTTGCAAACGTATTAAACATAAAAATCTGAAATATTACACCTTTGGCAGCGATTACAGCCTTAAGTATTCTTGGGTATGATGCTACAATCTTGGCACACCTGTATTTGGGGAGATTCTCCCATCCTTCTCTGCAGATCCTCTGAAGCTCCTGTGTTGTCTTGGCTGTGCGCTTAGGGTTGTTGTCCTGTTGGAAGGTGAAGATTCACACCGTCTGAGGCTCTGGAGCAGGTTTTCATCAAGGATCTCTCTGTACTTTGCTCCGTTCATCTTTCCCTCGATCCTGACTAGTCTCTCAGTCCCTGCAGCTGAAAAACATCTCCACAGCAAGATGCTGCCACCACCATGCCTCACTGTAGGGATGGTGCCAGGTTTCCTCCAGACGTAACACTTGGCATTCAGGCGAAAGAGTTCAATCTTGGTTTCATCAGACCAGAGAATCTTGTTTCTCATGGTCTGAGAGTCCTTTATGTGCCTTTTGGCAAACTCCAAGTGGGCTGTCATGTGCCTTTTACTGAGGAGTGGCTTCTGTCTGTCCACTCTACCATAAAGGCCTGATAGGTGGAGTGCTACAGAGATGGGAGAACCTTCCAGAAGGACAACCATCTCCACAGAGGAACTCTGGACCATCGGGTTCTTGGTCACCTCCCTGACCAAGGCCCTTCTCCCCCGTTTGGACGGGCGGCCAGCTCTAAGAAGAGTCTTGGTGGTTCCAAACTTCTTCCATTTAAGAAAGATTGAGGCCAATGTGTTCTTGGGGACCTTCAATGCTGCAGAAAATGTTTGGTACCCTTCCCCAGATCTGTGCCTCGAAACAATCACGTCTCAGAGCTCTACGGACAATTCCTTCGACCTCATGGCTTGGTTTTTGCTCTGACATGCTCTGTCAACTGTGGGACCTTATATAGACAGGTGTGTGCCTTTCCAAATCATGTCCAATCAATTGAATTTACGACAGGTGGACTCCAATCAAGTTGTAGAAACATCTCAAGGATGATCAATGGAAACAGGATGCACCTGACCTCAATTTTGAGTCGCATAGCAAAGGGTCTGAATACTTATGTAAATAAGTTATGTTTATAATTTTTATACATTTGGAAAAAAAATCTAAAAACCTGTTTTCGCTTTGTCATTATGGGGTTGTGCGTGTAGATTGCTGAGATGTTTTAATTTTTTTAAGCTGTAACGTAACAAAATGTGGAAAAAGTCAAAGGGTCTGAATACTTTCAGAAGGCACTGTATATTGCGCATCGTGCCTCTCCACTTACTCATTGCTAGCCTGCACTGGGAGTCTGGGCTGCATCATGTTAGCTAACCACTCATGCTGCACAGAAGTTAAAACACTTGAATAATGCAACACTGCACGTAGAAATTTTGAAACTGTTAATTACTGTTCACAAAACAATGTCCATACAGGCTAGAACACTTTACTATGAAAGATACTGGTAGCTTCCAGCTATTGTAGGCTAACTTTCCTTGCTAGCTTACAGCTAAAGCCTAAATCAATTCACTACCCTAGTACTTTGTTTGTGAAACCATAACGCAAAATATGATTTCAAAGCTGATTTCCACCGAAAACGTCATTCATTCACTTAATTAATTCACTCTCTCCCAAAGATTATCGACTGCCTCAGCAAACTGACTGTGCTCCAATGGGCCACCCCCATCTTGCCTTGACCTCATTACTGGTTAAAGAGACAGCGCAAATCTTCACTATGCAAATGTTGTTGATCAGTGTAATAAAATAAGTACCAAATGGAAGGGAAACAGATTGTCATCTGTAGCCCCATGAAATCAGCCAAAACAAGCTCAATAACTCAATGCACACACTCCTATAGAATATGCATTCACTTGTATTGTGGATAGGCTACATTTAGATATACCCAGTTTATCAATAGAGATTTACCATTCAAATAAATGATTACCATTATGTTATGTAGTTTGTTTTTACAAATGTATGTCAAATTGATTGTATAATTGATTCATTAATGCATACAGTGCATTCAGAAAGTATTCATATACCCTTGACTTATTCCACATTTGTGAGTCATTTCAGGAAACTAGGTGTATGTAGTGCATCACTACTTCACAGGAGAGGCATTTGAACATACTTTTTTTCAATCAAAATGCATTTTTTGGCAGAAATGCCTTCTGGAACATGTGAACTTTCATGTGCCTTAATAACAAACGTGTATGCCATCTGTAAATACAAATAAAATTGTTAAATTACAAGCTTAGTTGGTTTAGCCACGGAAAAAGACAGGGACCTTCCTGCTAGCCATGATTGATTGAGATAATGGATGGGCTGGATATGCCGAGAGATAAGTTTGGATTGTTCTGCGATGTAGCACGCTTCTGTCTATAACATGAGCTGATTAGTATGTATAGATAATCCTTTCTAAAGTGGCTTTTTTTAACAATATCACGAAGAACTGCAAAAGTGTTGCTAAGGCGCTCCACTTTCTGGAGGACCGAGTTTGGAAATCAGTTGAATGCCTGGTGGAAACACAGTATGATAGCTAAGGAGATGGAGAAAATTCAGGCATTTGATTGCAAATGCAGAGTGAGTCGAAAAGAGAACACAGAAGGCTGTTGTATAAAACACCCCTCTCCGGATTACATCTTCAAACTAAGGGCAACCATGGCATCTGTGACAGAGAGGGAGAAGTGTTCATCCATGTATAAGAGAGTCTAGCTATCTACATTTTCAGATTTATTACACGTTTCAAATTTTGTCAGAAAGTCGTTTATTGCGAGTTAAAGCGTACGGTTAGCTAGCTAGCTAACGTTAGCTGGCTGGCTGGCTCGCTAGCTAACGTTACTTGTATAATCTGTGTAATAATATTATTCGTATCTCAGAGCCATTTGCATTGCTAGTTATAGCCTAATGTTAGCTAGATAGCTAACATAGAACCTAGCTAGTTGGTTAGCTTTAGCGACCTGTAGATTCATGCAGGGTAGCAACATTATGAGTTGGATTATGGCTCATTGTTTTGCTAGCTAGCTAGCTAGCTAGCTCGCTACATGTTTAAACAAAAGACTCCATTATGCAAGTAACCATTTCACTGTACCGGTTATACCTTCTGTATCCTGTGCCTGTGACAAACTTTGATTTTATTTTATATAGAATGTGTTTACCAGAGATGGTAATGGTAAAGAACAACATGACCTGCACCAAAGTCAAATTAGGATATAATGTTAGGCCAACGAGACAGTGTCCAAGTTCTAAAATTCTCCAGTGGAATGCCCTGCTTTAATTGTCACACTCACAACCGTAAGCTATTTTCTGTAATTAGCGTGCCATTAACATGTAAATAACGATCTTGTTGTGAGTTTTTTGTCCTGTAATAATGAATACAAATTAGCTCAAGTTAAGACCTTGTCAGCTATATGATATGGTAGTTATTTGAACTGGCTAGCCAGCTAACTTACCGTAAGCTAACAAGCTAGAAACAATTGCTTTGAGTTGCCTGGTTTGCTAGACAGACATATTCTAAATTCATTTTTAAACGGGTGGGTTTATTTGTGTCAAAATACAACAGTTATGCTATTTTGGACCACCAGGCTGCTGATGTCATGAAGCCTGTCGTTTTTATGTTTATACTTTTCATAACAAGTTCGATGTCGGACGACAATAGAAAGTTCATTACATCACTGCGACAACTGTCTACAGACATGTCGATAGACGTAGTATAAAGCAGCCTTTAGTCTTGAAATCTTTGGTTGTACACTACCGTACTCACTGTTTAGCACATGGCCTCACGTGAATCCTTCAATAGATGGGTGGGGCTAAAGCTTAAGAGGGTGTGAACTATGCTGAATGTTCAAATAAACCTACCATTAAAATTATAGACTGATCATTTCTTTGTCAGTGGGCAAACATACAAAATCAGCAGGGGATCAAATACTTTTTTTCCCCTCACATATATATGCATGAAAAAAAAAACATGGGGGATTGGAAGTGATGCAGACAATTACATTGATGGAAGTTACAATCTATCTGCAATATTAAAGCTGCTCTACCCCCTAAAAAATATATATATATATTATAATAATAATAATAATAATAATAATAATAATAATAACATAGTTCAAGCATACCAAGACTATCGTGAAGATGGCACGACAAAGCCTATTCCCCCTAAGGAGACTGAAAAGATTTGGCATGGGTCCTCAGATCCTCAAAAAGTTCTACAGCTGCACCATCGAGAGCATCCTGACTGGTTGCATCACTGCCTGGTATGGCAACTGCTCGGCCTCCGACCGCAAGGCACTACAGAGTGTAGTGCGTACGGCCCAGTACATCACTGGGGCCAAGCTTCCTGCCATCCAGGACCTCAATACCAGGTGGTGTCAGAGGAAGGCCCAAAAAATTGCCAAAGACTCCAGCCACCCTAGTCAGACTGTTCTCTCCGCTACCTCGCGGAAAGCGGTACCGGAGAGCCAAGTCTTGGTCCACAAGGCTTCTAAACAGCTTCTACCCCCAAGCCATAAGACTCCAGAACATCTAATCAAATGACTACCCAGACTACTTGCATTACCCCCCTCCCCTCCCCTTTTACGCTGCTGCTACTCTCTGTTTATTATCTATGCATAGTCACTTTAATAACTCTACCTACATGTACATATTACCTCAATTAACCGGTTCCCCAGCACATTGACTTGGTACCGGTACCCCCTGTATATAGCCTCGCTAATGTTATTTTTACTGCTGCTCTTTAATTATTTGTTACTTTTATTTCGTATTCTTTTATTTCATATTTTTGTGTCTTCTTTCTTAAAACTATATTGTTGGTTAAGGGCTTGTAAGTAAGCATTTCACTGTAAGGTCTACACCTGTTGTATTTGGCACATGTGACAAATACAATTTGATTTGAGTGGTACTCAGTGATGTGTTGTGTTGGATTTGCCCTAAACATAACACTTTGTATTCAGGACATAAAGTTAATTTCTTAGCAGTTTTACTTTAGTGCCTTATTGCAAACAGGATGCATGTTTTGGAATATTTGTATTCTGTACAGGCTTACTTCTTTTCACTCTGTCATTTAGGTTAGTATTGTGGAGTAACTACAATGTTGTTGATCCATCCTCAGTTTTCTCCCATCACAGCCATTAAACTCTAACTGTTTTAAAGTCACCATTGTCCTCATGGTGAAATCCCTGAGCAGTTTCCTTCCCTGAGCAGTTTCCTTCCTCTCCGGCCACTGAGTTAGGAAGGACGCCTGTATCATTGATACACCATCCAAAGTGCAATTAATAAGGGATATTCAATGTCTGACTTGTTAAGCACATTTTTTCTCCTGAACTTATTTACCCTTGCCATAAACAAAGGGGTTGAATACTTATTGACTCAAGACATTTCAGCTTTTCATTTTGAATTAATTTGTAAAAATGTCTAAAAACATAATTCCACTTGGACATTATGTGATATTGTGTGTAGGCCAGTGACATAAAATCAATTTGAAATTCAGGCACACAACAAAATGTGGAAAAAGGGGTGTGAATACTTTCTGAAGGCACTGTACATGGCTGTCTCGGAAAAATGCACGTACATTTTTTATTTTGTAATGATATTGAACTCAAAAGATGCCCAACGATTCATCAGAGCAGTAGCTGAGTTTATCCGTCTGTTTACGTGACATTATGTGACTGGCTAATATGCCTTATTTTTTGCCGTGGCATCGCTTTGGTATCATTGTGGTATAGAGCATCAAATAAAATAAAATTGCTGAATACAACTGGTGTAGACATAACCGTGAAATGCTTACATACAAGCCCTTAACCAACAATGCAGTTCAAGAAATAGAGTTAAGAAAATATTTACTAAATAAACTAAAGTAAAAAATAAAATGTAACACAATAAAATAACTATAACAAGGCTATATAACTGGTCGAGGTAATTTGTATATGTAGGTAGGGGTAAAGTGCCTACGCATAGATAATAAACAGAGAGTAGCAGCAGTGTAAAAACAAAGGAGAGATTACAGTCTATGACTCGGGTGACTGGAGTCTTTGACAAATGTTTGGCCTTTCCTCTGACACCGCCTAGTATATATCCTTTGACAGCTCTTTGGTCTTGGCCATAGTGGAGTTTGGAGTGTGACTGTTTGAGGTTGTGGACAGGTGTCTTTTATACTGATAACAAGTTCAAACAGGTGCCATTAATACAGGTAACGAGTGGAGGACAGAGGAGCCTCTTAAAGAAGAAGTTACAGGTCTGTGAGAGCCAGAAATCTTGCTTGTTTGTAGGTGACCAAATACTTATTTTCCACCATAATTTGGAAATAAATTCATTAAAAATCCTACAATGTGATTTTCTGGATTTATTTTTCTTATTTTGTCTGTCATAGTTGACGTGTCCCTATGATGAAAATTACAGGCGCCTCTCATCTTTTTAAGTGGGAGAACTTGCACAATTGGTGGCTGACTAAATACTTTTTTTACCCACTGTAGGTGTTCCTTTTGTCCAGGTGGGAAAGGGCAGTGTGGAGTGCGATTGAGATTGCGTCATCTGTGGATCTGTTGGGGCGGTATGCGAATTGGAGTGGGTCTAGGGTTTCCGGGATGATGGTGTTGATGTGAGTTATGACCAGCCTTTCAAAGCACTTCATGGCTACCAACGTGGCACTAATGGGTTGTGGGATCTTGTTCCAGTTAAGGTATGTTGTGTTGTGCTGCCTTGGACTTCACGTTTCGTTTCGTTTCTTGTTTTGTCGTTGTGTTTAATATTTAATAAACATGTACGCATATCACGCTGCGCCTTGGTCTGACCCCGTCGATGAACGAACGTGACAACAGTGCCAAAACTGCAAAACCCCACCTACCTGGCAGAATCAAATATTTCAAATAGTATCGAACCAAGATCAGTATCACAACAGCAATATAGGCTACCACTAAAGACAGGGAGACACAAGCAAAACCACATAGCCAGACAATGTAAACAGATCAGATAAAACCAGAGGTAAGAGAGGACAAAGGAAAAACAAACCCAACCCTCATCCAACCTGACAGAGCTTGAGAGGATCTGCAGAGAAGAAATGGGACAAACTCCCCAAATACAGGTGTTCCAAGCTTGTAGCATCATACCCAAGAAGACTTGAGGCTGTAATTGCTGCCAAAGGTGCTTCAACAAAGTACTGAGTAAAGGGTCAACAAAGTACTGAGTAAAGGGTCTGAGTACTTATGTAAATGTATATATTTTTTATACATTCGGTAACATTTCTAAAAACCAGTTTTTGCTTTGTTATTATGTGGAATTATGTGTAGATTGATGAGGGGGAAAAAACAATGTAATCTATTTTAGAATAACGCTGTAACGTACCAAAATGTGGAAAAAGTCAAGGGGTCTGAATACCGAATGCACTGGATGGAAGTTGAGACTAAGGAGTCAGAGACATGACAATGGCCTTTCAATACGTTGTAATAGAATTTGCACAAGTCTGTCATCATTGACTGGGTGGAAGGAAGGAGAGCGGAGCGCAGAGCTTTCATTGGGTCTGATGCCCAGGTTACTGATTGACTAGAGGGTACAGAATCCCTCAAAGCCCTCATGCACTTGCACAGCCGCAGCCGTGTGTGTGTGTGTAGGGCTGGGAATGTGCACTGCATTAGTGGTGGGTATATACTGTATTGCTAGGTTGGGATATTGCCTAAGGCCGATGAGGGGATCATTTTGAGGACATGCTGCAGTGAATATGGAAAGCAAGTGGTATTGCAGATAATGATCAATGATGTCGGTGCCACTACTAACTATTATGCAATTACTTATAAACTAACAAAACTCACTTATTTGAGCCAAGATTGCAACATTGTGAAATGACACTGGTCTGAATGCACCACTCTGAGCTTCTCAATGTAAGCCATTGTTAAGTGAAGAGATGCATCTAGTTTTTTTTAGTATCAATGGGATTTGGCCTACACAGTGAACGTCACTAGAACAGCAAAGTCTCCACTGAATTAATGGAAAGAGGGACCCCGACACCCTATCCCTTTATAGGTTACCTACTGGGGCTATAAGGTTAAATGTAGTGCACCATTTAGGCTAGGGTGTCATTTCAGATCCACCCCCCCCCCCCCAAAAAAAAAAAAACATTGTAAAGTGGTTATCCCACTGGCTATAAGGTGAATGCACCAATTTGTAAGTCGCTCTGGATAAGAGCGTCTGCTAAATGACGTAAATGTAATGATATTGACCTCTTGCACCATCGTCTGCATGATAATTTTGTCTATCCCCACCAGACACGATCATGACATGCAGGTTAAAACACCAAAACCAACTGTGAATCAATCCTTAAGAGTCTACTGACACACCTATGTGTCAATCTAAATACCAACATTAAGAAATTCCCTTCAAAATCTGTCAGTTTAAGCCAGAGATACCAGGTTTTCTTGCATGGGCAATGTTGGCCTTCCACATCTGCGGTGGAAAGTGGCCGAGTTCCAGCGGTGTTTGTCAGACCATGAGACATCCCGAAAATGGTTCTTCTCACGAAAATGTTTGTAACGTCCGAATGATTTGGCCTACAAACTATTATAACCACTCTATGAAAAGGGGAGACTTTTTGCTCTACAACCCACCACAAGTGTCACGGAACTCGTCTGAAGGTAACACATACAAATGAATGGAAGTATGCAGGTAGTTTTGTACCAACAAAAATAAGGGGTTAAATGAGTGTCCAAATAAACTAAAATATTTCCTCAGCTTTCTTATATCTCCTAGATATAGGACAGACACTTCAAAACCTTATTCCTTATGATTAATTGTTTTACTGTCTTTTTTGCCATTTATGAATGTGTTATTCAATGCGTTTCTATGGGCTATAGTAGTAAAGACCAAATTCAATATTATTATTAAAAAAATTTATATCTAAAGGGGTCGTAAAATTCCAAATCAAATAGCTAAATGAGCCATGGTATGACCATCTTAAAACAATTCCATATGTTGGCTTAGTACCATTTCCTGGATATGTTAGATGAAATAGACTACATTACCAAAAATATGTGGACACGTGCTTCTCGAACATCTTATTCCAAAATCATGGGCATTATTGTGGAGTTGGATCCCCCCCTTTGCTGCTACAGTGAGGGAAAAAAGTAATTGATCCCCTGCTGATTTTGTACGTTTGCCCACTGACAAAGAAATGATCAGTCTATCATTTTAATGATAGGTTTATTTGAACAGTGAGAGACAGAATAACAACAACAAAATCCAGAAAAACGCATGTCAAAAATGTTATTAATTGATTTGCATTTTAATGAGGGAAATAAGTATTTGACCCCTCTGCTAAACATGAGTTAGTACTTGGTGGCAAAACCCTTGTTGGCAATCACAGAGACCAGACGTTTCTTGTAGTTGGCCAGCAGGTTTGCACACATCTCAGAAGGGATTTTGTCCCACTCCTCTTTGCAGATCTTCTCCAAGTCATTAAGGTTTCGAGGCTGACGTTTGGCAACTCGAACCTTCAGCTCCCTCCACAGATTTTCTATGGGATTAAAGTCTGGAGACTGGCTAGGCCACTCCAGGACCTTAATGTGCTTCTTCTTGAGCCACTCCTTTGTTGCCTTGGCCGTGTGTTTTGGGTCATTGTCATGCTGGAATACCCATCCACAACCCATTTAATGCCCTGGCTGAGGGAAAGAGTTTCTCACCCAAGATTTGACGGTACATGGCCCCGTCCATCGTCCCTTTGATGCGGTGAAGTTGTCCTGTCCCCTTAGCAGAAACCCCCCCCCCAAGGCATAATGTTTCCACCTCCATGTTTGACGGTGGGGATGGTGTTCTTGGGGTCATAGGCAGCATTCCTCCTCCTCCAAACACAGCGAGTTGAGTTGATGCCAAAGAGCTCGATTTTGGTCTCATCTGACCACAACACTTTCACCCAGTTCTCCTCTGAATCATTCAGATGTTCATTGGCAAACTTCAGACGGGCCTGTATATGTGCTTTCTTGAGCAGGGGGACCTTGCGGGGGCTGCAGGATTTCAGTCCATCACGGCGTAGTGTGTTACCAATTGTTTTCTTGGTGACTATGGTCCCAGCTGCCTTGAGATCATTGACAAGATCCTCCCGTGTAGTTCTGGGCTGATTCCTCACCGTTCTCATGATCATTGCAACTCCACGAGGTGAGATCTTGCATGGAGCCCCAGGCGAGGGAGATTGACAGTTCTTTTGTGTTTCTTCCATTTGCGTTACCTGTATAAAAGACACCTGGGAGCTAGAAATCTTTCTGATTGAGAGGGGGTCAAATACCTATTTCCCTCATTAAAATGCAAATCAATTTATAACATTTCTGACATGCGTTTTTCTGGAATTTTGTTGTTGTTATTCTGTCTCTCACTGTTCAAATAAACCTACCATTAAAAATATAGACTGATCATTTCTTTGCCAGTGGGCAAACGTACAAAATCAGCAGGGGATCAAATACTTATTTCCCTCACTGTATGGAATCATGTAGTAATCAAAAAAGTGTAAAACAAATCAAAGTATATTTTACACTTGAGAATCTTCAAATAGCCTCCCTTTGCCTTGACAGCTTTACACACTCTTGGCATTCTCTCAACCAGCTTCACCTGGAATGTTTTTCCATCAATCTTGAAGGAGTTCCCACATATGCTGAGCACTTCTTGGCTGCTTTTCCTTCACTCTGCCGTCCAACTCATCTCAAACCATCTCAATTGGGTTGTGGAGGCCAGGTCATCTGATGCAGCACTCATCACTCTCCTTCTTGGTAAAATAGCCCTTACACAGCCTGGAGGTGTGTTGGGTCATTGTCCTGTTGAAAAACAAATGATCGTCCCACTAAGCCCAAACCAGATGGGATGGCGTATCGCTGTAGAATGCTGTGGTAGCCATGCTGTTTAAGTGTGCCTTGAATTCTAAATAAATCACAGACAGTGTCACAAGCAAAGCACCCCCACACCATAACACCACCTCCTCCATGCTTTATGGTGGGAAATACACATGCAGAGATCATCCGTTCACCCACACCGCGTCTCACAAAGACACGGCGGTTGGAACCCAAAATCCTCTAATTTGGACTCCAGACCAAAGCCCAATTTTCCACCGGTCTAATGTCCATTGCTCGTGTTTCTTGGCCCAAGCAGGTCTCTTCTTCTTATTGGTGTCCTTTAGTAGTGGTTTCTTTGCAGCAATTCGACCATGAAGGCCTGATTCACACAGTCCCCTCTGAACAGTTGATGTTGAGATGTGTCGGTTACTTGAACTCTGTGAAGCATTTATTTGGGCTGCAATTTCTGAGGCTGGTAACTCTAATGAACTTATCCTCTGCAGCAGAGTTAACTCTGGGTCTTCCATTCTTGTTGCGGTCCTCATGAGAGCCAATTTCACCATAGCACTTGATGGTTTTTGCGACTGCACTTGAAGAAACTTTCAAAGTTCTTGAAATGTTCCATATTGACTGATCTTCATTTCTTAAAGTAATGATGGACTGTCATTTCTCTTTGTTTATTTGAGCTGTTCTTGCCATAATATGGACTTGGTATTTTACCAAATAGGGCTATCTTCTGTATACCCCCCTACCTTGTCACAACACAACTGATTGGCTCATACACATTAAGAAGGAAAGAAATTCCACAAATTAACTTTTAAGAAGGCACACCTGTTAATTGAAATGCATTCCAGGTGACTACCTCATGAGGCTGGTTGAGAGAATGCCAAGAGTGTGCAAAGCTGTAATCAAGGCAAAGGGTGGCTATTTGAAGATTTTCAAATCTCAAATATATTTTGATTTGTTTAACACTTTTTTGGTTACTTCATGATTCCATGTGTTATTTCATAGTGTTGATGTCTTCACACTATTATTCTACAATGTAGAAAATTGTAAAAATAAAGAAAAACCCTGGAATGAGTAGGTGTGTCCAAACTTTTGACTGGTACTGTATGCCTATTTATATGCTTTATAATGCTTTTGAATGACACTTCCAGTTTTGACGGGAAATACCGGGATACCCGGGAGAAAATCGCGTGTACTCTGACAATTAATCCACAGATAAGGGAAACCTACACTGCTCAAAAACATAAAGGGAACACTTAAACAACACAATGTAACTCCAAGTCAATCACACTTCTGTGAAATCAACCTGTCTACTTAGGAAGCAACACTGATTGACAATACATTTCACATGCTGTTGTGCAAAGGTGGAAATTATAGGCAATTAGCAAGACACCCCCAATAAAGGACTGGTTTTGCAGGTGGTGACCACAGACCACTTCTCAGTTCCTATGCTTCCTGGCTGATGTTTTGGTCACTTTTGAATGCTGGTGGTGCTTTCACTCTAGTGGTAGCATGAGACGGAGTCTACAACCCACACAAGTGGCTCAGGTAGTGCAGCTCATCCAGGATGGCACATCAATGCGAGCTGTGGCAAGAAGGTTTGCTGTGTCTGTCAGCGTAGTGTCCAGAGCATGGAGGCGCTACCAGGAGACAGGCCAGTACATCAGGAGATGTGGAGGAGGCCGTAGGAGGGCAACAACCCAGCAGCAGGACTGCTACCTCCGCCTTTGTGCAAGGAGGAGCAGGAGGAGCACTGCCAGAGCCCTGCAAAATGACCTCCAGCAGGCCACATATTTGTGCATGTGTCTGCTCAAACGGTCAGAAACAGACTCCATGAGGGTGGTATGAGGGCCCGACGTTCACAGGTGGGGGTTGTGCTTACAGCCCAACACCGTGCAGGACGTTTGGCATTTGCCAGAGAACACCAAGATTGGCAAATTCGCCACTGGTGCCCTGTGCTCTTCACAAATGAAAGCAGGTTCACACTGAGCACATGTGACAGACGTGACAGAGTTTGGAGACGCTGTGGAGAACGTTCTGCTGCCTGCAACATCCTCCAGCATGACCGGTTTGGCGGTGGGTCAGTCATGGTGTGGGGTGGCCGCACAGCCCTCCATGTGCTCGCCAGAGGTAGCCTGACTGCCATTAGGTACCGAGATGAGATCCTCAGACCCCTTGTGAGACCATATGCTGGTGCGGTTGGCCCTGGGTTCCTCCTAATGCAAGACAATGCTAGACCTCATGTTGCTGGAGTGTGTCAGCAGTTCCTGCAAGAGGAAGGCATTGATGCTATGGACTGGCCCGCCCGTTCCCCAGACCTGAATCCAATTGAGCACATCTGGGACATCATGTCTCGCTCCATCCACCAACGCCACGTTGCACCACAGACTGTCCAGGAGTTTATATAAAAAAAATATATAAAATAATCTGCACGCACGCAACGTAGCCGGTCTAGTCAGGGTGTTGGACCAAATCCACTTTGGCAAACACTGTGGCTGAAAACGTTGGGCTACAAGTTGTTAAATCCTTGGTTTCTCTGTCCTTTCCTACATCAACATCCTTGCCTCCCTCTCAAAGCTCATTGGAGGACAAAGTCCGAAGGAGGGACCTTATATCCTCTCCTCCAATGTATTTGGAGGAGGTGGTGAGGAATTGAGGAAATAAAGACTAAGGATTTGACAGCTAGTAACGTTTTCAGACGCATCCAGTGATCTTTTAGCCTTGAGTGCTACCTCCAAATCCATCTATCTCCGTTCTCCTTCCCCCTCTCTGTCTCTATCATTTTCCCCTTCACTCTTCTCATCCCTCGCTTTCTCTGTGACCTTCTCGCTTTTGCTCCCGTCTCTTGCGTACCCTTTCCCTCTTCTTACCCTCCTCTCGCTTTTAATCGCCCTTGTTCTTGCTCTCCCTCGTTTTAAAAGTCACGCAGGGTGAGTTTCAGAGGGAGGAAGGAACAGGGAGGGGAGTGAGCTTTTTGGCAGTACTCGGAGGGCCGGTTCTCTGACCTCCATTTCTCCCAGAAAATGACTGTTGAGTGTGGTGAGAGAGAGAGACGGAGAGGGGGAGACACTATCCATCATAAACAGGAAATCCAGGCCAAACACTTATCTGGAAAGGCATCATGTAACTTAAGAGCCCACAGGAAACTGAAGAGGGCGCGAGGGAGGGCAGAGTCGACGGCAATAACGGCTAACAGAACGTAGAGACTCGCAGCCTTGTTCACACACAAACACACTCACTATGAGAAAGTGCAAAGTAACAATTTAAAGTGTGTGTGTGCGCGCATGTAGAACTAGGCCTTATATATTGAAATCGACAATAACAATAGTTGTGTTGAATTAATTGAGTGAACTAGCAAAAAGGGACGTGGAGCATTGGTTTCACACACAGTATCATAACAAAATTTGAACTTTTGCAGAGTCACCACCCTCAAGATGGCACCCCTTAAAGCAAACAAACCACATCCTAGCTAGCAGCCAAAGCACTGAACTGAACCTAAGAGGCAGAACAAGTGGCCCTGCCCAGTCTATGTGAAATGGCACATTATCAGTATGTGTGTGTGTGTTCTGTTAAGGGAAACACTATTTTTGTGAGAGTTTCCCCTTGGTTACGGTATTCCTTTCCTGAGGGTTTCCTGGAAGCGGGGCTGTTGTCCGGACCTCCTTCCTGTACCTAGTGTGTGTGTGCACATTTTGAATAGTACCACGTAGTAGTCCAAGTCTAAGGAGCTCTAGCTGAGACAAGGCATGAACACAAAGACAAAATATATTTGAACTCCCTCACACACAGACATTATATGAGTGATGGGCTGTGTCCAAAATCGTACCCTATTCCCTCCCTATGTAGTGCACTACTTTCAACCAGGGTCCATAGGGCTCTGGTCAAAATTATTGCACTTACAATATAGGGAATAGTGTTAACTCCAAATGACACGACGACTAGGTTCCAGTTTAACAACGTTTACTTCACAGTATCAGCACTGTACATAGCGGCCATTACACTCAGGCCCGGTCCATCAGTGACAGTAACTTCTGCACAGGCGCACTAATAAGAGGGGGAGAGCAGCGTAATTACAAAAGTATAAGGATACTTAAAACATTAACTTAACCCACTTTTCTTTAAAGACAAATAAAACAGCAACAAATAATTAAAAGTATATGCATTATTCAAGTCCCTCATTTCAAATGGGTCATATGGCAATGTCACGTGACAATTGTTTTACTCAAACTGCCACTTTCCATTACTGAGTGTCTTTAGGATTACAAGAGCGGATGCTCCTTTTTTAGTCAGACAGTCAGCCATCTGTTCCTTTGTGGCTGACCACAGAATCCGCTGGATTATCTGAGCCGGAATAAATTCCTTGATGCTGCTAATCTCAAAATGAATCCCTTCTGATACTTTTTGACTCCCAACAGATAGGTGAGAATCTTCCTTCCTCATCCCATTAAGACAATTAGATGTCCACCTTTTGTGCCTCCATTTTTAAAGGTTCCCTAGGGAAGCATCACTGAAGACAACTAGTTTGAGAGTCATCTTTTCCCACATGCTGAAACTTTAGTCACTTGTTGTGATTTCAGTTTACGAACAACTTTGTTATCCTCATGCATGGTTTGTACAGTGGCGTGTTTTGTGTTGGATGCCAAGTTGCAGCCATCAAACATTACATCAAGTCTACTCTGTCTAGCAACCTAGAGAATTGGATGTATCTTTGACCTCAGCTGATCAGCATAAATTGCACAGAGTGGGGAGTCCCTTTGTACGGCTCTTGAAGAATCCATATGGATGGGTTGAAGATTCTTGATGTAGCTTTCCTGTTGCATCAGTATTATTCCGTCAACTGAAACTAACTCCATGCCAACATAACAAAAAAACGGCAATGCCAGTAAATGTATTTGTGGTGTGGAATCAGTTGTAGCAAAGGTCTGTGAGCCACCCCAGATTAAGTCAGCAACATGAAAGGCGAGTACTCCAGCCATTGCAGTCTTGATCAAGCCAGTAGAACACAGCAGGATCCACTTGACATTTTGCCTCCTGTACTCAGCATTGTTGCCTTGACTTTGTTGTACCAGTAGAGGGATGCATCTGCCAGGCCATACACACACTTTAGTTTCCACAGTGTTCCTTCACCCTTAACTTCAAGCGCAAGTCAGATGTGATTGTCCCTTGACAGATCTGTTCCCTGCAGAAATACAGATTTGATGTCCATTGAATTAAGTATACATTTATTTCTGCCAGATCACTGTCAGCAGCAATCTGAGTGACACAGACTCATGTCGGTGTGTCTTTTGGGAGTTCTTTAGTGGCCAGCTTTTCAAAACCTCTAGCCACGCTTTTGGCAATATTCTGGTTGAGAATTATTTAAGGGTACACATCCACCTTGTTGAGACACATTTTTGGCCAATTTCTTTGACTTCCTCAAACACATTTTTTTCTCCAATTACTGAGCTTATCTTGTTTAGCCGGGTCAAATGACACGTCATTTGTTTCGAGTACATCATCCTCTTGAATGTCATTCATTCAGTCATTCTGTTTTAACATGTGGCTGTTGTTCAATGTTTCATTCATATGGGCCCTCAACAGTATTACCCGTGTCATGGTTGAAGGTCTCTGCTCCATTTCCTGTGCCAGTTTCAGTGTCCATATCAATGGATGCGACATCTGGTAGGTTTGTGACTGTGTCCTTTTTTGTGTCATTTTCGGTAGGAGGCCGATTCTCAGCAACAGCCCCTCCAACTCGTTGATAATTTATTTACCTTCTGCAATCTTGAGTGATGCACCCAGACGATGGTGCGTCCGTGCTTCATAAATATCACCATACCATCTTGGCCAATGACGACTCCAGGTCCTTTCCACTCGACAGTCAACTCGTTTGTAGTATACTTTGTCTCCAGTCACGTACCTCTCATCTGTGGGACAAAATTGTTTACGCAGAGCCCTGCGAATTCTCTCCGAACACTGCTTCAGTGAATGCTTTTCTCGCTGCATGTAGTGCTGAAAGGTGCTGTCCCCAGCAGACTCTGTGACTGTCTGACTAAAAAGGCACTCAGTAACGGAAAGTGGCAGCTTGAATAAAGCTTCTGGTGCTGGTGGCTTGTCAACCAGTACAGTGGGAAGATTAGGGTTCTGCCCGAACACTAACTGGTATGGGCTGTAGCCATGAACATTGTGCATTGAGTTCTTTGCCATTAGCACCCAATCTAGGGCTGTTTCCCCAGTTACATTCATTGTCTTGCTTCACTTTCAGCAAAATCGTTGTGAGTGTTTGATTATGTCTCTCCAAAAGTCCATTGCTCCATGGACTGTATGCAGCAGTGATCTTTACTTCCATGTTGAATTTGTCTGCCATTTCATTATTATTGAATTCTTCTCATTGTCAATTTCTGGGGCGGGCCATGCACACTTATCCAGTAATTAATGAAGTGCTTGACGACTTCACTGGGTTTCTTTGTGTTCACAATGCTTCCAGCACTGAAGCATGTGAAGTGGTTGATTATGTGAAGTCACCACAGACTTGGTCCTAGCTCGTGTCAAACCAACAGCTGGTCTGGGCTTAGGTTTTCTGTACTTCTGGCATGTTTCATTGACATGCTCACTATCTGCCGTAGAATAGAACTACTCTCATCATCATTATTCCCAGTACAGAGGGAGAGCACTGTAATTAGAGGTATAGGGCTACTTAAAACATGAACTTAACAATAGGGTGCCATTTAGGATGCAGACATGGGTTTCCATCTGTGGGCCGGAGCAGCTAATGGCTTGGCCATTGATTGGCTGCATCACCGCTTGGAATGGCAACTGATTGGCATCCGACCGCAAGGCGCTACAGAGGGTAGTGCGTACAGCCCAGTACATAACTAAGGCAGAGCTCCCTCCCATCCTGGACCTATATACCAGGCGGTGTCAGAGAAAGGAACTACAAATTGTCAGACTCCAACTACCCCAGACTGTTTTCTCTGCTATCGCACGGCAAGCGGTACAGATGCACCAAGTCTGGAACCAAAAGGACCCTGACGAGCTTCTTCCATCCCCAAGCCATAAGACTGCTAAATAGTTAACCAAATAGCTACCCTGACTATCTGCATTGACCCCCTTTTGCACCAACTCTTTTGACTCATCACATACGCTGCTGCTACTTGCTTATTATCTATCCAGTTGCCTAGTCACTTTATCCCTACCTATATGTACATATGTACCTCAATTACCTCGGACCCCTGCACATCAACTCGTTACTGGTACCCCGTGTATATAGCCAAGTTATCGTTACTCATTGTGTAATTATTCTTTATTATTTTTCAGTTATTCTCTCTGCATTGTTGGAAAGGGCCCGTAAGTAAGTATTTCATTAACAGAAATTGATGGAAATGTCTAATCTACACAAAATTACAACAAACTAATTGCGGCATTACTGCAAACATGGAAGAAGCAAGTGGAACGGGGAGAAAGTAAGGAACTTGTCTGTCGGCCCTGCATTAAAGACCAAAATTGGTTAAAGAGAAGTGATACATAAAAATGTATACGAATTTAATTTAAGGACGAAAACATTTACAGCTGTGCCATATAGATTGCAAAATAGTTGGGAAGAGATTTTCGATGTACCGATTCCATGGCACATGGTTTATTAATTGATACACAAAACGACACCGGATTCAAAACTTCAATTTTTTCAATTTTTATTATTATACCAAATTCTTGCAACCAATAGAATGTAATATATATATGGGTGATACAACCATCCCAGCTCTGCAGATTTTGTTGCGAAGAGACAGAATCATTAGATAATTTGTTTTGGTACTGTCCATATGTAGCTTGTTTTAGGAAGCAGGTTCAGGAATGGCTGAAGAATTGCAACATTTACATGGAGCTAACTCTGCAAATAGCACTGCTAGGTGATTTGAAAAGTCATAGTCAATCGATCAATAATATAATAACTCTCTTAGCAAAAATGTGTATCTTTAATTTACAATCTGTAGAAACTATGAGAATAGAAAGGTAAAACTGGATGGTGTTCAGAGATAGATGGGAGGGGTTGAGTGGAGCTGAAGGGTGGGACTAAAAATAAGGTAACTAATGTAAAATATACTGTGTCCGTAAAATGTATAAAGTATGTATAAACTGGGAGTAGAAGCCTAGGTATTATTGTCCATTAGTTTACTCCAATTAGGGGAGCAGTGGTAGGGTTAGGGGAAAATAATAAAGGAATATATTTTTTTTAAATACTGAACAAAAATAAAACGCAACATGCAAGAATTTCTAAGATTTTATTGAGTTCATGAAAGAAAATCTCTCAATTTAAATAAAAGCAGGGGTGTGAATTAGAAAACCAAATCAGTATCTGGTGCAACCACCATTTGCCTCATCAAGCATACAGTGATCAGGCTGTTGATTGTGGACTGTGGAATGTTCTCCCACTACTCTTCAATGGCTGTGCGAAATTGCTGGATATTGGCATGGACTGGAATACACTGTCGCACACGTCGATCCAGAGCATCCCACACAAGCTCAATGGGTGACATGTCTGGTGAGTATTCAGGCCATGGAAAAACTAGGACATTATCAGCTTCCAGGAATTGTGTACAGATCCTTGCGACATGGGGCCGTGCATTATCATGCTGAAAAATGAGTTGATGAATGGCACGAAAATGGGTCTCAGGATCTCTTCACGGTATCTGTCCATTCAAATTGCCATCGATAAAATGAAATTGTGTTCGTTGTCCGTAGCTTATGCCTGCCCATACCATAACCCCGCCGTCACCATGGGGCTGTTAACAACGTTGACATCAGCAAACCTCTCACCAACACGACGCCATACACGCCGTCTGCCATCTGCCCAGCACAATTGAAACCAGGATTAATCCGTGAAGAGGACATCGAAGGTGAGTATTTGCCCACTGACGTCGGTTACGACGCTGAAGTCAGGTCAACACCCAGACAAGAATGACGAGCACGCAGAGCGAGCTTCCCTGAGACAGTTTGGTCAGAAATTCTTCGGTTGAGCAAACCCACAGTTTCATCAGCTGTCCGGGTGGCTGGTCTCAGACGATCCAGCAAGTGAAGAAGCCTGATGTTGTGCTCCTGGGCTGGCGTGGTTACACATGGTCTGCGGGTGTGAGGCCAGTTGGCCTTACTGCCAAATTCTCTAAAACGACGTAGAGAAATAAACATTAGAATTTCTGGCAACAGCTCTGGTGGACATTCCTGCAGTCAGCATGCCAGTTTCACGCTCCCTCAAAATTTGAGAAATCTGTGGCATTGTGTTGTGTGACAAAACTGCACATTTTAGAGTGGCCTTTAATTGTACCCAGCACAAGGTGCACCTGTGTAATTATCATAATGTTTAATCAGTTTCTTGATATGCTACACCTGTCAGGTGGATGGATTACCTTGGTAAAATAGAAACGATAACTAACACTGATGTAAAATAATTTTGCACAACATTTTATTTCAGATCATGAAACATAGGACCAACACTTTACATGTTGTGTTTATATTTTTGTTCAGTATATATATATATATATATATATATATATATATATATATATATATATATATACACACACACATACACACACACATACTACCGTTCAAAAGTTTGGGGTGACTTAGAAATGTCCTTGTTTTCAATGAAAACATACATGAAATGAGTTTGAATAGGAAATATAGCAAAATGCATAGGAATTGTAGTCATTGACAAGGTTAGAAATAATGATTTTTAATATAAATAATAATTGTGTCCTTCAAACCTTGCTTTCGTCAAATAATCCTCAATTTGCAGCAATTACAGCCTTGCAGACCTTTGGCATTCTAGTTGTCAATTTGTTGAGGTAATCTGAAGAGATTTCACCCCATGCTTCCTGAAGCACCTCCCACAAGTTGGATTGCCTTGATAGGCACTTCTTATTTACCATACGGTCAAGCTGCTCCCACAACAGCTCAATAGGGTTGAGATCCGGTGACTGTGCTGGCCACTCCATTATAGACAGAATCCCAGCTGACTGCTTCTTCCCTAAATAGTTTTGCATAATTTGGAGCTGTGCTTTGGGTCATTGTCCTGTTGTAGGAGGGAATTGGCTCCAATCAAGTGCTGTCCACAGGGTATGGCATGGCGTTGCAAAATGGAGTGATAGCCTTCCTTCTTCAAGATCCTTTTTACCCTGTACAAATCTCCCACTTTACCACCACCAAAGCACCCCCAGACCATCACATTGCCTCCACCATGCTTGACAGATGGCATCAAGCACTCCTCCAGCATCTTTTCATTTGGTCTGCGTCTCACAAATGTCATTCTTTGTGATCTGAACACCTCAAACTTTGATTCGTCTATCCATAACACTTTATTCCAATCTTCCTCTGTCCAGTGTCTGTGTTCTTTTGACCATCTTAATCATTTCTTTTTATTGGCCAGTCTGAGATATGGCTTTTTCTTTGCAACTCTGCCTAGAAGGCCAGCATCCCGGAGTCGCCTCTTCACTGTTGACGTTGAGACTGGTGTATTGCGGGTACTATTTAATGAAGCTGCCAGTTGAGGACCTGTGAGGTGTCTGTTTCTCAAACTTGACACTAATGTATTTGTCCTCTTGCTCAGTTGTGTACCGGGGCCTCCCACTCCTCTTTCTATTCTGGTTAGAGCCAGTTTGCGCTGTTCTGTGAAGGGAGTACTACACAGCGTTGTACGAGATCTTCAGTTTCTTGGAAATTTCTCGCATTAAATAGCCTTCATTTCTCAGAACAAGAATAGACCGACGAGTTTCAGAAGAAAGTTATTTGTTTCTGGCCATTTTGATCCTGTAATTGAACCCACAATTGCTGATGCTCCAGATACTCAACTAGTCTCAAGAAGGCCAGTTTTATTGCTTCTTTAATCAGCACAACAGTTTTCAGCTGTGCTAACATAATTGCAAAAGGGTTTTCTAATGATCAATTAGCCTTTTAAAATGATAAACTTGGATTAGCAAACACAACGTGCCATTGGAACACAGGACTGATGGTTGCTGATAATGGGCCTCCATACGTCTATGTACAGTGGGGAAAAATAGTATTTAGTCAGCCACCAATTGTGCAAGTTCTCCCACTTAAAAAGATGAGAGAGGCCTGTAATTTTCATCATAGGTACACGTCAACTATGACAGACAAAATGAGAAAAAAAAAATCCAGAAAATCACATTGTAGGATTTTTTATGAATTTATTTGCAGATTATGGTGGAAAATAAGTATTTGGTCAATAACAAAAGTTTCTCAATACTTTGTTATATACCCTTTGTTGGCAATGACACAGGTCAAACGTTTTCTGTAAGTCTTCACATGGTTTTCACACACTGTTGCTGGTATTTTGGCCCATTCCTCCATGCAGATCTCCTCTAGAGCAGTGATGTTTTGGGGCTGTCGCTGGGCAACACGGACTTTCAACTCCCTCCAAAGATTTTCTATGGGGTTGAGATCTGGAGACTGGCTAGGCCACTCCAGGACCTTGAAATGCTTCTTACGAAGCCATTCCTTCGTTGCCCGGGCGGTGTGTTTGGGATCATTGTCATGCTGAAAGAACCAGCCACGTTTCATCTTCAATGCCCTTGCTGATGGAAGGAGGTTTTCACTCAAAATTTCACGATACATGGCCCCATTCATTCTTTCCTTTACACGGATCAGTCGTCCTGGTCCCTTTGCAGAAAAACAGCCCCAAAGCATGATGTTTCCACCCCCATGCTTCACAGTAGGTATGGTGTTCTTTGGATGCAACTCAGCATTCTTTGTCCTCCAAACACGACGAGTTGAGTTTTTACCAAAAAGTTATATTTTGGTTTCATCTGACCATATGACATTCTCCCAATCCTCTTCTGGATCATCCAAATGCACTCTAGCAAACTTCAGACGGGCCTGGACATGTACTGGCTTAAGCAGGGGGACACGTCTGGCACTGCAGGATTTGAGTCCCTGGCGGCGTAGTGTGTTACTGATGGTAGGCTTTGTTACTTTGGTCCCAGCTCTCTACAGGTCATTCACTAGGTCCCCCCGTGTGGTTCTGGGATTTTTACTCACCGTTCTTGTGATCATTTTGACCCCACGGGGTAAGATCTTGCGTGGAGCCCCAGATCGAGGGAGATTATCAGTGGTCTTGTATGTCTTCCATTTCCTAATAATTGCTCCCACAGTTGATTTCTTCAAACCAAGCTGCTTACCTATTGCAGATTCAGTCTTCCCAGCCTGGTGCAGGTCTACAATTTTGTTTCTGGTGTCCTTTGACAGCTCTTTGGTCTTGGCCATACTGGAGTTTGGAGTGTGACTGTTTGAGGTTGTGGACAGGTGTCTTTTATACTGATAACAAGTTCAAACAGGTGCCATTAATACAGGTAACGAGTGGAGGACAGAGGAGCCTCTTAAAGAAGAAGTTACAGGTCTGTGAGAGCCAGAAATCTTGCTTGTTTGTAGGTGACCAAATACTTTTTTTCCACGATAATTTGCAAATAAATTCATTAAAAATCCTACAATGTGATTTTCTGGATTTTTTTCTTCTAAATTTGTCTGTCATTGTTGAAGTGTAACTATGATGAAAATTACAGGCCTCTCTCATCTTTTTAAGTGGGAGAACTTGCACAATTGGTGGCTGACTAAATACTTTTTTTCCCCACGGTAGATATTCCATGAAAAATCTACCGTTTCCAGCTACAATAGCCATTTCCAACATTAACAATGTCTACACTGTATTTCTGATCAATTTGATGTTATTATAAAATGTAAAAAAATCTAAAACAAGGACATTTATATATGCACTACCCCAAACTTTTGAACGGTAGTGCATATATAAACTACCAGTCAAAAGGTTGGACAAACCTACTCATTCCAGGGTTTTACTTTATTTTTACAATTTTCTACATTGTAGAATAAAAGTGTGAAGACATCAAAACTATGAAATAACACATATGGAATCATGTAGTAACCAGAAAAGTGTTAAACAAATCAAAATATATTATATATTTGAGATTCTTCAAATAGCCACCCTTTGCATTTATGACAGCTTTGCACACTCTTGGCATTCTCTCAACCAGCTTCATGAGGTAGTCACCTGGAATCCATTTCAATTACCCCTACTTAAAAGTTAATTTGTGGAAGTTCTTTCCTGCTTAATGTGTTTGAGCCAATCAGTTGTGTTGTGACAAGGTAGGGGGGTATACAGAAGATAGCCCTATTTGGTAAAAGACGAAGTCCATACTATGGCAAGAAATGCTCAAATAAGCAAAGAAAAATGACAGTCCATCATTACTTTAAGACATGAAGGTCAGTCAAAACGGAACATTTCAAGAACTTTCAACGTTTCTTCAAGTGCAATCACAAAAAACATCAAGTGCTATGATGAAACTGGCTCTCATGAGGACCACCACAGGAATGGAAGACCCAGAGTTACCTCTGCTGCAGAGGATAAGTTCATTAGAGTTACCAGCCTCAGAACTTTCAGCCCAAATAAATACTTCACAGATTTCAAGTCACAGACACATATCAACATCAACTGTTCAGAGGGGACTGTGTGAAATCAGGCCTTCATTGTTGAATTGCTGCAAAGAAACCACTACTTAAGAACACCAATAAGAAGAAGAGACCTGCTTGGGCCAAGTAACACGAGCAATGGACATTAGACCGGTGGAAATGTGTCCTTTAGTCTGGAGTCCATATTGGAGATTTTTGGTTCCAACAGCCATGTCTTTGTGAGATGCAGAGTAGGTGAACGGATGATCTCCGCATGTGTACTTCCCACCGTAAAGCATGGAGGAGGAGGTGTTATGGTGTGGGGGTGCTCTGCTGGTGACACTATCTATGATTTATTTAGAATTCAAGGCACACTTAACCAGCATGGCTACCACAGCATTATGCAGCGATACGCCATCCCATCTAGTTTGGGCTTAGTGGGACTATCATTTGTTTTTCAACAGGACAATGACCCAACACACCTACAGGCTGTGTAAGGGCTAATTTACCAAGAAGGAGAGTGAAGAGTGCTGCATCAGAGGACCTGGTCTCCACAATCCCCCGACCTCAACCCAATTGAGATGGTTTGGGATGAGTCGGATGGCAGAGTGAAGGAAAAGTAGCTAACAAGTGCTCAGCATATGTGGGAACTCCTTCAAGACTGTTGGAAAAGCATTCCAGGTGAAGCTGGTTGAGAGAATGCCAAGAGTGGGCACATCTGTCATCAAGGCAAAGGGTGGCTATTTGAAGAATCTCAAATATAAAATATATTTTGATTTGTTTAACACTTACTACATGATTCCATATGAGTTATTTCATAGTTCTGATGTCTTCACACTTTTATTCTACAATGTAGAAAATTGTAAAAATAAAGGAAAACCCTGGAATGAGTAGGTGTGTCCAAACTTTTGACTGGTACTGTACGTGGTAGTAGAGTAGTGGCCTGAGGGCACACACTTACTGTGTTTTGAAAAGAGTTATGAAATATAATATCATGTAATATTTTAAATTGTAAATACAGTGCATTCGGAAAGTATTCATACCCTTTGAGTTTTTCCAAATTTTTTACATTACAGCCTCATTCTAAAATGAATTACATAATTTTTTTCCTCAATCGACACACAATACCCCATAATGACAAAGTGAAAACAGTATTTTTTTTTTATTATAAAAAACTAAAAAGAAATACCTTATTTACATAAGTATTCAGACCCTTTGCTATGAGACTCGAAATTGAGCTCAGGTGCATCCTGTTTCCATTGATCATCCATGAGATGTTTCTACAACTTGATTGGAGTCCACCTGTGATAAATTCAATTGATTGGACATGATTTGGAAAGGCACACACCTGTCTATGTAAGGTCCCACAGTTGACAGTGCATGTCAGAGCAAAAACCAAGCCATGTGGTCGAAGGAAACGTCCTTGGGCTCCGAGACAGAATTATGTCGAGGCACAGATCTGGGGAAGAGTACCAAAAAATGTCTGCAGCATTGAAGGTCCCCAAGAACCCAAGTGGCCTCCATCATTCTTAAATGGAAGAAGTTTGGAAACACCAAGACTCCTCCTAGAGCTGGCCGCCCGGTCAAACTGAGCAATTGGGGGAGAAGGGCCTTGGTCAGGGAGATGACCAAGAACCCGATGGTCACTTTGACAGAGCTCCTCTGTGGAGATGGGAGAACCTTCCAAAGTGGTGTGATGAAACCAATATTGAACTCTTTGACCTGAATGCCAAGCGTCACGTCTGGAGGAAACCTGGAACCATTCCTATGGTGAGGCATTGGTGGTGGCAGCATCATGCTGTGGGGATGTTTTTCAGTGGCAGGAACTGGGAGACTAGTCAGGATCGAGGGAAAGATAAACGGCGCAAAGTAAAGAGAGATCTTTGTTGAAAATCTGCTCAGGACCTCAGACTGGGGTGAAGGTTCACCTTCCAACAGGACAACAACCCTAAGCAGTTTGGAACCACCAAGACTCTTCCTAGAGCTGGCTGCCCGGTCAAACTGAGCAATCGGGGGAGAAGGGCCTTGGTCAGGGAGATGACCAAGAACCCGATGGTCACTCAGAGAGCGCCAGAGTTCCTCTGTGGAGATGGGAGAACCTTCCAGAAGGACAACCATCTCTCCAGCACTTCACCAATCAGGCCTTTATGGTAGAGTGGCCAGACGGAAGCCACTCCTCAGTAAAAGTCATGACAGCCCGCGTGGAATTTTACAAAAGACACCTAAAGGACTCTGACCATGAGAAACAAGATTCTCTGGTCTGAAAGCCAAGCGTCACGTCCTGGAGGAAACCTGTACTTGAGTGGCCCAGCCAGAACCCGGACTTGAACCCGATTGAACATCTCTGGAGAGACCTGAACATAGCTGTGCAGCGGCGCTCCCCATTCAACCTGACAGAGCTTGAGAGGATCTGCAGAGATTAAATGGGAGAAACTCCCCAAATACAGGTTCAACAAAGTACTGAGTAAAGGGTTGAATACTTATGTAAACGTGATATTTCCGGTTTTTATTTTTAATAAATGTGAGAGAAAAAATACTAAAAACCTGTTTTTGCCTTGGCAGCAGCTAATGGGGATCCTTAATAAATAGAAATACAAAACGTGCTGGGAGTTGAAAAGGAGAAGCCCATATTTCCCAATAATAGACCTAACTTAACACTGATAGGCTACAACCTCACAAAATACACGACATGAGTGGCTGAGGTACCTTTCTGGACCTTCTAAACTGTTGAGCATAGACCCAAACTGATCCAAATGCCTCCATAATCAGGCCTTGGCTGTATGCAGTTATTTCGGCATTAAACAAAACAGGACGTTTGAGCAGTTATTCAAACTTGCCTACATTGCAGTTTACAGCCTATAGACAATTGTGTACTTACTTGATAACAATACTTTTTTCCTCATTGCACTGTGTTGTTGTAGATTCATTTAATGGCCTAAAAACATAGGCCTAGGCGGGCCTAATGAATAGCGAAGCTTTGCGTGTCGGGGACCACAGAGTGCAGCTTGGAGGAACGCACAGATCTGCCATTTCATAATTTGTAAACTTATTTTTTCTGGCACTATGACAGGTACATATTTAGCCTATTATACCTAATATTTTGCTAATAAATGGTCTAATATCTGGCTAATATTTAGCTTCTTACTTCGGCTACACATGGCTATCCTCTCTTCCAACTGTTCCAGTGCACAATAGGCTACGCAAACCTCTCTGCAATAGGCCATTCCTCTCTCGTGAAATCCCAGGAAAAGCTATAGGACATTCATTTTGATAATTTTTTATACTAGGCCTAATAGCCTATTCGGGGGAAAGAAGGTTTGCTCTTGCTAATTGCCGAATGTAAAACGGGCCTACACAGCATAAGGCAAATTAACTGTCGGGGAAAGTTGAGGAGAGAAAGCGGGTTGGTGTGATCACTTTTGGCCGGTTATGATAACATTGTTGCACTGATGCATTACAAATAGTTGCACAAGACAGACCGAGAGATGAGCACAGTGCAAAAGAAGCCCCAAAGGAATTGACAACCATTAGAAAAATTGAAATCACTTGCAAAAAATGACATGTTGTTGAATTGCTACATTTAAACACAAGTTACTATATTATTTTTCCTTAGGCCTACATGTACATTGAAGTATTATTTGCAGTTGTCACTATGACAATGAACACAACCTGAAAGCACTGAATGGTCTTGTGTTACCACCTTATTAATAGGCCTACAGCATGCAGTAGGATGTGTTGATCAGTTGATTGACCGGTGTAGGACTGTAGAACGATAAACAATAAATGTTCCTCTAGTGTGGATGCTCACCAACGTTTTATAGTTATGTAGCCTATAGTATATCTTCATAGTTATCTTATCGTTATAGTTATTGTCTTGGTGGTTGGCCCTTAACTCTGACAACACAAATTATATCAAAACAGAACTACTATACTGAACAAAAATATTAAACGCAACATTCTCAACGATTTTACTGAGTTACAGTTCATATAAGGAAATCAGTGAATAGAAATAAATAAATTAGGCCCTAATCTATGGATTTCACATGACTGGGCAGGGGCGCAACAATGGGTGGGCCTGGGAGGGCATAGGCCCAGCCAATCAGAATGAGTTTTTCCCAACAAAAGGGATTTATTACAGACTGAAATACTCCTCAGTTTCATCAGCTGTCCGGGTGGGTGGTCTCAGATGATGCCGCAGGTGAAGAACCTGGATGTGCTGGGCTGGCATGGTTACACGTGGTCTGCGGTTGTGAGGCCAGTTGGACGTACTGCAAAATTCTCTAAAACGGCATGGTAGAGAAATTAACATTCAATTCTCTGGCAACAGCTTTGGTGGACATTCCTGCAGTCAGCATGCCAATTGCACGGTCCCTCAAAACTTGGGAAATCTGTGGCATTGTGTTGCGTGACAAAACTGCGAGTGACCTTTTATTTTCCCCAGCACAAGGTCATGCTGTTTAATCAGCTTCTTGATATGCCACACCTGTCAGGTGAATGGATTATCTTGACAAATGAGAAATGCTCACCATCAGGGATGTAAACAAATTTGTGCACAAAATTTGAACTTAATAAGCTTTTTGTGCATATGGAATATTCCTGGGATCTTTTATTTCAGCTCATGAAACATGGAACCAACACTTTACATGTTGCATTTATATTTTTGTTCAGTACAGTAGGTCTAGCTAGCGTTAGCGAACTTGAATGAAATAAATATAAAATGACACTTACACTTGTTTACTTTACTTTTATGCTATATAAATTGACTCCTTTAATAATTGACTCCGGAAGTTTGCCACCGGCGCGCTGCAGTAGGGAGGTAAAGCCGAAGTCGAATCCTTCACTTCCGTTGTTTGGCTGTGCCCATAGCAACGTAAAAAAAATGAGGTGGATAACACTGAAAATATTATCACAGAATACAATCGGCATGTTATATGGATCTACAAAATAGATAGCCATGGGACGGGGACTAGATAGCTCTGGGACATCTGAAAACATTTGACAAACTTTGGCATACCTCCTCTCTGACTTTCAGCAAATCATTTCCACTCAGGATAGTGACAGGTTAACCCATATATTTCATGCCAATAAAGCTTTATACTGAATTGAAGCATGACCGGTGGGTTCAGGCAGTCTTACCTCGCCAAATGCTCCCCTGCCAATCACCTTGAGCATCTCGAAATCTTCCCTGTGCAGACGCATCTCCTTCACGGTTGTGGTGAATGGCTTCACTGCAAGAAACAAATGGCAAACAATCAACTTAAGGCCTACACCTATCTTACATTACACCATCACATAATGTCCCTGGTGTTTCATATGTTAGGTGAATCTGTTTTAGTCTAGCAGTTCGGCCACATGAGCCTTGCTAGGACATGCATGAAGCACAAGCAATAGGTCTGTGTCCCTCAAAGGTTCTCAACCATAGGATGAACCTGTGTGAATATCCACACTTATTGTTACACATTAATTTCAAAGACCATGATGTTTTACATTTGACCATTTGTCAACATTATCCAACGAATCGAAGGTGACAACTTATCTTTGTGTGTTATACTGATGTGTTACGTTCAAAATAGGATCAAGGAGGGTTTACCGCAATGTTAGCAACTGCATAGAAAATGTTACTTAGGCTTTCAATAGGGTTGGGCATTTGAAATAATTTTTCAAATAATCATGACATATTTTCGGATACCTGGATAGTCAAAATACATGTTTAAAACTGGCTTGCTGTGCAGCCTGCGCAACTTGGGAGCTCTGCTTGCAGCAGAGTGGGGGATGGGCGGGGGCCAGTCAGTTTGACACAGGAGGGAGAGAGCCATACAGTCTGCCGCAAGTTAAACAAACTTGTAGATCCCATGAGTTACCTTACTTTACTGACTTTTTCCCCATGGGGACATTTGTTCCAGTATCATGTACATGTATAAAGTGGCATTTAAATACAAAACAAATTGACAATACAACTTTCATAACAGTTACATACCAATAAAAAGAGACTAGCCTGATGGCCTTACTGGGTTTGATAGGAACATTAGCCCAAGCTATTTAGGAGGGATATGACACCTGGCACAAATGATTGTCTAGTTCTGTTTTTCCTGCCGAGGGGTGTCCTATACCTGCACCCAGAGCAGAGTAGTTCAAAGTCTGGGTACAGGGGGTGGCTTGGATCTAAAATGATTTTTTGAGCCTTGTGTAGGGCCCTGACAAAGATCTCATCAAGGCCTGTCTGTTTGACTCCAAGTCCCTTGCTTACTGTGGTGATAATCCTTCTCAGCATATTTCTCTGGCTGACAGTGGCATTGCCAAACCAACAAACAATACAAAAAGTTAAAATACTCTCAATGAAAGATTTGTAAAACAGAGTCAGTATAGTACAGTCAACATTAAAAGATCCCAGCTTTTTGAGAAAGTACAGTCTCTGTTGACTATTTTTGTAGATCGGGTCTGTACATTTACTCCACTGAAGCTTATTGTCCAAGAGGACACCCAGATATTTGTATTCCTCTACAATCTCTATGTTCTGACCTTTGATAGATGTTGCAGAGGTAGGTGCTGTACACTTCCTGAAGTCTATGCACATCTCTTTGGTCTTGTTGGTATTGAGGACCAAGTGTGATTCGTCACACCACTCTACAAAGTCATTTAGGACCGGGCCATGGTGTTTTGCTGTACTTCCCGTCCTTGTCTACAACAACATCCAGATTAAAAATTTAATTCTGTAATTTTAATTCCATTTTGCATTGATTAGAGATCTCCGACACTGATAGCTACACCTGGAGCCCGACTGTAGCCTAGTGTCATTTTGAAAGCCTGACAATAACAACAAACGCGTGAAACTCGTGTTTAGGCTACGGTATGTATTTTTATGGGGTGCACATCATAAAAAATACATTCAAAAGTTTGTTTTATTGAATTTCAAATGTCATAGTATATCCTTGTGTGTAGCAATGTCATATAGATAATTATTTAATTTAGACAAAGTCTTTCCATTGTTAAAATAGACCTATATTCGAATAACCGTGCCCATCCCTAGCTCCCTAGTGCTGACACTATTTTGTTTAAATATGCCTTAACTATATCATAAACTATTTGGGAAAGGGCAGCCAAGTCTACTTGTGCATGCTTATTTGAAAAATAAACCTGTCTCCACAGTGATCAGGTCAAGACAGACAAACAAACCAGCAGTCGTGAGCCAGTATGGCCAACAGACCTCACAACACAGCCATAGACCGTGAGCACTGTATCCCATCCCTCCACCCCGTTTTACAAGGCTCTGCGGGAGGGCTGGCACGGACCCAAGCAGGGCCTGCGAGGAGCCGATCTGCAGCACTCCTCGCCATATGAGGACATGCAGACCGAGCCTGTGTAGAGCGCGTTTATATCACTCCCAAGCCTTTTCCTCTAAACAGAGGGACCAACTTTCCTCTCGGCTGTGTTCATTTAAACAGACAAGAGAGACGTATGTTCCCTCCAGTGGTGGAGGGGGGGGGAGGGTCAGGCATCAGTTGCTCTCACTAGGCAGATCCTTCACAGAGCCTACTCACAGAATGACGGGTTTACGACTCGGCAATGGAGCTCACGAAAGGGTCGCGATACACGCATGACACTCACATGACGTGTGGAGTAATGGCTACCGCAAAATGTTAGAAACGTGCATGCTAAAAACTGTGGACCATTAGCACTTTTTTGACAGCAATTTAAATTGAGTGCACCCTTTGCCTTCAGATACCTGTTAGGTTTTTTTTTTATCCCTGATGTGATTGGTCCCTACTGTTCAACTGAAGCCTCGCAGCACTCAAGACACATTGGGTGAGGTGGTGAGGATTTACTTAACCTCAACGATTACGTAAACCAGCATTATGAAATGAGCTCTCAGATTATAATCCCAATTTGATGCTCTGCATATGGATACCAAGAGAGTGACAGTGATAGGCCTACATAGGGGCCTTGGTAGAATAAGGAAAGCGACAACGAAAATGACTTACACACTAGTGTCTTCATTGAAGAGCCAACCTTGTTATTCCAGCAAAGCCCCTTCGAGACAAAGACCGGCCATTCATATTCTGTGTCAAAAGGGGGTTTCTGATAATTCTCTCCTAAATAACGTGGCATTTCTGTAATTCACACAAGCCCCATCTTGTCAATTGCAATAAACTCCCATCACTGGCAATCAGAATGATTACGTGCTGAAAGTGGAACACCAGCTACAGAAGCTTTGTATCAATGTACTTCTTACAGGACCCCTGTCCCACTGCTAATTTAGCACCCCATCTCTGCGAGTGGGGTTTATCATTAAATTACTTGCACTTTGTTGGCAAACATCACAATAGCGTGAATGGAATTGTAGAGAGCAGCTTATTGCTTTTTCATTCATAGCTCAAACTCTAATTAGGTATCGGCCTACACAAATTTATTCAGTACATAGAGTACTTTGACAATTCTAGCAGCCAGTGTCTTTGAAACATTTAGGTAGTTCGTAGTTATTTTGGCCATAGAATGTTGAGTATTCAGTTGGTGATCCTCGTTCTCTTGGCTCACATCTGCCAAATGTTATGCAGGAGGGTGCCTGCAGCTTTGACAGCTGCTTTAGGCTCCCATACAGATCCAGAGGGAATCCACTTGGCACAGCACAGAGTGCCACTTGGAGAAGGGGTAGCACAGTGACAGAGGCATCAGCTGTTCACACTGATGGAAAGAAGAACCATTGTCTTTTAATTAAATAGATTACTGGTAGCCTTAAATGAATGCCATTCATGTCAACGCAATTACGATTTGTGGACGTGCAGTGCAAGATGTTAAAGAGGAAGCTTTAAATATAATTTAAGCCTGTACTTAAATCCCCTCACCTGAGATGTATTTGATCCATCTGCCTATATGAAACATTAGCCTAACTGTGTATGTTATCTTCAACAGGACACCTAAACTGAACAGGACTCAGAGGGGGTGGAGGTAATAAATGGCAGATGTTACAGGATGATATAGCCTCGAGGGATTGACGGCAAAAGTCAGTCAGTGCTGTCCAACACCGGAGCCATGACATAGGCTACCGGTGACAGAGCAGAAACGTGAGGACCATTTCCACATTACATGGTATAGATGCCATCTGGGACTGGCAGCCCTATTCAGAGTCCGACCCTGATGGATGTGCAGCACTACCCAAAGTCAACTCAATAATCTACAGCAGTAAATCTCTCCCCTGCTCCCCCGCAGTATGGGCCAGACTGTACACCCCCATTCATATCATCATTACCAAAGCATGTTTTCTCAGATGGAAATACTTTCACACAATAAGCTAGGGTTGTGCGGTATCCAGTTTTCCATACCTTCAAACCGTGCCTGTGCTATTCTGGGATATATGGTATTACTGGCAGTATCAAGGGCTGGTATCCTTTTTTTTTTTACATAAAAAAAAAAACCAAATAACGTCAGTTCCCAGAATGCTAACAAAATGCTGACAAGTACTAAAGAATTTGAGTGCTTCTCAAACTTAATATTTTATGCATTCCCCACACTCTCGTCCTCACAAGAACGTACTCAAAAGAACGTCGTCGGAGAATGCACTCGGAGCATGATGGAGCACGGTAGTATGCATATATTGAGAAACACCCACTCTCACTGATAACTGAGTGGCTCGAGTGCCCTCGTTGCCATGGTAACCTCCCTCCCTTAAAAGGGGCAGCTGAAATGTTTTGTCTCATCTGTGCCATTTTGGTTTAAAGACTCAAGTCACAGAAAATTAAATGACATTGAACAATATACAGTGGGGAAAAAAAGTATTTAGTCAGCCACCAATTGTGCAAGTTCTCCCACTTAAAAAGATGAGAGAGGCCTGTAATTTTCATCATAGGTACACGTCAACTATGACAGACAAATTGAGGAAAAAAAATCCAGAAAATCACATTGTAGGATTTTTTATGAATTTATTTGCAAATTATGGTGGAAAATAAGTACTTGGTCAATAACAAAAGTTTCTCAATACTTTGTTATATACCCTTTGTTGGCAATGACACAGGTCAAACGTTTTCTGTAAGTCTTCACAAGGTTTTCACACACTCCAACTCCCCATCAACGTGATAGCTCGTTGCAGTGATGTATGACAGCTTGTTCATAGACGTCGAACAATATGCCACGTATGGTGTTTAAGAGCTCGCGCTTTGTACTTGCAGAGCAACCATTGTACAACTTGTCTCCATCAGGGTCGTCACGGTTTTTCGACATGGCATCTTGTAGTCTT